CCCGCTTAGATTCCGAGAACTCACGAGAATGGGTGCATTCCAGCCGATGTAGACACTGGTCACGCAACTATATTCCATTATAGTGTAGGTCAGGGGTCGGCAACCTACGGCTCCGGAGCCGCATGCGGCTCTTTACGGGCTGCTTCTTGACGATATGTACGTGAGTACAGTATGTACTCAGATGCATTGCGACTCTTGAAATGCTGAATTTTGTACCGAATTGGAAATAAATGGCTCTTCTTGTTATTTTGGTTGCCGACCCCTGGTGTAGGTAGTGGAACACAAGAGATCAAACGACGGCACGGGTCACACATCGCAAATATATTTTAAGGCGCAACTTCCAGCGTGCAAAGTGAGCGTAAGAACCAATCATAATCGACGATCGATACATCACACTCTTACACGCATAGGTGCACTCTTGCAGGTATCTTACGCGTTTTTAGATACTCGCGTAAGGAGATCACTAATACTGTATGTGTCACTGGTATGAGTGCGTTATCAGCCAGTGGCTATCCACTACTGGTTTAAGGCCTGCCCACAAATATTACCATCTTGTGTGGTCTTGAGATGCGTCAATCAATCTCACTCATACACATTAACTGATTCCACAGTGATCGCGTTCTCTATAGTATTCCAGATGTCATACCGTCACCATTCATTCACCGAATGTCAGTTCATTATATACTTGGCGAATTAATGGTACATGAGCAAACATAGCATTAATTCGCACTGGTACAAAGGTTGAATTTAAACAAAATCTCTCGGCTATTTGAATCATATACAACATTTTACACACAAACATACACCATTCTACAAGAATGGCTCACCTGATTGAAGACTTGTACTGAACTCTTGTGATGACAGGAGGGCTTTGCCAGTGCTTGTTAATGATGGGCTGGGATTAGGCTGCGACGAGGTTGAGATGTTGAGATGAGGCTGGGATGGGGCTTGTTAATGATGGGATGGTGCTGAGATAAGACTTGTGGGGAGGTTAGTGTGAGGCTCAGAAGCCCCAGCTGAGGAGTCGAGGCTGCGCTTCGTAGCAAGGGGAGTAGGCGTCATCTGATCCCCCGCCTCCCACATGAGTTTGTCGGCACTACACGTGGCTGAACGCGCACATTTGTCGAGTAAACAAGGGGCCCGTGCGTGTTCGGTAAACATCAACACGGGGCCCTGTGTGTAGGGTAATCACAAAAAACTGGCCCATGTGTTTGGAATAAATGCGAAACACGGGGGCGCTGTTTGTGGGATAAACAAGAAACACGAGGCCGCTGTTTGTGGGATAAATAAGAAACACACGGGGCATCTGCTGAGGTGACCTTGCAAAGCGTTGCAGCTGCAGCACGAGACTGGCTAATCAGGACAATAGACTTCAGGGATGTGTGGCATGACGCAATATTACAAATTCAACTATTTCCGAGTGTCTCTATGGTCCAGCGAGTGTGGAGGAGGTTCTAATCCCCACATTGGTGGCCCTCAACGAGTGGTAGAGATGACATCACTGTGGCGGGGATCATGCCACGAAGTGTTGCTCACTATCCAATAGATAACTACTCAATAGAGTATTTTTATTGCATTTCATTATTACCTGTTTAGAGTATTGTGGCATTATCCATGATATCTGTTTGATAAATCTAAACGACTCGATTAAGTATAATAAATGTGGAAAGCCATATGCAGAAATATGGCCAGGGTCGGCAACCTGTACGTTTGGAGCCGCATGCGGTTCTTTAAGGACCGCTTCGTGACGTTATCCACATGCATTGTGGCTCTTGAAATATAGAGTTTTTTTTAATAGCATTAGAAAAAATAGATTCTTGTTATTCTGGTTGCAGACCCCTGCCTATGGCCACACACGATAGCAATACCTTTAAATGATAACATGTATTATGCATAGCTTACTGTCTTTAATATTACCTTGAAAATGTGTTTAACAGATGGTTATATTTACCAAACATCCAGTGTGAAACATTCAACAGGAACATTTTACACAAATCATAGAGCGTGTTTTAAGATACACGAGAGGGAAAACTGCGTGAAAAGAGTATAGGTTTTTTAAATTCTAAAATGGGGTAAATGAAACGAGTCCATGCTTGTGACAATAACAGGTCTTATGTGGACACAGATGGTGAACGCCACGTGAAGTGAGACGACGGCCCGTGTCTCGGGACTGCCAGTGGAGATGCGCGCTGCTCCAGAGGCTCATCAGGTGAGCAGGGAGAAGACGGTGGGCTCGCCTGTGGAAGGCTCACAACCAAATTGGCTGCGTGGGGTCCAATCTACACCACCACGTAGCCCAGGGGGTAGGGTGGAGGAGAGCCGTTCAAACAGCTACATCACCCATGATAATAATCGGTGTTCTCGTATCCACTAAACCCATACATATTTCTCAATTCAGCCTTGGTGTAGTCTCAAAGCTCTGCCGTATCCTGCAGGAAAGTTCAACAAAATGGCAACAGATCTCGGGTACAAAATAATTCCTGTCACCCCACCACAGATGCCAATTTTCCCGGACTGCCCGCGGGGTCAAACCCAGCCGGGTTCCACAAAATATGAGACTAATTGTGGGACGTCGGTGGTTGGTGGTGCAATCCGGCAGAAATCGTGAATGTGGAAAGGACTCTGTTGCCCCAGAGCAGCCGCGTGGCTCGTGCGGGAATTGTGGTTTCCACGAGGCCAGTTACTGCCCCCTCGCACGGCCTAAAAGTGGCATAGCCACTAACCTCCAGGCTCCCACTGCCCACCTCCAGCCAAAGCGAGGCAAGCTGCCATCGGCCTCTAGGGCCCAAAATGTGGTGGCTTTTATGGCCCAGGGGGCCGTGTGTGTGTCTGGGTGGCCAGTGGGGTGGGGCCCTCCGCGTGGTGTTATGTGCGGAGCGCGCGACGTCACGGGGCCAGTGCTGGGGGGGTCGGGGGGGGTGAAGCCGTGGGGGTTCAGAGCGGTGGGGGTTCAAGTTCATTTATTAGGTATCGCCCTGTGAGCCATTCGGCTCTTGAATCGGGTGCAACCGCAACAAACAAAAAACAAAAACATGAACAAGAAAACATCTTAAAGTGAATATGTGACTAAGTGCAAACAGAAAATCCAAGAAAAGACAGCAAAATATTGCAAAAAAAGCACCGTACACCAACGCTGTGTACAATAATCCCAGTGGGATGCAAGTCAAACAACAACAACCACAAGACAACTTAGATTAAGGCCATCAGTCTTACTCCGTGGGGGTCGGGGGTGGGGGTCGGGGGGTATGGGGTGGGGGTCGGGGGGGGGTCGGGGGGTGGGGGATGGGGGTGGGGGGTGGGGTGGGGGTCGGGGGTGGGGGTCGGGGTGGGGGTCGGGGGGTGCGGGGTGGGGGTCGGGGGGTGGGGGTCGGGGGGTACGGGGTGGGGGTCGGGGGGGGGGGTCGGTGGGTGGGGGATGGGGTGGGGGTGGGGTGGGGGTCGGGGGTGGGGTCGGGGGTGGGGGTCGGGGGTGGGGGTCGGGGGGTGGGGGTCGGGGGGTACGGGGTGGGGGTCGGGGGGGGGGTCGGTGGGTGGGGGGTGGGGTGGGGGTCGGGGGGTGGGGGATGGGGTGGGGGTCGGGGGGTGGGGGATGGGGTGGGGGTTGGGGGGTGCGCGGTGGGGGTCGGGGGTGGGAGTCGGGGGGTGGGGGATGGGGGTGGGGGTCGGGGGGTGGGGGATGGGGTGGGGGTTGGGGGGTGCGGGGTGGGGGTCGGGGGTGGGAGTCGGGGGGTGGGGGATGGGGGTGGGGGTCGGGGGGGGACGGGGGTGGGGGTCGGGGGGGGTCGCGAGGCGTCTCCAGGCAACGAAGCGACGCTGAGATTGACGGGGACGCGCGCCACTCGCACGGAGAGAAGAAGACGGCGGTCGGTCAGCGCGGGAAGGTAACGTCAGAATGATACTGTGTATAAGTATATGTACTGTGTACACCTTGAAGAATCTGTTGAGCTGTGAAGCTCTTGTGCAAAGAGGTCTTCCAAGTGTCCTGGAGTAGTTCTTTACGAGCCTCCTCCGCAGAGGCCGAACTTTACACAGATACACACAGTACACAACACACACAGTACCTACACACACACAGATACATACAGTACACAACCCACACACATAGTACCGACTCTTCACACAGATACACACAGTACACACACACACAGTACCTACACTTCACACAGATACACACAGTACACACACACACAGTACCTACACACACACAGATACACACAGTACACACACACAGTACCTACACTTCACACAGATACACACAGTACACAACCTACACACACACAGTACCTACACACACAGATACACACAGTACACACACAGTACCTACACACACACACAGATACACACAGTACCTACACACACACACAGATACACACAGTACACACACAGCACCTACACACACAGATACACACAGTACACACACACACAGTACCTACACTTCACACAGATACGCACAGAATATAAACTACGCATACATACAGTACATAAACTACACACATACAGTATAATCACCACACATACAGTACATAAACGTCACAGATGCACGCAGTACATAACCAACATACAGATATAAAAAGTATATAAATTACACGCACAGTGCGTCAACTACCGCCATGCATACAGTCCACAGAGAAACACACTGAGCTACACAGTACTGTACATAAACAGCACAATTAAACACATACATCTACCACTTCATATGGTCGACGCTCTGTGAAACAGTCCATAGAGGTATACCCCCACGCTGAGATATGCTACTACACGCCGAGACATACATGGAGTTATGTTTTACCCACTAGAATACACAAATACATTTACTGTATCTCAGAACCACAGAGATACAGACGCTCATCAGACACCTCACTCACCAAACACTACATTCACTTGACCCTCACCAGACGCTCAATCTAACACCACGCACTGATATACTTCTTATATAAGCGCACAACTTTATCTATCTGTGATGAACGCTGCACTTACCGTCGTTTTCATGCAGGGGGCGCTGCAAACCTACGCACCCCCTGTATGAACGACGTTGGCGCAGGGACAGACGTTTGATTACGTTGGGATCGATCTGCAGACTGCGGTGTTCTCGCACGGCCAGCTCTATGTCACCTTATCTCGATCCCGCAATCCCAAACAGGTGAAAGTCCGCATCGAACCCGGCACCCCCGGCAAGGCCATCTACTTAACGACGAGAGAAAATTCACACGAAATGTCGTTTTCAATTAAGTCGTCCAGATGTAAAATGATATAAGCTTTTAATGAAGAAATACAATTATATAATTCAAAACATAATACAATTCAAAGATGTTTCATTTTTAAACTTCAAAACGGAGCATCGGGTGCTTGCGTGAATGCATCGTTCGTAGTATTCAATAGTTACTCACCGGACACCATCAGCAAATGCCTCCAGCTTAAGTGCTATTTGTGCTGTTAGGTGACAGTACACCAGGCTACAGTCTACATTATAGACTGCCAGTACGCTCACCGAGGTTAATAACCAGGCTACAGTCTACATTATAGACTGCCAGTACGCTCACCGAGGTTAATAACCAGGCTACAGTCTACATTATAGACTGCCAGTACACTCACTCCGATTAAGAACCAGGCTACAGTCTACATTATTGGTTTTTATTTTATTATTATTTTATCATTTTTATTCACTTTATTTTTATTATATATTTTTTTCTATCTACGTGACTTTACCGAAAGAACCAAAGACTAATAGTACACCACTCATTGCTATTCGTGATTTGGGTTTGTTTTACGGTCATAGATGACATCAAGGTCAAAATAGCCTATGTCCCTGGATTTATCTTGGAGATTGGCGCGTGTGCATGAGATAGAAGGATTGTTGCAATAAGATGCTGTGAGAGATAGTGACAGCTTGGGGAGACCTTCATTCAACACCGTATAGAACACATTCCTGCGGAGGGAGCTGGTAGGAACGTTGGGTTGCTCGGTTAATGGCCAGGGTCAACGGCGGCGTGGTGTATTCCGCAAATATGGCCGACTGTGAGGGCGGGCACAAGCCGGCGTGAGTAGGTTAAACGTTGAGTTTTATAAGGGCACCACGGGGTGACCAGCCCCTCTCCACCCAGCCCCACCCCTCACACCCCCCACCCAGCCCCACCCTCCCCACCCAGCCCCTCCCCACCCTCCCCACCCAGCCCCTCCCCACCCTCCCCTCTCCACCCAGCCCCACTCATTTTTGGATGCACGACGGACGGACAGAATAATCCCCTGTGGGCTGGTGTAACCAGGTGGTTCCTACCAGTATAATGGCCATTGTTGATGATGACTCTATCTTGTGTGTGTGGTGAACCCCTGTGTGTCTGCTGTGTGAGACAGTCGTGCCAGCAGCCATGAGCAAGTCACGTGGAGAGGGCTTGCCCATCAGGAGGGTGTTCATCAGCCATGTCGACTCGTATGTGGGCAGGAATATTGGAGAGGTTTGTTAACAGCTCTAAGTATGACTTGTGACAAATTTTTGTTTTATTGCTAATACAATGGTCTATATGTATTTTTGGGTTATGCCACATAGTGTAGTTCCAGTAACCTTGTATCTTAGCGTTAAGTGGGGACCACTTTTTATGGAGAACTAAATTGTTAGAAAAATAATTCTCCCTGGATCATAGTAATTGATCCTAGTTGGTCTTCCTGATGCAATGCCAATGCTGTGTCACACATGTGTTGTGATGTGGATCATGGCATAATACAATGGGTGATGCTGAGCAGTGTCATCAATGCAGAGAGCCTTGCTCATTTTACCGTATAGATTCAAAGTCGCAAGTCTCAGCCGCCCGTGATTAACATTTATGTGTTGTTGCCAATCGGAGGCTGTTGTTTTATGCTTGATGTTTTGTCTCTTGTGGAGAAATGTGAGGGAGAGCGAGCATCCTGTCGCTGTTAAACTTTTAATTGTGCGAGAGGAGACACCTGTGTTTATTTTCTGTACTGAAATATCCCATGTTACAGTATGTATGGTGCACTGTTGACACTGTTAACGTCCTGCCACACAGCACACGGACCTATCGCCACAGTGTGGACAGCAATGACTGACATTTTCCACTGTCACCCATAATATCCATGGTCTTTGTGGATGGGCCCACTTGGCGGATAATAGAATTTTGCGGATAAGGGGAGTGCCACTGTAGTGATATACCTGCATTAAGTGCTTTAAATTAATACAACCGCATTGTGTCAATATAAAATGCTAATAGAATAATAGGAAAGTGTCCGTTTCACCTTGTAAAATAAAATCTTATTTTAGTCATCCAAATGGTTTAAATAACATTTTTAGAAATAAAATGTTTCATTCCATTTAGGGCCTGAGTCTACTGTCTCATATTTCCTTCATTCAATGTTTTTTTATTGACAGTTTTGCGTTGTGTTTTATTTACTCTGTGAAACACAATGGTGCTTTGTTTACCATGCATGCCGCTGGGAAATTATAGAGTGTATAATTTTCGATTTAAAGCTTTCGTGACTGCAGGGATTCATCTTCTTGGTTCTTTCGGTAAAGTCACGTAGAAGGGAAATAATAAAATAATAAAAATAAAACATAATAAAATAATTCTCACGACGTTTCGGCCACAACACAAGCAGCCGTCCTCAGGTGAAAAACAGGTCTGTCGGAAAGACAGCGTCTTTCCCTTCTACGTGACTTTACCGAAAGAACCAAGAAGAAGAGTATATAATTTCACAGTGTAAGAATGTAAGGTGAGTATTGTAGAACATATAATATCACTCATACTTTTATTCCTTTGGTATTCACAATTGGGGTTTTTTCATTTCAGGTTTCTGCGGAGTAGCTCTGGGTGGGATTTTATTTAAGAACTTTGAGATCTGGAATTGCCATTGTGATTCCAGTTATGTTTAGCGTAGATTCACAGGTTCATGAGTGATTCAAGTAAAATTTGTCTGAAGCTTTTAATATAAAAACAGATGAACTAATTTTAGACCATCAGCCAATTTCAAACCCTTTGACCATACATGGAGGATTGTCAATCAAAATGTAATTGATGGTGAGTTTAATTGCATCTACATTCGATCCTAACTAAAGAGATACAAATTCAAGTACTCACCATTGAACCACTTTGGGTAAGGTGGATCCCATTCTAAAGCAATATTGTCCCGTGGAAAATATTTAGGACTAGATTTAGCGTATTTTTATCCACAACTTTAAGTTAGTAATGCTAAATTCATCGTATACACTGATTATGAAGGCATCATAATTGAACCACTGCTTTCGGGCTTAAAATCCCAGTTCTTATATTCTTGGGTCTTTCGGTAAAGTCATGTAGATAGGTTCAAAGAAAATTACAAAAAACTACGACGTTTCGATCACTTGCGTTGCGATCGAAACGTCGTAGTTTTTTGTTATTTTCTTTGAACCTATCTACGTGACTTTACCGAAAGACCCAAGAATATGAATTCCTGCAGTCACGAAAGCTTTAAGTCAAGATCCCAGTACTTCTTAGAGTACGACTTTGATTTTGTAATTTGGTTATATTCACTTGCTCACAAATACAGGTGCTTCAAAAAATGTTAATACGTATATGGGACTATCGTTTTTAATAGTAAAAGAACGGATAATGCACAGAAACATGATAACAAATGTATGTTAATAGCTTCAAAAGGTCAAAGAGTCTACACTTGTTCGCCATCATTATCAACACATGCCCGGAATCTTCTCCAGGTGGTCTCCAAAGCCCAGAGGCACATTTCTTGTGGTACTGTTGTTAAAAAATGTTTAAAGCACCTTGTACTTCACAACCGTACAACTGGCAGGCTTTTAAGAGAAGTGCCAGGCTGCATGGGAGACAGATGCACCCTTCCAATGCCACCACACAGTGTTATGAGTGAAGTTTTGTGGGAAATATTAAACCTTGATAACCAGAGCTAAGCTAAGATTGTAATCTTTTCACATAAAGTACGTTACCATAAATATTGCATATTTGGCATTTGTGTGCCCTTTTCTCGGCAGTATCTGTCACAGTGCGTGGTCGGAGAATCCACAGAGCCACTGGATTTGGAGGAGGAAGAGGAGGGGGAGGAGCAGGACGGCTTCTCACAGGCGAGGGAGGGCACCTACCAGGTGGTAGGGTCCCTGAGCCAGACCCAGCAGCAGCCACCACCCTTTGTGCTTGAGACTGTGCAGGTATGTTGCCTTTTCCTGTTTATAAACACATTGCAGTACAGTAGTTCCAATTTTAGTGTTATGTTTTCTGAAGACCAACAGTTAGATGTCTACACTGATAGACAAAGAAGGGCACATGTATTAGAGACATTGTTCATTAACTTAAGAAAATCAAGTAGGCTTGGGCAAGACACATCCATGTCTGCTTGGATAAAACGCATCGCTAGAAGGGACGATGGCTGATGGTTGAGATGGATGACAGTGGCAGCTGAAGGAAGGAACACACATGAGAGGAAGGTCACGTTCCTGAAGAAATGAGATCAATTTGTGCAAGAGCTACATTGTTGAATCACGAAACTGTGAGGGATGGTGACAAGTTAGGTCTAAATCCAGCAGTGGATAGAACAGCTGATGAGGATGATAATTCAATGCTTATTTTAATTGTTACAAATATCATATCTTAACACTTGAAAGTGTCTTTCTGCTCAAACATGTTTTGGGTGCTACAAATCTATGTTGGCAGTCATGAGCTACCATTGAAAATTACACATTCTGTGGCAGGACCAGTCTATACATAGGAAAAATACTGTTGACTTCACACAAGATGGTGAATTATATTGGCATCGTCATGAGCATGGGTATTGAAATGGCCAGGAGATGGAAGTGCATGGAGATGATCTTAACTTTTTCATTTTAGCGAGTGTTAGTCCCTTATTTCTAGTAATTTTCTCCATGTACTTTGGTGTCTTCTTATTTAACAAAAATAAAAAAAAAATTGGGCAAAATCCCAATACAGGTGCCTCCTAAAAGAGCTGACACTTAGTAAGGCTTTCACGGATAAAGGACTATCATTATTTTTCAGCCAAAAATAAAAGCGAACATGTGGTTGTATTTATAGACAACAATAAAGTCAGCCTTAAGTTCACAAAAATTGTATTGTTTTTGTCACATGTGACGTGGCTCATTCATGAACAGGCCTCATCTCGGGAGGAGTTAAAGTCTTTCCTCTTGGGCTGTGACATTATTGTCTATGACATCAGGGAGACGGCCGATCTCCTGGATGAGGCTGCATGGGTGCATTCAGGTACAGAACACCATTGTATCCACTATTTACTCTGGCACTAGTCTTCTGCTGAAAGGAATATGCACCACAAACCATGAGATGATATTTCCATTCTCCTGGTAGCAGAGAAGCTGGGCTGTAACTGATCTTGACATGTGAATTCAAGTTTATTTGACATGTGCCAGCAGGGTGTTGGGGTTGTGGAATGGATGACCAATAGGCTTGTGTTTCTTTCCATTGTTTCACCTTCAAGGTGTTTGGGAAAAAACGCTTTGGTACAATCTCCTCCAGAATGTGCTAAACCTGAGTGAGAAGATTATTAATGAAATTACATATGTGAATATATTTTTATATTATTGAAAATATAAATAATATATTATAATTTCGATTTAAAGCTTTCGTGACTGCAGGGATTCATCTTCTTGGTTCTTTCGGTAAAGTCACGTAGAAGGGAAGTAATAAAATAATAAAAATGAAACATAATAAAATAATCCTCACGAGTCTTATCGACAGACATGTTCTTCACCTGAGGACGGCTGCTTGCGTTGTGGCCGAAACGTCGGGAGAATTATTTTATTATGTTTTATTTTTATTATTTTATTACTTCCCTTCTACGTGACTTTACCGAAAGAACCAAGAAGATGAATATATTATAAGTCTATACAGTGATATGAATTAATTCTGCCTGTGTAATAGTTCATGTGTTATTAGATATTCAAAAGAGATAGTGTCTCTCTACTCAGATACTCGTGGATAGTGTTGATGATGTCTTTTGGCAGCCCTGAGTCAATGCGGAGAGTGGAAATTCCATATTACTTATGGTGGTATTCTAATCCAACCTTATAGCATCCACTGTTGACTTCCTTCAGAGTAGTTGGTAATCATTTATAGCATAGTTATATAAGTTCCCAGCTGGATAATAATATTATATTGAGTGCTATTTTATAATTACATAAACATATTTAGAGTGTTCTTTGGGTCTTTCGGTAAAGCCACGTCGATAGAAAAATAATAATAAAAATATCACGACGTTTCGATCGCAACACAAGCAATCGTCATCAGGTGAAAAAATATATAGCGGGAGAGCTGCTGAGGCAGGATGTTATAAAGGTTTGAAATGGGTGTAGCCCAAGGGTCATAAGCGAAGTGGGCGGGGCTAGAGATGAAATTTGCATATGAATGTAAGATCGGAGAGCTGGGCTACCTCCACGACGACGAAGCTGTGGAGATGGCCATTGTATTGTGAGAGATTATCATGTCAATGTAAGAAAAATGAAGAATTTTCATCACCAGTAAGCTAATAACTCGTTTGACTTTATTATTTTTACATACCTGTCAACCCCTTATCAGTGCCTACCTTATTACAGACCAATTCAGACCTTATTGGTCACCTTGTGCGCTTATAAATATCAACGTTCATCTTACCAAGTCCCATCACAAGAAAGAAACACAAACAAATATACACATTTTTTTCCCCGTATTGAAACGTCTGTACACCGTATAGACCTGAAAACTCAATTTCCTTGTACAAGAATACGGGTAAAACATATGGGTTGACAGGTATGCTTTTAAAAGTCTGAGTTGGGTATGAACCTTACAATGAGGTTCACACTCTATGAGACATTAGTACATTGTTGGTGGCATTCGAGAGCTTGGCTTGACTTATTTTTTTGCAGTACTGTTCTATTTATTGTTGAATATGATTTTGTGTCATCTGCAAGCGCCACTGATGTGTGATAATGTTGGTGTTGTTGCTATCTTAGCCCTGCATGCTGAGATTGAGAACTTCAAGGACCCAAAGATCTTCATCTTGATCACAAGCTTCATGACGTGGACACTCACCAAGCCTGTGGATCCCGTAAGTCGCCGCCTGGAAAGTGCAAACGCTTCTTGAACATAAGCAAGCCATCCTATGATCCATAACATCTTGGTTCATTGAACAGAAACGTACAAAATTACATTAAGGTGGTGGAGGTCTAATTGGGATATGGTGATACTGAAATATATTGTGCGATCTGAGATCCACGATGATTGTATCGTCAGTTTTGTTGAATATTCTCGTTGTGATTGTCATCGCTCGTTTTTTCTGAAATAACCTTATATCCTTTCAATATTTTTAAAGTTAAAAGCTCAAGAATGAAAGATGTACTGTAAATTAATAGATAATGAGTCTTTGAAAATAGTTTTTCAGAGTAATTGATGACATGGTGATTAACATTATCCTTTTTATAGTGGTGCACATTGCTGAATTAGTTTGAGGAATTAACTGACTGTGTTTTAAGCGTTATTGATTAGAAGGTGTATTATATATGGCAAACATATGCTGAGTGAACAGAAATGTAATAACTTTTAAGTAATCTTTATTCTTACTAAAAGTACAGCAAAGCACAAACATTAAATTTAAATAAATGTGAACTAGAATGATAGAAAATGGGAAACTGATATTGTGATGATTGTCACATCGTGAAATTTGGGATTGTATCGTAGCATGAAAGTTAAGATTGCAGCAACTACATATGCATCAAATACTTTTTACAGGGCATAATGGTGCCATCTAGTGTTACATGTGAGTGGCCTATTGAAGTGGTGGCATATGCAAGTCTCTTGATACCATTGGCCATTACCCACATGATGAGATGTTGCAATGTTCATTGTGAGTTCCAAATAAATAATGCCTTATTACATAACATGGCACTGATAGCATCATTAGAATATAATTAATCATAACAAAATACGAAAACACTTAAAGAATAATGTGCATTCGGAGACAGGAAAATAACTAAATTATCAGCCACATACAACCTCTTAGCAAAACGACTTATATTTGAAAGTAAAAAAATATTATGCAGTTATAGAAGACTATCTTTGACTGATTCCAGAATTTGTGAGGTGCATACAGTAGTTCCGGAGGAGATAGGGATGCTGAATGTAAAATTACTAGTTTTCTCCTACTAGAGAAACTTACAAGGGATGGTCAGGCTCTGATGTGTCTCTCACCCTGTAGGATGATCCGGAGGTTCCGTTCACTGAGGATGACCATCGGAAAAGAAGGCCTCATCCTGCATTCAAGGATCATGTGGCCTTGGAGAAGCTGGTCATGAAGCTGGGCAAGACGGTATTAGCGTAGTTTATTTACTCAGCTATAAGATGGCCAGCTAGCTTAGCTAGCTCAGGTGGCTCATGATGGATTATAATGCCTTTGCCAACACTAGGTTTGAATCTAGTTAATCACTAATAATTAAGCCAAGTTCTGAAGTGTAGTTTACACATTCTTTGCTTCGTTTGGTCATGGCTCAGAGGGCAAGAATGTATTAGTACACTGGAGGCCAGACACACGGTGAGCAACTCGTACAGGCCGTGAAGTGGGGTAGAAGCCAATTGAAATGACTCCACAAGTAGCCATGTTCTGTCATCTTGCTGGGACTTTCCCTGACATGATGTGGTATATTAGGCCAGTTCAATTGGTGCTAACAACATAATTTATAAATAGTATAAAACAATGAAGCACGAAATATATGATGAATATATATTCTAAGTGAGTAAATACATGACCAATGAATGATGAATTGGACTTGGCTAAGTTCTCAAGATGTTGTTGTTCTAATCTCGTGAGATTTGCCCTCAACTCAATTGGGATTACACATAGCAATCATCACCCCCGACTGCGAAACCTTGGCAGGACCCTCCTAAAAAGACCTGAGACTCAGTGACGCTTTTCTGGGTAAATAAGCGTAGTAGTAATAATAAACTTAAGTTGGCTGTGATCACATGACAGCACGTGCTCATCTGTAACGGCCACATTTAGACACATTGACACAGGATCTCGGAACTGGCTACAGTCCTGTTGCCTGAGGGAGGTCCTGATGGGTGTTTCTTTATCTCATGACACAAATCCCATAGCACAATTGGGATATATTTGTAAATCAAGTAAAAAATATGTAACCCATAGTTTCGATATTTGTTCAAGGCTTACAAATGATAACATTCGTACAAATGTTGCTACACTTACGACAATACATCGTGGTGCAATGTTATTTGATGACACTTTTACTTTCAGAGTAAGAAAAAGTTCATTGGCTATGTGGTGTCTTCTGGACTGCCCTATGGAATGGGGGAAGATCCTTTTCATTTCATTTTCAAGGTGACTATCACAGCATTATTCTACAGGCTGATATTTGTCTCATCTTACTTTTTTTTTGAAGTGACATTGACATGTGCCCCCAGCATTCACACATGTGTTCATGTTTTAACAGACTGCCTGGTTGGGAGAGTTGCCTGCAGTACCTGTGATTGAGAGAGGAACAAACGTCTTGCCGACCATTCACATCCGAGACCTGGCAGGGTATGGGAATCCTTTTACTCTTTTGGCGAATCTGGGCTCATGGTTGACCCTGGATGTAGCACTTAGTGGTTGCTAAGTCATTGTTTTTTGTCAGTGTGCACAGGCATGTAGGCGCATCAGGTATCATTCCCATCTATACGAATACTCTGTAAAAAAACAAACATTGTCGTCTAATACATTGTGCTTGCCCCACAGTCGACTGATTACGCACAAGCACAATCGGCTGATTATGCAAAAAGGACCTTGCGAATGGGCACTTTTGCCTGCCAATGCTGGTGTCAACAGCCAGTAAGGGGGAGGTGTGCTTGCTCGGTTCTCCATACATCGGAACATTTTCACTTGCTGGAGGTGGCGACTGATTGAACATTTACAGCTAATCGCTGAAATGCTGATTGGAACGATTCTCTGGGAAAAAAACATGCATATATCTTTGCTGACACTCAGTAGCATTATAACCACAAACATTTTAAGGAAATGCCCTGCACAATGTAAACAATTAGTAGAATCACAAGGGACACCACCAGTGCCGGCGTTGTGTCGATGAGCTGTCAAATTGAGATGCAAGGGCAGGTGAGCAAATTGTTCTGTCCACGTTGTCACTTATAGAGGTTTTGTACAAATGCTGCCGAAGGAAGTAAATAAAGTACTCCATTAATCCAGGAAATCTTCACTAACTCTCAGGAGAATCTGCATTGGGATGTTTGGCCAAATCCTTATGATGGATTGTTTTGCTAGAACTTGCCCTAAAACATTCGCTCTGTGAGTATAAAGTTTAACGTGTTTATCCTGTGCAGCGTCTGGCCACCTCCACAGAACTGTGACTGAGAGCTACTCTGCAGAGATGAGCACCACCTCGGTCTGAACAATGAGGCCCCTCCCTTTGATGCTGAATTAGTACTATTCACATACCTGCATTTCCCATATCCTCTCCTTTGATGCTGTTAATCCTGCATAATGCACATGCATATGTAGTACTAATAACATTCCTGCATTTCCCATAAATATGCTAAATTCCTCTTGATATGCAAATTCCTTTGTCAAGGCGCCCAGCTTATATATATGCTCCAAGCTCGTGTGCTGTTTCATTCAGACTCTGTCGCCTCGACTAGACCTGGTTTTCACCTGAGGACGGCTGCTTGCGTTGTGGCCGAAACGTCGTGAGAATTATTTTATTGTGTTTTATTTTTATTATTTTATTACTTCCCTTCTACGTGACTTTACCGAAAGAACCAAGAAGAAAAAAAATGAGGCACTCTTGAGTTGACATTGCTTTTTGAATATTGCCAGAGTGATTCAGAATATAGCTGACCACAAGCCCAAGACTCGTTACATCCTGGCTGTGGACGAGGGCAAACACACTCAGCTCGAGATAGCACAGGTAAGAACGTGTTTTCACATTTTTGCCATGGATGTTTTTTTTGGTATTTATGCATTTTTGGGAAACCTCTCTGCCTGGAGAAAGCTCGCTTGTATGAGCGGATACAAATAATGAATTTACACTCATCCCATGATTGGGGTCAGCCTCACTATCGTACAGAATAATCGCTTATGTTGACTACCTACAAGCTGTTACTCGTTTTCTCCACTGATTAGGATTGTAGTGCTGAATCGACCCCCGACTCGAATTTAACTCCAAAAAGTTTTGATTGTGATTGTCATGGATTGAAATGACAGTGCCACCTGGCCATAATAATTAAATATTGATGTGTATACTTTGACATATGTATCAATGTACCTACCTTAGAATTAGCATAATTTTTTTTTACTTTTAGCTCCACAAGCCAGAAATCAGGTGAAAAATTGCACCGACATGAAAATTTACCCGATTATCCTCATCATGTGAAGACTTAGTGGAAGCTTGCAATCATGTGTGCGCTATTGGTTGAGAATGATGTGGAGATGCTTCTGAATGGAATGGAAAGTTGTATCTCTGCACCCCAGGCCATCAGTAAGAGGCTGAGCACGGGGCGCATCAGCCACATCTCCAAACAGGAAGCCATGAGCAACAAGGACTGCTTGGTAAGAGTGCTCCTGAGTAAGCATCTCCACCCCACCGGTGCCCAGCAGCCTGGGCTTATTTACTCTTCCACAACTCCATGCCGCTGGCAGTTCACCATCGCGACACTTTACTCTCCTCATCATTGAATTCGCAACAAATGTTTGTTGTTTTGCTGCAACGTTTTAGGTTACACCACAAAATGTCTCAACCTCCCCTTGCCGGTTATGAGAGACGGTTCTTGCCACATTCTATTTAGCAAACTTCCAACTTGTTTGTCGAGTAATATATTTAAATAATATAACATTTCAGTACAAAAACATATTTATTCCTTACAGCTTATATTATGGTTAGGGTGCTTAACTTAAAACATTGTAAGTTTGTAACTTAAAATCCAGTCATGGATAAATTCAGTGTGTTGTCTTTCTGGGATGATTAAAGGACAACTCTTTGGATTGTCAATAGTGGTTACCATATGTAGATACTATCCCCACCTTAGCAATATGGAATTTTAACCAATGGTTTAGGACAACATTCAGAGATTGGCAGCACCCAATGTTTCAAGTGGGAGACACTTTCACCTGACTTAACGTGTGTGATACTGTAGTGGACATTATCATCACCAGCCATGATCAATCCACTTCGGGATGCCGGTCTCCCCACACCGTCACCAACTCACATGGTCCTGCAATGCCACAATATATTTAACTCCTGAACATGAGCTGATAGCATGGCTCAATCTCCGAGTTGGTCGACCTCTCAGACATATTTTCTCCTTAAACTACCACTCTGTTGTTCGTCCAATATATTGGCCGAAAGCGACCCTAGTGAAGTGTCATACACAAGCCCATTTACTTTCCTTAGCAGTCAATATGATGTCCATGATTTGTGTTTGTTCTCTGGTATTTGTGTTCCTCTTTTAGTCTTTCAGTGTATATCCAAGAATCCATCTCTCCAAGCTTTTTGCATGCTATTTGGCTTTTCTTCCATTTTCTTTGATTGTGCCCATATTTCTGATCCATGTCATCGTGGGTAATATTCAATCATGTGAAACTTTCTGCAAGTGAAAGAGGTCACTGCTTATTACTTGGCATTATGAGTAGATGTGAGCCAATGAGCGAGGTTGCGTATCTGACTGAGCGAGTGCACTGCCCACGCCTGCACGCCTGCCAGCCCCATCATGTGGAGCAGCTGCTGCTGGACGTGTGTGCGGAGGCCGTTTTTGTCAAAGAGGAGTTGAACGTGCGCTGGGTGGCGGAGGCCGGCTTGCTGGCCAACCTGGAGCGGGTGGTGCGCGAGTTCCGGACCACACGGAAGCTCCAGGTTTGAGACAGTGTTCTCCACTGCATCACTTAATGACGCTTATGTTGTGTGTAAATAGCACAAGGGCCCTTTTATAGTGAGTGCTGTATGTATATGATGTTTCTGCCCATATGTGCTCTCCTCTTAAATAGTCTTCGTATTATACTATTAAATGCATGATGGCTCACTGTATTGTCCATGTTTATCCATGGCTAAGAGCGGAATTCGCCGCAAAGGTGTGGCTTGTGCTTGGAATTCCCGATGGTGCCAAACTCGTCATCATGATAGCATCACGCACTGCTGATGATCTGGCCAGAGGTGACCCGCGAGCGGGAAACTATGGCATATTTTCCGAATAAACGGTGTAAAGAAATGAAGGCAAATATGAAGTTATTAAGAGTTGATTCATACAGGGAGGGATTCCACAATAATGTACTTCACTGATGTTTAACTGTTTCATCAGGGCTGTGTCGTGAGAGAGATGTTTTGTTTTATATCCCCAGCCCATCAAAATCTGCATCCTGGGCCCACCGGTAACTGGCAAGAGCACTGTGGCCCAGATGCTGTGCAAGCATTACAAAATACACCATGTCAACATGAAGGATGTCATCACAGAGGCTCTAACCAAGCTGGTAGGTAGGCCAGGCAGCCAATGCCCCACGTTTCGTGCAGCACATATAACAGCATGTTGATTAGACATCCTTAGTTCTTACCATAAGAATCCAGAAACTTATGGGTGTCCCATGAATGCCTCAAAATAGACACAGACCAGTCACAACCCCACATTGATTTCTCTTGTCCACAATTATGCATTTTCTCAATGAATTACGGATTATAAATAAACAACTGGCCATTTCATCCTCAGTAAAATAATGTGTAAGTTATTTAACGGATGGGCCTTTTAGCTAGTTTCAAAAAAGCCACTGAAAAACTGTGATGTGGAAGGCCCATTGAGCGATAAATGTAAGGGTTATATTATTTTGGTGATGGAATAATGTCTGTTTATTATTAACTTCTCTGTCCCTGGGAATCAGGAGAGGATCGTTGGCTCAGCTGGCAGGCAAGAGGAGACTGAGTGGCACGAGGAAGACGTGGAGGCGTTTACAGAAGACGTTCAAGAAGCGCAGGACTTTCTGGAGGCTCTTAGAGAGAACATGCTGCAGAATGAAGGTGTATTGTCTCGTCAGAAGAGATGTTACCACCACTGCACATGTCTTTTATGGCTCTTCTGTGTTTTATTTACAACAGCTGTAGCCCACTCTGATGTTGTGAGTTTCAATCCCAGCCAAGAGCTTCTGCGCTCATAATTTCTTAGAGCTCAGTCAATTAAACTTAACTTGGCAAATCAGAAATCGGTTTTCCTTTTGGATAGACTGGACTATATTATGGAAATGTGGAATTTCAATCTCTAACTCAGAACTGCCAATGGGGATTAGCACCGCCAAATGCTGGTTTAAGTATGGAGTTACTTTGGCTTATTTTTGCCTGGCCATATGGAACAGTGACTTGCTATCACTTTCAGAAATCAACTACATTATATAAACCTGACCCTGCCTGCGTAACTTCATGGTCCAGCCCTGCCTTCCCATAAATAACCCATCCTCCCTGCAGAAACCCCAAGTGTAGGATTATCTAAATTCCACTTTCACATCCTCAAGTGGCTAATAGCCCATGTCTTTATAGTCTGTAAAGATAAATGGGGTTTTCACTGTTTGTGTGTGTCTGGTGCTGCCCAGGACGACTGGAAGATTCGTACTTGGTACGGTTGTACAAAGAGAAGTTGTCTTCCCCACCATGCCAAAATCAGGGATTTGTGCTGGACGGTTTCCCCAAAACATTTGCTCAGGCAGTGCAGCTGTTTGGCGGTGAGTACATCTACTTGTGGAGGTGATTGTTGTAAATGTTTTTGGTAATACTAGCACAGGTAAATCCACAACACCCTCCACCAATTTCCCTCCAACTAACACATAACTGTAACAGTGAAATCTCATAATAATGGACATTAAAATACTTTCCACATAAACCTATTTCATAAAAAATCTTTGGCAGGTTTACTCACATGAATAACATTACAATATTTCAAATAACGTACTTAATATTGATGTGCATTTCAGATTAACGTCGTGAATTATAATTTACAATAGTTTTTCTTAATCACCGCTACGACGTATATCCCACTTACGTACCAGCATGGTCATGCAACTGATGCAGTGCGCTTTCTGCACAACAATTGGCTATAGCAACACAGTACAACAAAAACCACAGCCAAGCCAGCACACGTCACGTGACACCACAGCTAGATATGACGTTACAGCACACGTCTCTTTGTGGACCAAGTTTATTTCTCATAATGCGTTAGTCAAACCAAGGCAACAAAAAGTAACAGATTTCTTAAGTAGGGTTCAGAAGTTTGAAATAGTCCAGTTCCATTGTGGCAAGATAGCATGCAATGTTTTCCATAATATTTGTAATTTTTCTTCGCATTTCAGTTTAAATCATTTTCATTCTAAAGTGGGAAAATACAGGGTCCCCGCACATACATTGTAAGGAGATTTCACTGCATTGTTAGCCAATAGCGGTTATACATACTCACAATTGATCAGAAACTAGAGGCTTGTAAGTAAAACATTTATTTCTGCACTGACTGGAAGGAATTTCAAATGTAAGGAGGTTGGTTCTCTCTCCAGTTAAGGCCAGCCTATCACTAGGTGTGGTATGTGTTTGAGAGGCGATCAACTTACGCACTAAATTTCGATTTAAAGCTTTCGTGACTGCAGGAATTCATCTTCTTGGTTCTTTTGGTAAAGTCACGTAGAAGGGAAGTATTAAAATAATAAAAATAAAACATAATAAAATAATTCTCACGATGTTTCGGCCACAACGCAAGCAGCCGTCCTCAGGTGAAGAACATGTCTGTCGATAAGACAGAGTCTAAAACTTACGCACTGTTATCATTCTGGCATACTGTTGGCAGTGCTGCATTTCCATTGGAAAACAGTTTTGAGAGCGCTTGTCTCACAATTGAAAGATTGGAGAACCTAATCAACTCGTCCCATCATCACGCTGGCATCTGTAAATGTGTCTCACTTTGCCACAGTGGCAATGCTCTGGAGAAACTGTCTATTGTGATAGGAAGTGGAATATCCACAAATGCTTCTGGTTTACCAATAGAAGAAGATAACAAGCCATTGCCAATGGTGTTCGATTACATCAATCTTTTACACGCTTTTATTTAACTCACTCTGTTGTTGTATCCTCAAATCTTGTAACTCAATTTTTACCCACTTCCCAATGTGGTATCGACTGCAAAATTGGTATACGTATTTCATACTGATGACAATACGATATTCTATCATTAAAAAAAATATATATACTTTAAAACATTATTTTTTATATGTTATGTTTCGGCTTGGATCGAATTTATGGCAATCTCCGAGGCCACTTCCTGGAGTCGTGGAGTTCTGCCATTACGAGTACGGTATATTTCATGAAAGCGTGTTTAAAAAAAAGTTTTTTCAAATATTACTTGTTTATGGCAGAGTTAATCAAAATGGTGGTGAGGTGGTTGAATACCTGGTAGTACTCCTCTTTAGTGTGACACTGTTATGTTGACAGTGGAAGACGAGGAAGATGGTGAAGAACTGAATAAGAGGAAAGTGCCCCTCTTTGACAAGAGCATAATCCCAGGTATGCAGTGTTTCTTTCGCTAGCATGGCAAATCAGCGTTTAGTTGGTTTCTTTTTAAACTAGAACGGACAAGGTGAGTGTGTGTGTGGCAGGAGACGGTGTATGACCGCAGCGCGATGTCGCGTACAAACCCTGTGACAGAGCTGGTGGTGTCGCTGGACGCTGAAGACGACGTTGTGCTCCACCGCGCCATGTCGCTGCCTGAGTGCGCCGTGCTGGAGGCTGACCTCACGGAGGAGCGCGTGAGGAGACGCCTCGCAGAGTTTCACGCTCTTCGTTCCGAGGACGACACGGTCCTCGACTACTTCGACGAGCTGGAGATTCATCCTGACCACATTGGTCAGTGTTTGGCTCTCGCACATTTTTAAACGTGTGCGTTCTATTTTGCGTTTCAATGCCACGGCGTCTTCGTCAGCTCTCTAAAGCATCATTTGTGCAGATGTGTATGCTGTGAACCAGTGATGTGGTTGAATTCATGCAGCAGAGATCACTTGTTGCCATTACATACTAATTACTTTAGCTAATCATTACCTTTTATTCCTCAATTGGGATTATACATCGCAATCATCGGCCCCTACTGGCAGACGAATGCCCTAGATTATTTGAAAATGAGACTATCCTGTTCTCTTGAGTTCTCACCTGGTTCAACATAAAAACTTGAAACCTTCAATTCTACATGGGTCACAACAAGGAGCCGATATGGCTATGCAATAGACGAGTAACCTAATTGAATTCACGCGCTCTAAAGTGCATGCATAGTAAGTAGCATGTTGTGTTGCACACGTGTGTTAATGCAGATGTGAGTGTTTGCGAGGTGGCTCAGATCAAGCGACGGATTATAAAGCTGATGGGCGAGCCCCGAAATTACGGACCCTCGGAGGAGGAGCAGCTGGAGTTAGCACAGCGAGCGGAGGCGAAGCGGAGGGAGCGAGAGGCACGGAGGCGTGTGGACCAGCTGCTGCTGGACGCACAGCAGGCTGCCCAGAGACTCTGTCAGGAAGAGGAGTGGGTCAGTGCATTGATGGGCACAACTCATCTGAATAGCTCAAGTAACACAGGCATCCCACACCTGAACTCAACATTAAATTGTATCACACGTCGCGAGACTCACTTGTCGGTCTGCTGGGCTCTGAAGTGGCCAGGAGAATAGAGGTTGTTTGCCTAGCAGTATGAATATTGAGTGAGATCCCTTTGTGTTTGATTGCCTTTTACATGCAAAACACTTTAGTGCAGCTGCACTTTATTGTAACTATCGTGGATCTGCATTCTATTGTAACTGTAGTGCAATGATAAGACGTGTATGCTGAGGTAGATATATTTAATTTATTTCGGTAGGAAGTGCCCAATAAGCTGGTAGGCTATATTTCATGGGCGTCCTGCAACGATACAGATGTTTTATGGTACAGATCTTGGTTACAATCATGGTTACATAGGTCGCGATATAAACAGAAAGTATGAGTACATGCTTTACATGTGACAGGAATAGGGAACTGGTTGAAAATGTTAAATAAATAGAGAGGATGACTACATTAATTTACAAACAAAAATAAAGCAATTACTCTTTGGTTCTTTCGGTAAAGTCACGTAGAAAGAAAATAAATTAAATAATAGAATACGACGTTTCGATTGCAACACAAGCAATCGTCATCAGGTAGAAAACAAACCTAGTGAACTTAGAAATGCAATGCAATCCAACACAGAGAGTCGGTTAACACAACATTCAGCACCTTACCTGGTTGATTACGTTCTTCCAAAGATTGATCAATTTGAGAGAGAGACAAAACAAAGACACGGGAGGACACAGACAGATACACAAGCCGAGAGAGACAACACAGAGACACACAGAGAGAGACACACTACATAGACAGAGTGTGTGTATTCTATTATTAAATTTATTTTCTTTCTATGTCACTTTACCGAAAGAACCAAAGAGTAATTCCTACAGTCACGAAAGCTTCAAATCAAGTTTAAAAATAAAGGAAGTAAAAAATGAAAATTTAACAAAGCAAACAAAATCATTAACTGTGAATTTTAAGTATAATGCTTACAGACTTGGTTTCTTGCTTCTCTGCTGATTCATTATTACAGCTACATCTATGAAGGAACTTGATTTTAGGAGCGAACAGAGGTTTCTCATGCTTGGGTCTCAGATGATGTGTGCGGTAGCAGGACAGACTCCGATTGGTTTAAGGGGTAAGGACTAATTAAGTTGATGGCAGTTGGTAGGGTTAGGCTTTCTTTTATTTAACTTCAAATGAAATGTCAGTGACACCAGGGGCAATAGTTGATATTTTTTTAAGAACAGGAGCAAACTATATTCGTCTGCCCTTGCTCGTATCCCGCGTCGCCAGCGCGCGTGCTGGGAGGAAGTGAAGCGTCAGGAGCGCGAGGCGATGGGTGCCCGCCACCTGCCCCTGCGTAACTACCTCATGAAGTACGTGATGCCGCCGCTGGCTCAGGGCCTCGACGAGTGCTGCAAGGTGAAGCCGCACGACCCCATCGACTTTGTGGTGAGAAACTCAATGCATTCTCCGCAGCAATTATAAAAAAAAACGACGTACTTTTTATTTTACCAGGTAAGGCCCACTGAGCTATATAGCTCTTTTTCAGAAGCGACCTGGCGATCACAAATGATAGCTCAACGAAGTATCTTGTGTGGAAAGTTATAGCGGCCAAATACTCTTAAACGCACGTTTGTAACTGTGGAGGGAAAACCCGGAGGACCCAGAGAAAAATCCACATGACCACGGGGAGAATATGCAAACTCCAAATATACATGCGTCAGGGTGAGGATTGAACCCACGACCAATTGTATGCCAGGCGAGGTAATTCACATCTCGCGACCGTGGCTCCAAGCACATGGCCACAATGAAAAGTGGCTAGCAGCAGAGAGGGCGAGAGTGAGGGTGAGAGTTGATCGGCTTCTTGAGCTCAGGTTAAAATGCGAGTGGTAATCAGGTTGCAGAATTAACCACCATGGATTCCACAGTGGTAACCATATGGATGGAGTGGACACCAACACAGAATGTGGAATTTTCCCCATTGCTTATTTTAACAGTTGAGAGTTTGATTGAATAATTAACACGTGGATATTTGTTTTTTCATCCATTTTGTGCCACCCCCCCCCCCCCCAGGCTGAATACTTGCTGCAGTACAACTGTGACGAGGAGTGAGCTGTGCTAGCACGTGGAACTCGGAGGGACTGCAGTGTTTCTGTAGTCTCGGTCGTGCCGATGGAGTTCACGTTCAGCTTTGCTGACTTAAGTCTCATCACAAGGGGCAGAGCATACAAACATACCGCTGTATTTACAATTTGGACGTAATTCACATGTTGGCATAATGACAGCATCCGGAAATATATGGAACTGTAAAAGGTAAAAATCACAATTATTGTATAGGAATATACAAATGTTTTTCTATTTTCAGGCCAACACATTTTTCCGACCTTTTATAGATTCAACTCTTACAAAGAATGGTTATTCATAAACATACCTTTTTTATATGAAAACGTTTTTTTTTTACTTGCAGGTTCTTAAAGCAATTTAATAGACTAGAAAATAGTTTGTTTAAAAATAATTTCATGCTTAGGAAGTTACTAAAAAATGTCAGTGCAATGAGAAATGTTTTATTCATAGCGAGATGAAGAAATATCCATATTGACAAATACAGTAATTCTGTGCATGTGAAAGAGGAAAACAATCGATAACACATCTTAAAAATGGAAAAGTATTTACATTGTAAGAGTTGTGAAAATATATTTGAGAATTAAACCATTCGGCACTGTAATAAACATTCCATGGTATTTGTTTATATAATGTATATCTGTACAGTTATGTCTGGCACATTTATGCATCAGGACCGTATTCAACGGCTCTCCCAAAGAGCATAATGACGTGATTACAGTGTGCATACGGGTAAGATACAATGGTTTGACACACCAGCAAAAGAAACATCGACACCAAACTGAGAGCTGAAGTTCATAAGCGTCTCATGGCAGCAAATTGCACACCCAAGTGAAGGCACTTCCTGCCCAATAGGTGCAATTCCGGGACGTCGACACGATGAGCACTGTAATATTCCTGCGGAGGGAGCTGGTAGGAACGTTGGATTGCTCGGTCAATGGCCAGGGTCAACGGCGGCGTGGTGTATTCCGCAAATATGGCCGACTGTGAGGGTGGGCACAAGTCGGCGTGAGTAGGTTAAACGTTGAGTTATATAAGGGCACCACGGGGAGACCAGCCCCTCCCCACCCAGCCCCTCCCCTCTCCACCCAGCCCCACCCCTCCCATTTTTGGATGCACGACGGACGGACACAATAATCCCCTGTGGGCTGGTGTAACCAGGAGGTTCCTACCAGTATAACATGCAATAGAATACGTTACGTAGCATATGTTCAGACGTCAATCCACTACTGGATGAGAGCCTTGCCACGACATGTAATCTTCTTCCTCTCGGGTGTAATTCCAATCCTAGATTTCTACAATGGTCCTAAATGCACTTTTAAGTTTTTGTTCCAATTTATCAGGGTAACATTTTCTGATCTATATGTCAGCAGGTAATAAATATACCTTGAATACTCTTGTCGGGGCATATTGGTACGTTGCTTTTTCCAAAAGCACTCAGCTTGCTCTCATCGTCCTCTTAAAAACGTAGGGTCCGGGCCACCTTCATAAACAGACATTAAAATTTACATTCATTCTGAATTTTCTCTTTAAGGGTTATCACCGGTGCCGTGTAAATACATTTTCACGTGTGGGCTGCGTCCCACATATATTAGTTTATAAAATATATAAAGGACATGCATTCGATTATGTTTGCGAGTAGGATACTTTTATTCGAAATATGCATTGTAATCGTCCAATCGATTTCTTTCAACAAAACCTTTTGGGTACATGGCTTACACGAGGCTGAAACATGCTCACTGCCGTGTAACTTAACTCCAGTGCTCTCGATCTGTGAATCGAGATTAGCAGTAAGCCCTCCACGGTGCAGCCTGCCGTGATTAGTGCCGTGATTACTTCCCATCGGGAGCATGCAGCCTAATTCGCCCATGAATGGAAACGATATCTTAACGACTTGCGGTGATCCACACCGTGGGGGTCGCGACGACTGGAGATTGAGAAACTCCATTCAGGTACCGCGTGCGCTCTGTGTCAAATCCACCTCCCATTGCTAATGAGCGCGCGTGCGTGCGCGCACGTGGACTATAATATCCACGTGTGTGCGCGCGCACGTGGACTATAATATCCACGTGTCATTTAATATCCACGTGGATCCACTGCGGTGCACCAGCCCCAGCGGGGTCGCAGCAGGGACTTGAGCAGCAGCAGCGAGGTTCTGAATCGCGGCGTGCGAGAGCTCCATGCCGTCTCCGCTGCCAGTGGGGCGCTTTCGCCCTCGCCTCTCCTCCCCGTGGTTTGACGCGGGCGGCTGCTCCCCGTGCAAGAGCAGCTCCCCCCCGGTGTCGGCCGCGTTTCGCTGCGCGTTCTCGCCCGCGCAAGACTTCTCTCCTCCTCCTGCTGCTGCTGCTGCTCACGACCACCGACCCGGCTCGGTCAATCTCTCCGCCCTGAGCCTCCAGGGCCGTCTGGGCTCCGGGGCATTCGGCCGCGTGTTCCGGGGCTGCTACTACGGGCGGCCCGTGGCCGTGAAGCTTCTGTCGCCGCGCGGCGCGTCCAGCCTCCACGCGGAGATGAACGCCGCGGGTCTGCGCCACCCCAACATCGCGCGTCTCCTGGCCGCGTCCCCGCGCACCTTGGTGCTGGAGCTGGCGGGTCCCCGCAGCCTGCAGGGGCTCCTCTACGACGAGGGCGACGCGCCCCCCGTGCCGTTCGCGACGCGCGTCGCGTACGCGCGCGACGTGGCCGAAGCGCTGCGCTTCCTGCACGGACGCGACATCGCGCACCTCGACGTGAAGCCGGGCAACGTGGTGCTGGCCCCCGACGGCGAGCTCTGCAAGCTGTGCGACTTCGGCTGCTCGAGGCGTCTGAACGACGGCGGCGAGGTGCCGACGCGCACGGACGCGCCCGGCGGCGGCGGCACGTACACGCACCGCGCCCCCGAGCTGCTGAGCGGCGGCGTCGTGACGGCCGCGGCCGACGTCTACTCGCTGGCGGTGACCCTGTGGCAGCTGGCCACGCGGCAGGCGCCGTACCCGGGCGCGGAGCCGCACTGCGTCGTGTACGCGGTGGTCGCCCGCGGGGCTCGTCCCGTCTTCCCCGCGGGCTTCGGGGCGCGCGGCGGAGACGACCCCGAGGCGCGCGTCCGCGACCTCGTGGAGCGCGGATGGGCGCCGCGGGCCGGGGGGCGACCCCGCGCCGGCAGCGTGGGGGTGGCGCTGGGCGAGATCGTGACGGCCGCGCGAGGTGGTGGTGGTGGAGGAAGAGGAGGGGGTAACGGTCGTGTGCGGTGAGGGAGGAGGCTCCGTCAGTCTCCAGCCGAGACCCCCGGGGGACCCCCCCCCCCCGTGGATGCAGATTGACTGCTGCTTTCTTGAACGTTGAATTTTTTTTCTTCACAACCGGAGTGCGTGTCTTTTTTTTTTTAACTGGGTTGAAGAATGAGAACGCACCTGTTCACGGACACTTGTTTCCGTTTTTTAAATTTCGCTGTAACCTGGTTTTCGGTGTACGCATCGCTTCTCCCCCCGTTCTTAATTTAAGGGCGACGTTCATTTTCGTTCTACGGCTCTGAGCAAGCGGTCGATGGACATTGCGCATCTACCGTGACGGGTCGTACAAGTAGTAATTGGGTGACTTGTCTGAAAGGTGGTCTCAATTGGATGATGCTCACCAAAAACATGTTTACAATAACCTTCAGCTTGTCTTAAAAGCTAGACATTGCGGAGTGTTTTCGGAAGTCAACTCTTGTACTGGACCTCCATACACAGCTTCAGTTTACTAGCCCTTTTTTATTAACGATTTCTGTGCAATGTGCTTTGAAAGCCCACTGAACATTGGCTGTAAAAACAGCACGAAACGGACAACGGGAAGGAAAGGCAGTTTGAGAGGGGGGGGGGGGGGGTACTTTTTGTGCGAATGTGAATCTTGTGTGCAAATTGTCCTAAATCAAATGATAGCCGAAACCTACTTGCTCTTCTACCGCAAACCACATTTTTCGAAGCTTGTGACCGCTAATCCTGAAATGGGTCCCCATACGGGGAAGGCTTCCCTCGAGTTCCGACTCGCACAACTGCAGTGTGGGAAACGCGTCTTGACACACGGCTGGGTTGTCTCGGTTTTGCGAATGCTCTGCCGTGGTTTTTCTTGGTGTACTTAACATAGGGAGGCGGTATTTGAGGTGCATTGGTATTAATTCGAGTCGAACTGCCAGCGTGTTTTTTAGTATTGCGTAAACATTTAAAGTGTTTTTAGACATGTACGTAAATGGATGATTGGAAGTTGTCAATGTAATTAATGTTGGAACCTAACGGATTGGTTTTCATATAATATATTGCAAATGTGGTGGTTTTTAAAGAACTGTTTTTTAAAGAATTTTACTTTTTAAAATACTAGTATAATTAAAATAAAATACTATTTTATCTTTCCAACGTTTTTCTTTTTGCTGACACGTGGCACCTTCTCTAGCACATCTGCCACTCAAGCACCATCACATTACTACTCATAAAATCGAACAATTTATTCCAATGCAAAAATACATGCATACCATCTGTACATTGGATTAACATTTAAAGTTAACTCAAAACGGATGGGTTTTGGCATGACGCGCAGCTTGATTTGGGGGTGATGTCTGATGGGCGACATTGGCAGATTGGCATGTTGAACTTTATTTCGCGCCGTACATAGCCAACGTTGATAATGGAGAATCCTCCTAAAAGGATAACCACTGGAGTCTGAGCGATGATATCCGTTGGTGTAGGTTGGCATTCGTCCAGCAATGGATTAGAATGGCTGTGGAGATTAATGAAAAATTATTACCTTTCACCACTGCTGTTAAGGTCTTGATGCTGCCACAGCTGAAAGGCACTGCTTTATTACTGCATTACACTAGCCAATCATTATTTAAAACCATTGATATGGTCCATGTTATCCGCATTTACCGTAAATACGTAGAAAAGGTAAATAATAAATAGATATACTGCTAATAGAATATACTGTCACCTGTTACAAAAACCTCGGTCAATAACACTACCTTTAATATATACAGCAAAAATATTATCTGGCACCGTAACATCCAGAATGCTCTTAACCAGCATCTCTCAGATGCCAAGACAAATCTTACTTTACGTTTCTGAAAAATATACAATAGCCATCTGGCCGCTCCCTTCCCGATAGATCTATTGTTTAAGGAAGCTTCAGGATGCTGCCGAATGGTGGTGTGGGCGGCCTCTTGCAAACATCCGCTATCCACACTTGTGATCGCGTTGTGCTGTATTGTAACTTGTTGAATATCTGGCCCATCCTGAATGAGTATCTCTAAAGAGTTATTGCTTATGTCTTCGTTAATTTATTTCTTGAAAAGGTTTATGGACTTGGAAAATTTGAACCAGAAGTATAACTCATAACCGGCACCCTCCATTCCCCATCAATGCCAGGTAATGCGTTTGTTGTAATAGTTGGTGTTTTAGGGCCCTGGCCCTTCGGAGGATGCACAATTAGACGTTATGGATAGCTTGATCGAGAGGATTGTCGTTCAATATTACGTCCACATTCTTGTTTATCTCCATTTGAAAAAAGAGATTCCTGAACGTGGCATCAAATTCGTTATTGCAGAGCCTGAAAGACAAATAATGGGAACAAGGTAAATAATTTCCTGGTATGACATTCCGACATGGGGATATAATGCAATTACTAAATTTTAATAGTCCATTATAATAATTGCAATTTGCAATGCACACAGTATTCGATCACTCTCAGAGTACCGTATTCTCCTGGAAAGCCAGAGTATGGCACATCAACACCCATGGAAAGGGAGTTTCACAACATTTGTGATTCACCAATCCTTGCCTCCACCGAAAACAGGCAAGTTCCACTACGCCCGGCTATATGAATATTACAAGCTAATAATCATATACACTTTAATATCATCAGCAATCGCCATCTATTTCTCGGCAGGATAACATTTTGGGCCAAAATGTTATAACACATCATAGGCCCTATGTAATGAGGAACCAATATATAAATTTCTAAAATGTTTAACTAACCTTGTGAGAAGTCACGAAAGCTTCAAATCAAGTTTGAACGACCTCTACGGGGAGGATTTAAGTCTGTTTTCTCTCTGTCTGTTAAATTTCACACTTAACTTCTAATTTAGCAAACTTTGGAGAACATAATCAACCAGGATATGCGTTAACTGTGTATTAGCCGACTCTGTGTTGCATTGCATTACATTTTCAAAAAATTGCCAAGCTTGTTTTCTCAAACTGCCTATTTGTCTTTCTAACATTTACCAGGGTCTAATAGGTTAATTTGCTCTTTCTCTCCCCTGGCCGCCACGGGGTGGATTTCCACACAGCTCTTATTGACATGCTAATTTCTCTGCTCCAGCAGACCCACCTCTCTCTCTGCCCCCCCACCCTCTATGTAAGGCCTCGACACAGAGGCGTTGGGTCTGTGTTTGTTGTCTCTCTGTCTCTGTGCTCTCTCTGCTTGTTTGTCTGTGTCTCCGTGTCTGTTTTGTCTCTCAAATTAGCAATCTTTGGAAGAACGTAATCAACCAGGTAAGGTGTTGACTGTTAGCCGACTTGTATTGCATTGTATTTCTAAGTTCACTCGGTTTGTTTTCTACCTGATGACGATTGCTTGTGTTGCAATCGAAACGTCGTATTCTATTATTTCTTTTCTTTTCTTTCTACGTGACTTTACCGAAAGAACCAGTCACGAAAGCTTCAAATCAAGTTTGTGAGAAGTGTTGTCAATTTTGTCTCTGGTCATAGTTTATTTCCGACCAAGCATAAGAACTTTGGACATGTGGAAATGTTCATCACATCTAATCTACTCCAATTTGATAAAAGTTAAGTGGCTTCCATTCTGACCTTGTAAGAGTCCACTATTAGGCATGTGCTATCATTTCACAAAGCAACTTCATCTGTTTTTGGAAGGCATAAGATTGCAGTGGCATGCCTCCAAAAAAGCATCCAGTTTTTTTTTATAACTGGTGTATGTGTAAGAAGCCCTATTGGAGATCATCAATCTCTGGTGAAATTGTCCCCAATAAAATGGAGGTAACAATCCAACATACAATTGATAAGTGCCAGTGTGTCACACAAAACATACCTGAGTGTCTTTACATTACTGTTGGCCATAACGATCTTCTGGAGAGCAGAGATTGATTCATTTGTCAGTTGGCAAGATTGCAAGCTGCAAAGAAAAAAGGTAATGTGCATTTATCTATTTATGGCAAAATATACATTAAAAAAGCAGTTATCGAGACAGTAAAAGTGGTGGAGCTTACAATGTGTAAGAAAGTCCACAGAAGATCTTCAGTTAAGCAAATTTTATGCCATTATCACTCACACATGCACTGGTGGGGAAGCCTCATTCAAAAAACCCCATACTCACGTCCTGCCCACTTTTTATTCTCTATTACCGAATCTCCTGGAAGGATTCCTAAGTTCTCACCCTTACCAATTACCTTTCTTCCTTATCTGCCCCCTGTCCGTCCTCCACTTCCATATCCCTTCCCCACGCTTTTCACTGTTTGAACCCCTCGGATTAACCCTCCGACAGCTAGTATACGGCAGTATTGATGATTTATTTAATAAACGGGGGCTTGGGTGATCCTTACAGATGTAGAGACATTGCGTGTGTGGAGACAGTGTGGGTGCAGGAACAGGACATGGCCAAGTGGTCACGAGGGGTAATTACGGAGGGGGAACCATCTGGGAAGTTCGGGAACGGGCTGGAGAGTTTGACAAAGGGGGCGATGCCGGGGGCGGAGTGAGGGCCACGCCGGAAATAACAAGTATAACCCGTAATAAGTATAACCCGTAATAAGTATAACCTGTAAAAACAAAGTTTTTCACTATAAATCCTTTATATGCGTGGTGGCGAGAGTCCTCTCGTCCTCTGGCTTGAGATGGCTGCCACCTATGGGTCAGATGATTGCATTGCACCATTAAGCAATTGGTAATTAAATATAATATTTTTGTCCTAAAAAGTGTAAAATTTTGGGAAACTTTTTCACGAACATTAATTGTCACGCACAACGAGTCTGTGTGGAAAATGTCAGCTCGATTGGATCACGGGAAGTGGGTTAAAAAACGACCGAAAGATTTGCACGGTCCTAAGCAAGCAAGCAAGTGAACTTAATATAAAGGATTTAAAAAGAGGCGAGAGGCAAGACTCGGGGCTGCCGTGGGATTGGGGTCTACTTGGCTTCACATCGTCGCTGTTTTCGCGTTGTCGCCACTTGCGTCCCATCCCTGGCCCAAGTTATCTGCACATTATCCCTGACCGAGTTATCTGTGTGAAGCGCCCTAAATAATAAGTAAAGAAACCTCGACAGTTCAAGTTTTCCGGGAGTCATTACACAAATGTAATAAAATAAAAATGTGGTGAATATTGTTACTTTTAATTTATAATTTTGGGTACAAGTAGAAATTACCAAATTGTTTTCACCAGATTTTCAGGGCACCAAAATATTACTCTTTGGTTCTTTCGGTAAAGTCACGTAGGTCGAAAAATAAATACAAAATCACGACGTTTCAATCGTCATCAGGTGAAAAGATACAGCAGTAGAACTGTTTAGCATTTGAACTGCTGTATCTTTTCACCTAATGACCGATTGCTTGTATACGATCGAAACGTCGTGATTTATTATTTATTTTTCTACCTACGTGACTTTACCGAAAGACCCAAAGAGAAATGGATCCCTGCAGTCACGAAAACTTCAAATCAACACATTCTTTACCAAGTTTAAGTTTGTAAATGCCCAGTAATACCAGCACAATCTGCAGTTACCAATGTTTAAGAAAATAATGTTGCCTTTTTTCCACAATTATATTCTGAACGTGTATTTGGCATGATGTTACATGGCAATGAGATTTATCTTCGTGTCCTCTCTCCAAAGAGTGTAACAGTAATGTCGTGTCAGAATTCCTCCTGGAAGGCGATGTCAGAATTTACTCTGAAGTCACATCAACAGGCCTCTTCTCCACATGTTTATATGCCACATTACAAAACTTTTCCTCCTCAAAGCTGGAATATATTGAATTGACAAAGCAAAGTTGACATTATATTTCTCTGTTCACATAACAGCAACTGAGTTGAGACCATTAACTCGTGACACTTAAGTACTGGCTTTAAAATCATCGGTGGCTGCTCCAAATGTACCACAGGATCTCGGCAGTGCTGGCCGAAAGCTCCTGAGCTACAGAGCCAAATCAAGTTATGTCATGTTTATATTTGAGATATACAAATAACATGTTGCTCATGACCAAGAATACATAACACAACACTCACTCTAACACCTCCAGATTTCCACATTCCTCCATCTCTTCTGCCAGAAACTTCAAATTGTCATCACCAAGTGGGTTGCCTAGGAGTCTAAAAAACACGTGAAAAAAGAATCCATGTAACACAGAAATATTGTAATACAATAACGTAAACATACAAAGATATGTATTGCTATATACACTATGCCACTAAAAAAACTTAAGTAAACCTTCAAATTACAAGCAATACAAATAAAGCGTTAACAAAACCTAACAATGTACATAAGATTAATAGTTTGTATTCATATTCCTTGGGTCTTTCGGTAAAGTCACGTAGATAGGTTCAAAGAAAATAACCAAAAACTACGACGTTTCGATCACAACACAAGCGATCGTCATCAGGAGGAAAAATGATTATTTTGCTTCTCAATGTAAAACAAGAATGTTAAGTCTATGCTTTAGCACAGTCCTGCTTGGAATGTATGGTAAATCCATAAACAGTACTGTAAAGTGTTTTATTTGCTGGTGAAAAACTGTACGACCTGGAGAAAAACCATGCATAGATAGGACAGCAGCCTAATTGATGGCTGCAGGTAACACAATATACTACATTTCATGATATAGCAACCCCAACTTATATGCTACACAGTTCTAGATACTGCATAAGGTCAACCTCCTCTTATCCAGGGGGCTATGAGGGGCATGCTGGTGCCAGATTATATCATCCACATTTATCCACAGAAATTGTTCATGAAATCCATGCAGCTATCAGTGGAGAAATGCAATCAGATTCAATTTGCTGTCACCTGTATTCGCTGCCACTTCGTCTTATCCGTGAGAAGGCACACGTAAAAAATATATTAATTTGGTGTTTACAGGAGATCACTTCCAGGTGACTCCTCTGTGGATAAGCAATCACACTATTTAATATAGCGCCCTTCACAACAATATTGTCACAAGGCAGATCGATTATATAACACATTTGCCACCACTTCCTAATCATCAGCCATGGACTGCCATGCAGTCAGCACTTCTCTGGAGCCGGCCTCCTGCAAAATGCACCCTGTAAGTTGTGCATAACAAGTTCACTTAAAGGGATTTCAAACCAGTTCTGTAAAATCTTCTTTCATGGACCGTTTTACATGTAAAATTATATTTCTAATGCTTTAAGACCCATTACACCCCATCAGAAACTACAAACATTTGTAAACATGGAATCAAGCAAGCAAGTGTACAATGAACAACAGAGTACTGTTGTATTATTCATTCGGCAGGTGAAGCAGGTTTCATTACACCTCCAAATTTCTGGGTAAATATTGTAATAAAAATTCAATACCCAACTCACTGAGATATGCGTTGCCCAGTTGTTGGCATTAAACTCAAGGGGTTGCTGACTCATCTGTACAAACTCTTGCGTGATCCCATCATATGTACAGCACTTTTTCAGGTAACCAAGTTTCACTCCACATGCCAAATTATCATTAATTGGTTAGACATTCGAATTTTTTAAATTATATAAACAGGTAAAGGTGCAGCCTTGCAATTCCTTGTGCATGTCACTCCTGACAAAAGGGCTCTTCACGAGAATGCGCTGTATACATGAAAGGTTATGCTGTATAATACATAATTAATATATTCAGTATTTTACTCACATCAATCTTTTGCAGTTCTTTACAGCAGGCACCAGTCTTTTTAGTTCACCAAAGTCGATGCCACATTTACTCAGATTGAGTGTGTCTATCGGTCTCTTGCGATTGCTCAAGAGATCGGAGAGCGCAACACAATCCATTGAAGAAATCTGCACCTCTGAAATGTCAATCTCTTCCACGCCACCTGTAATATCACGTGTGGCCTGTTCGTCTTGTAACTCAAATATACAATGCAAAATATGAATGATCTTTTTCTTGTCATATTTGTACTGACTGATGTCATTTTTCAACCAGTCAATTAATATTTTTTTATGAGTCAAATCTGGTGTATGAATGTAGTCACCAAGGTTTTCCAATGCTTTTTCGGATGCCAAGCCACATAAAAACAATTTAACCACATCGTAATGTCCATCATCACATGACTCCGTTCTTTGAATGAACTCTGAAATTGTTATTTTTGGGTCCGGCAGGTAAAAAGTCAATGCAGCAAAAAACTCTTGTATTGACTCGTGAAAAAATACGTAATTTGTTTTTATTAAAATGTCTTCAGATTTAAATATCTCACTCAAAAAAGTACCGTTCAGCTTTTGTGGGTTCACATTAAATTCTTGCAAATGTTTCTTCTCAAACTGTTGAGTGCATTTTTCAATTCCCCAAAATGCTATATTAGCAAGTGATGATATGGATTCATTGACATCGGTTTGTTTTCCTGTGTGATGATTAAGTAGCAAAAAAAGAAACTTTGATAATAGTTCAGTTGTGGTGCTTGACTTAAATAGTTTGAGAAAAATGTTGTCCTTGTTAAAATATGACTTGAATGTTAAAGCTATTATCCAGCAGAAGGCAGGGATGTAACAGAAATTGAACAAGCGATCACATTGTTGTACTCTCTCATAGATATCATTTTCTATGTTATCTTGTGGGAACATCTTTTCAAAGTATTCTTGTATTTCCTTTTTGTGAAATCCTACAATCTCAACGTATTTGTCGACCTTAACGAGATACAATTGGTCCAGCGAAACCTTTCGTGTTGTAAGTAAAATAGAAGCCCCTTTCAACAACTTTCCTTCTATCAGACCAGCAATTATTTCACTCACTTTACTTTTTTTATTTGGATCACTGCTGGATAAGTTAAAGTCAAGACGATCTCTGAACTCATCTAGCCCATCTAATACTATAATGATATCTCTTGCTGTCGGGAGGTCAGGAAACGTTTCGATACCTGAATGAATTTTTGCCAAAAGTTCTCTGAATGAAATATCATCAGTACAATTATTTATTTCTTTAAATCTTAAGAAGATCACGTGCTTAAAGGAGTTATGAAACAAATCTCCAGAAACAAAATCGTACACAATCTTTTGACAAAGAGTGGATTTTCCAATTCCGGGATCACCAGTGAGCACAACTAGGCGAGGCGTTAGCTCGAGAATTGGGTCAAACAATTGTTTATAATGCGTTGGTTTGTCTTCTATTGTGTGGGTGTGTTTCGTTTGCCTGGACATAAAATAATGCTCCTTGAGATACCTAACGTGATCAATTGGGAATAACAAAGGACACACGAATCTGTTTTCCAGGAGTATATGTTTTCCAAAGTTGTAGTCTGCAATGTACTCTGTCTTGTCTTTTAAGTATTCATTGTAACGTGTAAGATCATCATCTGCAATGGAACAGAAATATACAAATAAATATTTAGCAGTTAAAATTGTTATTTAACATTACATTTCAGTCAGTAAAATACTCCCAACAATCCCCAATTTTACCCAGAGCCCATTACAGATAATTTACACTTTCATTACGTCAAAACCTAAGGCGACACTGTGGTTGAAAGTTCAACATATTTAAGGAGCTCATTTCCAAATGGAATCTATAAACAAGTGGGAGCGCCATCGTTCGGGCTGGCCATTATCAGCAGCAGCGTGACTAGTATCATTTTTGGAAATGTTTGTTGTCCTTCCCCTGCAGCTCCAATGAGCACGGTTGACTATGTATGGTGCGAAAGAAGTTCAACATACATACATGATAATCAATTTGACACCCACGGATGAGGCACATAGCATAGGAGTGCAGATGAGAGGTTTCACTGCACAGTGTCTGCATATTACTTCATCTCATATAAACACAGCGCAGCATATACAATGACATTATACAATTGTGTTTTAATAAATGAAATTCTTACCATTCTGAACAGATGTGTAACGTGCACTGGTCCACCTAGATCTTTTCCTCTTTAAAAGAATATAAATTAAAATACTCACTGCCAAAATAATAACCACGATGATTAGGACAATTATGACAGCAGATGCATGCCCTGAGGAGAGAAGGTAAAAGTGAGGGTTTTTAACTTAAATAAAACATCCCCATGGTGTTGTCAGCAGACAGTGTGAAAGTACAATACAATAATAACACATGCCAACATTTATTAGCTGCCTTCATACCATTAGACCAATGTTATATTTACTGCAAAAAAGTCACAAATAAATGTATGCAAATGCTTGTGGAAAATATAATTGATGTTAAATGTTATACATGAACTTTGTTTGCTCATGTTTATTCCAAGATCAACTTTCTATATTTAGTTATTTTAACACTTCCGGAAGTTAATTTCCATTGTAAAATGATTGTTCCCATTAATATACATGCCTTTGTTTCTCCAATCCAGTTTTTTAGAATTTATATCACTGCAAAATAATGTTCGCTAAAACGTGTAGCCACGAGTCCATTTTTGATAAATTTAGGTAATTTCTTCATGTAATCTCAGTATATCTATTCAATCTCATTATCTTCCCAATGATCTTCGTGAACAATTTACATACAGTACAGTAAGAGACTAATGGCTGTTTAGTTCTTTAAATCAGTGTTATATTGCATATGTAGTGACATGGAATGGATCACTATGGCGCATAACGCTGGTTGCTGGCAGAGAGGGGATCTGCAGTTGTAGCAGCCCTGTCTGCCAACAGGTCACGTCATAGAGGGGGCACGTGAGGTAAAGCCCGGTAACCTTCGAGTAGGTTCTCGAAGGGGGGCGGGGCCGGGGGCGGAGTGAGGCCACGCTGGGTGGATAAAAGGGGACCCTGAGCGAAGGTTCGGGGCTGTTGTTGCAGTGGAACGCGTCGTGCTGCTGGAGTCTTCGTCACTGTCTTCACCTCCTCAGAGTTGTTAGTCAGGCAGCCTGCTAGCTGTCCTGACTCTAGTGTAGTTACTTCTTGTACCTGTGAAGTGCCTCCTACTACAAGTGTCTCTGAGTGACTCACTACACATATATATTATCAGAGCATGTTTGTTGTTTGCATGTTCACCACAAGTACGTGTGGTTAATGCAGACAAGATTCCTTGAAAAAGGGTTCTGTTTGGTGTTTTACATCTTGACACCTGTTTTATTTCCAGAAATGGTCAAACGTATTGTTATATTTTAATTCCCATGTAATCATTTCGTGAACAAGTCCACAAATATGATTTCACCAAGTGTTGTGTCTAGCCATAATGATTGATTCCACCTTTTCAGACTGTAACACGTCGAGTTTAATTCTTCTAGTCTGACATCTGAAACCTTTTCCTCTACATATAATACTGGGCAATATGATGTATTTTTCTTGAAAGATTAGCATGTAGAATATAGAATAAGATGTAAGATTATATCTTTCCTTTCCCAATAAGTGGTTATGTCACAGTGAAGGTACTGAATCACAGGAATGCATTATAACACCCAGTCACAATTAAAGTGAACAATTTGTGTATTCTACAGTAATTGTAATCACCTCTAATGCACTCAGCAACTTCATACTGGCCTACAGAACTAGAACACTGAGGCTGCGCTTTTAATTGTGTCAGCATGTGATGCAATAATGCATGGAGATACACCCTCTGATCATATATTTTTCTATAAAGAATTTGTATTTTTCATATTTATAATTACCATTTTAACATTTCTTCAGAAAGAACAATTTTAATTAGCCTTGTGGCTTTTGCAATTCGGTTACTTGTACAATCAGTTTACAGTAACCATGGTTATCATTATTGCTTACCAGTTGCCTCACAACGATTTGAAATATCATGGCGGTAGTAACCCTCCCTGCAGCGGCATATGGCGTCGCGTTTCAGATTACACGGCTGATCAACTTCTTCGTCTGCACAAAACCAAACGTAAAGTTACATCCACAATATTCAATACAGAATACATATTTCTTAGTTTTGCGCACCATTTCAGAGGTGATGGATATTTTACCATTAAATATATTTATTTTCTAACATTAATGGACTTTTTTGGCTCGGCTCTTTAATGGTTATGGCTTGATTCACCATTATAATGCCCATCAGCAACTGAATGCAATCTTTTCTGGAGGGTTGTTTAACTATGGGTCTACATGACAGACAAGGATTTCATGGGTGAACATACTCTGGACTAAATCAGGATTTTCCAACACCAATTTACACAATATATAATAACGTCGTGATTTGAAATGCAGAAGCATGCATCTACCTAAGACTAGAAGGGTAGTATAGTCTTTACATGGTGACCAAAACTAAATATACGTGATATTAGAATGCAATTTCAAAGTTAAAATAACTATTAAAATACATGTAATGTTACATATGAAGTAATTACTGGCGTCACAGAGGCTGCACTCGTTGCACTTTGTCGCATTGTTGACTTTATCCATGTAGTGTCCATTACTACATTGTCTGCAGAATGAATCCCCTTCATTAGAAGAGCAATCAAACATCTTGTACTGCCCTGGAATAAACCAGCACAAATACACTCGATTTGCATCCATGAACCATGTTATGCTTATATTATTACATCACAAATAAGTTACGTGAGGAGTGCGTTCTGATGTTCTGACCGCCGGCCCAACCATTCCAATTCAAAACAACAAATGCACTTAAATATTGTAGTAAACATTCACTTTAAGTCTTTCTAACAAAAATATAAACAAGTTAACACCAATTTTATTGTATTTTATATTTCACAAAGTAAAAAAAGTGCAATGTTCATTAAAGGTGATACCCTAAAAACAGAACGTGTGTGTCTAGTAGATATAAACTAAATTATTTGGATTCTACCTGGTAAGGCCAACTGAGCTATCTAGCTCTTTTTCAGAAGTGACCTGGTCACAAATTATAGCTCAACGAAGTGGCTTATCACGTGGAAATGTATCGGAGCCAAATATTCTAAACGTATGTTGATTCTAAATGTAAAAGGAAAAACTGGAGGACCCGGAGACAAATCCACACGACTATGGAGAGAACATGAAAACTCCAAATCTACATCAGGCGTCGGGGTTGAGATCGAACCCATGTCCTACTGCGTACCAGGCAAAGTAGTTAACATCTCGCCACTGTGGCATTTCAAAATAACTTTTAAGAATTTTCATTTCCAAACTTAAAACGTTTCTTAGACAGTGAGGATGAATCTTAATCATATATCTACAAGCTAAGAACTATTTATATCTCATTTAAACCAACTAATATAACTTTAACATTTTCTATAAACGCATTAAACCAAAATGGCTGGACTTGCAAACACATGATAATGCTTTCCCAATAATGTGGAAACTTCCACGCATATGTGGAGCCAAATTGTGTAGGACAACTCAGGGCACAACCGAGGTATGATATTAAAGATGATTTTAATCCATGGGATGGGACCAATTTGTCATAATTTGCAAATCAGCCCTGGAGAAGCCTAAAACACCTACTCTTTGTGTTTTTTCGGTAAAGTCACGTAGACCGAAGCTTGTGTTGCCTCCGAAACGTCGTGATTAAATTTATTTTAATTTTTTACCTACGCAAGGAGTATGAATCCTTGCAGTCACGAAAACTTCAAACCTAAAACACCTGTTTAATGCATAGAGGTCACCCATCCAACCACCATCTCGATTCAACCAGGTGATTTGAATGAATACGTAAAGATACAATATAACTCATTTGGTCTGTCATTTTCTTAGCAGTAAATACTATGATTCACAGGGGTCAAGAGAACTGGACTTCTTCCCATTACTGTATTATCAGATCCCTGTGAATTTGCCGATAGATGAGATGAACCAAAAATAATCCTTATTTGTGGCTGTAAGATTCCAGCTGCCATCTCTTGTTGTGTGGAAGTGGCCTATTAAAGTTATTTCTAAACTACAATACAGCAGTTCTCTAATATCATATAACAGGAACTGTTCCTTACCATAATGTGGTTACTGTAATTCATTGCTATATATACTTGTTTTGAGAAATCCATGATAAAAAACATTTCCTATCCGACGACATGGGAAAGGTATAGAATTAAAGTAAATGTTCATAAAGTTCCGTTTTATTGATACAAATACTCAATTGTACAACAAACGAGGTAGTCTAGGTATACCATAATCGAATCAGCCAATAATGTACTGGGTTACGTGGCACAGAAGATATACAAAAACAACAAATGCAATGTGACTGTGAGGTTTGGACTGGCTGAAAACCTGTGTAACCTGTGTGGGAATTGTAACTATGCAAAAGTTGCATTGTTTACCTTCACTGCACATGAAACAGCAAATTCCAGTCGTTGATTCGTACATTGTCTCAGAGCAACCTTCCACTTGTTTGTCAAACAGAAAAATCTGAAATGGGAGTAAAAACAAGTTTCATCCCCTCAAATAAATCATTCATCTTTCACAGACTCCCCCCCCCCCCTTCATAGACCTGGGGGCAGAGGGATCTAAAACTGGTGGTAGAGATGGATACAAAGTGGGATGATGTTGGGGGTCAAAGTCTACGAGGGGAAATGATTGACCTTGCTCAAATGGAACAGCGCACAACGGGGTGGTGTTGATGATTCTGTTGTCGGAAGCATCCACAAGTACCCGAGCCGTGTTCCCCAGCACAGTGTTCTCCATCCTCGAGAGAAATTGTCTCGCTCGGCGTCAGACTGAGCGTCACCTCATTCAAGCAGATTTAGCTGAACACATCTTAATAGATATATAGGGGACAGCAGAGCTTGGGCAATTGCTGTGCGCAAGCACAGCTGACGTATCCGCATGTTTGCTTTTTAGAGGTAGTTTTGATGACAGGTTTAAGTGTAAAGGACGACGCTTAATTTCACATGCGCAGTAGGCTTCATCGGATTGACAAGGTCTGTGGAATATTAATGTACTTGCTGATCGAATACATTATTATAAGGTGGCACTCATTACACACAAAGCGCTTAGCCACAACAGCCACATCGAACAAAGACAGCGGTCGTCGCATCGCGCACGCTTTCAGACGCGCTTCTGCGGCCGTCTGGAACGCTCTTCCTTCCAACATTAGGGAGCCACCGGAGCGTTATCGCCTTTTAAATCTAGATTGAAAACTCATTCCTTTAGAACTGCTTTTTCTGTTTAGTTTGTCGTCCGTCCTCCGGTGAGCACGGTCCTCTGCATTCCCACCCGCCGTGTGACCTCCGATTTATCACGGTTGGCTACGTACAGGTGCGAAACACATTCCTGCGGAGGGAGCTGGTAGGAACGTTGGGTTGCTCGGTCAATGGCCAGGGTCAACGGCGGCGTGGTGTATTCCGCAAATATGCCCGACTGTGAGGGCGGGCACAAGCCGGCGTGAGTAGGTTAAACGTTGAGTTTTATAAGGGCACCACGGGGTAACCAGCCCCCCCACCCTCCCCACCCAGCCCCTCCCCACCCTTCCCACCCAGCCCCCCCCCTCCCCACCCAGCCCCACACTCCCCACCCAGCCCCTCCCTCCTCACCCAGCCCCTCCCTGCACGACGGACACAATAATCCCCTGTGAGCTGGTGTAACCAGGAGGTTCCTACCAGTAAAAAGTTCAACATACATACACACGTAGTGCACTTCCATTTCAAATTATACAAGCAGCCCTTCGTCACTGCTGGGTGAAGGTCACCCCCACATAGCTGCGGGTCATCGGGGTTGTGGGCAGTAATGTTGGTAACTGTGGGTTGAAGTGGGGGGAGGGACCACTTGAGACGACACTCGCCACTGACGTTAGCCGTGGCTGGGATCGCAGCTCCGTGCACAAGTTAGCAGCGCCCGAGCTCGGGCTGAACGATTCATCGATTTCAAATCGAAATTTGATACAATGCGATTAACAAATCGCAAAGGCTGCGATTTTTTGCGATTTTAAAAGTTCAATTGCTTTCTCATTGGAATTGTTTTATTTTTTATTATAACTTTATACTCTTTAGTTCTTTCGGTAAAGTCACGTAGGTAGAAAAAAATATAATAAAAGATCACAACGTTTCGATCGCAATACAAGCGCTCGTCCTCGGGCGGAAATTTCGTGATATATTATTTTATTTTTTCTACCTACGTGACTTTACCGAAAGAACCAAAGAGTATGGATTCCTGCAGTCACGAAAGCTTCAAATTAAGATATTAGAACTTTATTTATTTAACTTAACAATTGTTCTATGCTTGATTGTTCTATTTCAATCTAAACATTTTAATAAATACATGTTGGAAGGAATTCATATCTTTTCAGTTCTCATCCTTGCATTAGAATACATAGAGAGCAGTTGATATTTTGATGGTATCGTGCGGTAATGCTCCATCACATGTTTTAAATCCATTACACCGTGAATATTGAACTGAAGCTTGACTTTAAAATGTTTAATCTGAAAATCTGTCAGAAAAATCGCAATTAGAGCGCAGAGACCACGGCGAGGTCCCCCTCCACAGCACAACGGAAGCTGTCGCGAAACGAAACCAGTGAGGTGCGCACGCAAACTTCCCCAAAACGGCGTGCGCGCACATTCTTCTTAATTGTTGTAGCTGAAAACGCACGGACTGTTGTTGTTGCTTGTCGCAATGGGTCGACACTCACTGAGATCAGTAGCAGAACGACTCGAACGGCGACGACGGCTTGACGCCGCGTGCGTTTTGACGGGGCAATCATTTTTGGACAAGGTAAAGACGGCGTCAATCTGGTGCAGGAAGTGCAGCAAACTCGTAAACAACCCAGGTGACTTTGACCCAGGATACGATAACGCCAGCACGGATGTTTGGGTGGAGTTATTGCACTCCGTGCTGTGGGGTGGAGAGGAGGAGGAGGCGTTTACAACTATCGGTTAAATAAACTCTTTAAAAAAGTGTTTTAAAGTGCACTAACAAGTAAATAACTCGATTGGGCAACGGGAAGTGGACGATATCCTGATTACAAGAGACACGTTGCGCCTGCTTCTTGGGCGAGGCTATTCCAGAGTTTAAGGACCGTGGCGTTTTTGACCTACACAAATAAATGTTTAATCAATAAGCCCAGAACCGGCCCTAGACCTTTGGGGGCCCTAAGCAAAATTTGGTTGGAGGCCCCTTTGATGTATGATTTTTTTCACCCACTAGCTAGCAGTGACTCTAGGGGGCCCTCTGCTGGCCACGGGGCCCGTTGCAATTGCAAGGGTCGCTTAGTGGCTGGGCCGGCTCTGAATAAGCCGTCCATACAAAATGTGAATTGCTTTAAAAGAGCCAATTAATTGATTAATTGATGCCTGATTTTGATACAGGCATGCATTGTCACCGGATCTGAGTACGTGTGCAAAATGTGGAATTGATTGGACAACGGGAAGTGGACGAAATTTTGATTACAAGATTTGACCCAGACAAACAGAGGGATCAAGTTAAGTAAAACCGTTGAAAAAAAGACGCTTCAGGATGATATACCTGTCAACCCCGGATTACAGACCAATTCAGACCTTATTGGTCACCCCGTGCCCCTTATGAATTTCAACGTTCATCCTACAAAGTCCTATCACAAGGGAGAAACCCATACAAATAGACAAATAGAGAAATCTACATCATTAGACCTCCTTTGCAGTACCAAAATATAATAATAGTGGTTTTCCCATTTTTCTGGCAACAAAACTGAAACCTTTTTACAAGGAATCATGTGTGCATTAACACAATACTTGCGGTCAAAATTAAAACAACGCCTGTTGGCGTCCTCTGGTCTAGCACCAATTGAGACGAGGCTCAAAAGAAAGCCGTCTCTGGTGTGGACCAATCAGTTTCAAGGACAATACATAAATTATCAGAGTATTGTTTATTTTGTTTGCATTTGACTGCATGTATTGTGGTTAATGTAAACATGATTCCTTGCAAAAGGTGTCAGTTTTGTTGCCAGAAAAAATGTGAAAACCCCTATTATTAAAATATAAAAATGTGTTTGCCCATATTGAAACGGCTGTGCGCCGTATGGACCTGAAAACTCAATTCCCGTGTACAAGAATACGGGGTATAAACCGTATGGGTTGACAGCTATGGGATAATGAGAGTTTAGCGCTGTCGTTCTGCGTTCCTTCAAATGGAGGAAGGGCCAAACAACACCGACTCCTGAAGCCCTCTCGTGGCTGCCAGACCTCGACATTGTCATTTAGCCCCTGTAAAGTTGCCGCAATACGCAAGAAGAGAAACCGCCAAGAGTCCAGAATAAACTTGCAAGCGGTGTGGATTGTGTCATCAGTTGATGAAGAGTAGACTGTGTATGATAACAGTGGGAGTGGAACAAACTTCAAACCCCAAACCCAGGTCAACCAACTGGATGTTCATATAAGTGAGGAAACGCAAACTATAAATATAATAGAAATGAATAAGATGGGGAGGAAATGTTTAATTGAACAAAACAAATAGCAAATTGATCATTGATGGTACACCAAACGTGTTTACGTTTCTAGAGTCACGGAACTCAAAAGGGCATTTAGCGAAGTGTTTCGAATTTTTTTATTTTTTTATCTAGGGGCCGTCCATAAATGACGTCACGCGAATTTGGACGATTTTTGACCCCCTCCCCCGTCGTCACACGACGTCACAAAAAGTCAGACCCCCCCCCCCTCAAATATGACGTCACAAAGCTCTGCCCCCCCCCCAAATAAAACATGCTTCAAATCGCTTTACACTATTATCATTGTAGTGCGTATTTAATGTGGCGCTGCACTCTGATGTTGTAGGAGAAAACATTTATAAAAAATTCTATTTTACTAAGTAGAACGTGTTGTCTATATTTATTCAAAGTGTAAATGTGTCGTAACCCTTCACCACTCGACACAGCCAGTACGGGGCCGTCCATAAATGACGTCACGCACCTGGGGGGGGGGGGTCAGACATTTGTGACGATGTGTGACGAAGGGGGGGGGGGGTGAGAAATATGACGTCACATAAAAATGCGCAACTTTAAATATAGACAACACGTTCTACTTAGTAAAATAGACTTTTTAACAAATGTGTTCTCCTACATCAGAGTGCAGCGCAACATTAAATACGCACTACAATGACAATAGTTTAAAGCGATTTGAAGCATGTTTTATTTTCAAAATGGAAATATGATTTTTGTTTGGGGGGGCAGAGCTTTGTGACGTCATATTTGAGGGGGGGGGGGGTCTGACTCTTTGTGACGTCGTGTGACGAGTGGGGGTAAAAAAAATCGTACAAAATCGCGTGACGTCATTTATGGACGGTGCCCCTAAGGCTTGGTCACGGAAACAACTCGCCAATTAGTTAACCACTTCAGCCCAGCGGTGTGTTGGAGAGCAAACCCACAACATGTACACGTTGACGTCTAATCGCTTTATAACGTGCAGTGCAACATTGAACTAAACAAGATGGAGGGCACGCCGACAAGTCCCAGAATGCCTCGCACCAGCCCGGAAGCATTGCCCCATTGGTTGGTTGCGGTCACGTGTGCCGGCCCACCGCATGAAGCCGGCGTGTGCATCAGCATCATCATCAGCAGCAGTAACAACAAGAGGCGCCATGCAGCAGCAGCCGCACGCCGCGCTGCGCCGCGTGCGGCTCCTTGCCGGGGCCATGGCGGGGCCCCGAGCCGTCGCTCGCCGCGCGCTCTGCGCAGCCTCCTCAGGTGCCCAGGGGCCCCGGCTCCGCCGTGCGGCGGTGGCGAGAGCCGTGGGTGGCTGGGTGGGTGGGTGGCGAGAGCCGTGGGTGGCTGGCTGGGTGGGTGGCGAGAGCCGTGGGTGGCTGGCTGGGTGGGTGGCGAGAGCCGTGGGTGGCTGGGTGGGTGGGTGGCGAGAGCCGTGGGTGGCTGGGTGGGTGGGTGGCGAGAGCCGTGGGTGGCTGGCTGGGTGGGTGGCGCGAGTCGTTGAAGCTTCTTCGGGACCGAGTGGCGTCATGAGCGGTCGCGGCTCCCGCAAGTAGCTGCGTCCTTGGTTGGTGTCGCGTCTCGAGTCTCGAGGCGTCTCCGCGGCGACTTGTCGCCGGAGCCGAGTGTCCGCGGAGCTCCCAGTCGCGAGCTGTGAACCGCGTTGTTGTGAACTTCTCCGCCAGCCAATCGGCGCAGCGCTTCGCGAGTCACGTGGCCGGGCAGCCGGGTGTTTGAGCACGTGGGTGACCTTGGGCGCAGTGCTGTCGTTGGGGCTCGTTAACACTGGTGGAGCTGATTGACACGTGGAGTGGAGCACGTTGACACTTGTAGTGGAGCACGTTGACACGTGGAGTGGAGCTCTGTGACACTTGTAGTGGAACTCTGTGACACTTGTAGTGGAGCTCTGTGACACTAGAGTGGAGCTCATTCACACTTGTAGTAGAGCACATTGACACTTGTAGTGGAGCACATTGACACTTGTAGTGGAGCTCTGTGACACTAGTAGTGGAGCTGATTGACACTTGTAGTGGAGCACTGTGACACTTGTAGTGGAGCACATTGACACTTGTAGTGGAGCTCTGTGACACTTGGAGTGGAGCTCTGTGACACTTGGAGTGGAGCTCTGTGACACTTGTAGTAGAGCACATTGACACTTGTAGTGGAGCTCTGTGACACTAGAGTGGAGCTCTGTGACACTTGGAGTGGAGCTCTGTGACACTTGGAGTGGAGCTCTGTGACACTTGGAGTGGAGCTCTGTGATACTTGGAGTGGAGCTCTGTGACACTTGGAGTGGAGCTCTGTGACACTTGGAGTGGAGCTTGTTGACACTCGAGGTCATTGAGACTAGTGGATCTCATTGTTGACAGTGGCGCTCATTCAGACTAGTGGTCATCAACATCGTGCGTTATTGGCTTCAGCAGCTGAGTATTACAATTGTTATAATTGAAATGTTGTGTACAAATAATAATTGCAATAATGCTGTCAAATATGATAAAATCGACGCATGGCTGTGTTTGACAACTTTCCAGAACGAGTCACTTTATTTATAAGCAGTTTTTAATGTGCGCACACAATCATGGAATACAGTATTGCGATTGTACAGAACGATCTTAAACCGGTTCCCTCGTGAAGTAACTAGTTGTAGCAAAATGTACGCGCTCATAGAAGGTTCATAAAAAAAATATATATATAAAAGAATAGGCGTGAACTACTGATAAAGCGTTGGAATGAAACGACCGTGGCTTATTTATGCTGTGTTGTGCAATGGCTGTACAGAGGTCAGACAGAGCAGACCAAAAGTTGTGGTGGTGCCAACTTGGCTGAGCCTATAAAGGCGGGGCCAGGCGTTGCTGGGGTTGTGGATTTTCCCAGTTTCACTCCTGGAAAAAAGTCAGATGAACATTTAAGTTAATGGTTATTTTTTATTTTAATCCGTGTAAAATTTGAATGTTCACAAGTGTGTGGTTTGTGTGTGTTTTGTGGTAAAGCCCTTTTGACTTCTCGCATAGAACAGAATCGCTAATCCTTATCAGAAACGAGTTCGCAATAGAGACCTATTTTGCAAGCATGAGTGAGAGGTGACCTCCCCAGGAAACTACTGAGGGATGTTGATTGTGCTGCAGGTTGCGTGGCATTACATCAAATACCTGGACAATGCGGTGGGCTCTGCAGAATTGGAAGAATGCAGTGCTTACAGTTTCTTAGAAAACTTGCCTGGGAAAAGTCTTGGAAAAGATTAATCAACATTGTCTTGCCAGGCACGCTGAAGAGAGACTTAAAGGCAGGCGTGCTAGCTGCCTGTTACAGCAAAGGTGTAGAACATTTAAACAGGATCTACGCACCTGCATAATTTTCTTTAATTAATGGGTATTTAATCTGTTATCATTAATTTAGCTTATCGGTTTGCATTACACCGCATGAAATGGAGTCTATGGAGAATATGTATTTTTATTTAGATATACAAATGCTGCTTAAATTTGGTATTACAGTATTAACAACTGCTTAATTGTATTGTCTCCTGTGACCAGGGGAGACCATAACTATTGGAGATGTATCCCGTAAGGTGAAGCGGCCGCAAAACCCTGAGTTGGTGCCTGTCAAGCACAGTAAGTGTCAAAATTTCTATTGGTTGCTTTGCATATTTTGTAGCAATTTAGAGTAAACAAGAAATGGCTCATGTTCAGAATATTAGAAATATACTTTAAAGAATAAACATGTAAAATATCCAGAGGTTTTAAGAAAATGTGTTTGCTGAACATTTTCAGGGAGGGTGTCACTCGAAATAGCTTAGGTCTTTGTTTTTTAATCATAAACCCAAATAAATCACAGTGAACGTGCATAAGAAAAGTTGCCCTCTTCATTTCCACAATTGACCCTTTCCTCAAGTCGTCCAACATGTCAATTGTTGGCCTTCCTCTCATTATTTTCCCACCCATTCTTCCTTCAATAACATCCTTCATTAAACCCTTCTAATACAGTTCTTCTCATGATGCTCATCATTTTAAAGTCTTTATTTGAAAGAATGCAATAATCTGACTGAGCAAGGTGTATTGTGGCCCTGCGTGTGCTGTAGTTACAGGCTCATTGTCCCAATCCACCCTGGAACACCTGCGCTGGCTTCTTCAGAAAGATGTCTTGGGGCAGGATGTGTTCCTCATTGGGCCGCCAGGACCTCTACGCCGCTCAATCGCTATGCAGTACATGGTATACAGATTTCATGCTATGTTTTCTGTGTTAGAATACATCAATGGCTTCTGTTGAAAGTGCACACATGCATAAAGTGCATGTACATACAGGGTTACAGTTAAATTTTTCATATATTGACATTGCGTTTATAGCCATAGAACTGAGTGGATAAAACATGACTCTGTACTTTGAAACTATTAATGCCTTTATGACCAAAGCAAATGTTATCAGAGCCTACCTATCATAGGTGTAAATAATCATGACATCATTTCAGATACATTTTATCTTCCCTTGACAAAATGATATCCATGGGTGTTCATGCAGAAACCCACGATGACCGTTGTATAACAGCATAAGATCCACCAACATTCACAACTTTCATTCTCAAGTAACCTTAACAAGTTCCTTCAAAAAGTTTGTAAAACGCACTTTCCTGCAAAGACTACATTCTGGACTGGATAATTATTTCATCCAGTCACATGAAATATTTAGAACTCGAGGTAAAAAATGACTTTCAAACTAACTGGTTTTGTAGGTTTTTTTAATTAATCGATTACCATTCAGATAGAAAAGGCCAGAATGGAATTCAAACCAAATATTGGATGCATCCCTTGCAATCATGACAATGTTGCTGACATTTTTGCATGTGCAGGAGCTGACAAAGCGAGAGGTGGAGTACATCGCTCTGTCGCGGGACACGACAGAAGGTGACCTGAAGCAGCGGCGCGAGATTAAGGAGGGAAGCGCCCACTACCTGGACCAGGTGAACTCTCCCTCTGACACCCTTGGACTAGACAAGCTTACATTGACACCATTGGAACCTCATTTGCCAGTAAAAAATATGATAATTGTTTTTTTACCCTTCTATCTGGCAACAAAACTGACACCTTTTTTTACAAGGGGTCATGTTTGCATAGACCACAATACCTGCATTCATAATGCAAAAAAAAAAACATAATTCTGATGTATGCACGGTCTATGCAAACATGACTCCTTGTAAAAAAAGGTGTCAGTTTTGTTGCCAGATAGAAGGGTAAAAAAACAATTATCAAGCCTACATTGGTCACAGGGCCCAAGTCTGAGCTTACTCAATGATGACAGTTTCACTGGACCAGATGATATAACCATGGGACACCTACCACCTTGATTATTTTTTATGAATACATGGCATTGTAAATAAATGTAAATAATTGCAAATACATTTCTCTATACTCCCATATATTATATGTGCTTATGTAAAAAAAATACGTTTATATTTGTCATCTTCATAATGAGTGCATGTCTCAATGCACTATATATGTTTACAGATGTATATGTTATTCATCATTGATGCACTTTTCACGGAAAAGTATTTTGCACATGTGTTCAGTGTGCTGTGCGAGCAGCCTTACTAGGACGGGTGCTGGTTCTGGAAGGTGTGGAGAGAGCAGAGAGGAATGTGCTTCCAGTTCTCAACAATTTATTGGAGAATCGAGAAATGCAGCTGGAGGATGGACGTTTCCTCATGTCAGCACAGCGTTATGACAAGCTTCTACAGGTATGGCCACAGTGACATGGAGTTTTCTTATAGGGTTAGTACGATCCTCCATCTTTGGATGTCAATGCCTGAAGTAATCAGAGTATTTTACTGATTTCATTTAACCTTGATATATTTCATATGATTCACTTCCCCTTTGCACACACGTTTCTTCCTGCGATATTGGAAAGGAACCACATTGCACAGAAATCGTTTGGCCAAGTGGGTGTTGGGGCAGGCCACTGTATAACGGAAATCTGGCTAGGATAGAAAGTGTTGTCGAGGTGGGGTGACATCAATAATTTCGGCCATTATGAAGTCTTGATCTTATAACAATTTACAAAATCGGCATCCAACAAAGGTGCATTGTTCAGCTGAAGGTGGATCTTCACTTGATTGCAGCGTCATCCCCACGTGCTGTTGTCACAGGAGCACTCGGCGGAGCAGCTGGCCGCATGGCGGGTTGAGCGGGTGAGCGAGGAGTTCCGTGTGGTCGCGCTCGGCCTGCCCGTGCCGCGTTACCGCGGAAACCCGCTGGACCCGCCTCTCCGCTCCCGGTTTCAGGCGCGCAACATTCCGCACCCGCCCTTCAAGGTGTCCTACAATGTTGGAGTCGTTTTAAAATGAACATGTACACTTCCCAACAGGTTTATATTGAACTAAATCAAATAGGATTTTTATTTTTATACAATTTACGAATGTGATGTGAAAATGTTAACATGACACAAACAATTTTTTTCTCCAATCCATTTCTATAACAGTGCAAGCTTTTATCTTTAGGAATAGCCGGAAGTATCAGCAGTCATTTCACCATTTCTTTCACGAGTTTTATCACCAATACTAATCTTTACTCAGGTTAACTTTGACAGTTATATTCTCAGGAACGCTGAGGAATGAATTTACTACACTTGTAGGAAGTTTCATTGTTTGCCTTTGTTGAAATATATTAAATGGTTATTGTTGCGATTTCCACAGGTCTATTATGTTCATATGTTTGATGTACCTACACTCAGCCTGTGCTACTTGTCCATATAGGAGCAACTGGAGATACTCTACGCAGCCGCACCAAACGTTCCTCCTGAAACGTATGTTGATTTTCTATACAGAAATTGTTTTATACACTTCATGACAGTGTTTATATAAATAGCACACATTTCCATACGTGATTGCATATATGGCTTATTATGGACGCGCCAAGGTGTAGGGGCCTATACAACTTGACATGACCAAACCAAGGTGCCCTAGCTGGGTGGTGAAGCATGCATGTAACGCACATTAATATTATAGGAAAAACACAATAGGTTCTACAATTATATATACTTGTAGCATTGGACAGAAACTCCAAAAGAGACAAAAATGCACATGCAGAATAGAACCATCTGAATGGTATTTGTATGTGTAGTGACTGTGTATGTCACTGTGTGGTGCCGGGCTAAAGAAACCACGGCAGATAATGTGTTGGCATTATGTGTAGCCCACTTACTGAGGTGTAGTACCAGCCCTAGCGGGGCTTGGGTGAGCGCTGGTTAGCGCGGAGGGCACTGAGAGCAGTGTGCGGTGCGGGCTCCCGGTGAGGGAGCGAGAGGGAGCGTCAGTCTGCCAGGATTACGTTGGGGCATGATACATGGTTGACCTGCCGACACGTTACCGGATGATATTGGAGGGGGGCCACCGGTGGACGGGGGCCACCGGTGGACGGGGGCCACTGGGCGTCACGTGGTATAAAAGAGCTCTCGGGAGCCTTCGGGAAAGAGCTCAAGAGATCTAGAAGGTGGGCGGGGCGAGGGGCAGAGCCAGCCCCAGCCTAGGCCGATATAACGGGGCCCCCATAGTGAAGAAGATCCACGTTGGGTAAAGGAAGCCTCTAGCCACGCTGTCCGGGACCCAGCTTGTGGTCCGGGCCGGGATAGTGAACCGTGACTAGCTCTGCCGTAGCGTGGCTAGATGGGCATTCAACTCCCAAGTGTAGGTTGTGTTATGTTGAAGTTACTGGAATAAATCGTGTTGCTCCCAAGACAACGTCTGCGACTCAGTTGGACTCACTATATATGTATCACACATTGTGTAAAGGGATTATAATTAAATGTCCTTGTATCTGCTAGGAGGGTACACCATCACCATCTGGGGAGGAGACTGGGATGGGAGACAGTCAGACTGAAAACATTGCCCCATTAAAGTGTTTAACCGTTGTACAATCTCCCCATTTTATAATTTTTTGCTTCTGAATATTCACCATTTCTATCATGCTCGTTTCCTCCTATGCTCAGTCTCCTCTTCTTCATTGCATCTTTTGTCACCTGTACTGTCTTCGTCATTCACTCCTTCCCTTATTTTTACAGGATTTTTCTTTTCCTAACCCTTCATGTAAATAATTATGTACATTTGCATATCCCCTTTCTTTATTTTCCCTTTTTTCCTGGTCTTGAATGATTCTCCACTGCATACCTTCATATTCCCTGTCCCATATTATTACTGAACCTCCATTCTGCTTCCCTGACTAACCCCCTCTGCGTGCCCTAACTCATCAGTCTTACAAGTGTTGTCTCTCTCGCTGGGTGCAGGCTGGCCCAACTGCTGGGATTTGCAACGACAATGCTGACGCCTGAGGGCACGACACTGGGTCTGCCTGACTTCCCCATGAACAGTCTGCTGCCGCTCGCCCGCATCCTCGTACGAGCATTACACAAATCGAGTGCTTGTTACTGCAATATACATCTACAGCGCTTTTGTCATTCCGCTGCCAGATGAGGCCATCCCATTGGTGTGTGGATTGTGGGGTTATTTGACCATACTTCTCTATGCTCATGTCGATTGGTGGAGGCTATGTAACATTGATATGGGAGCATAGGAAGTACAGTGCAACAATGTAATTGGCTACACTGTTCACCAGGTATTCCTGCAACAGCTTCGAACAACCTGATGTGCATGGTGGTAGCCCATCCAAAAACTAGCCACTCTCAACTTTGCTTAGCTTCTGTGATCTGCCACGGTCCGGCGCATTCGCAGTGATTCCGTCACATGCACAGCAGAGTGATGTATGTATACAGTTTGGCCTGTCTTTTGTAGAAGAACTTACATTTTTTGGTATAATTTGGCAGAAATCTTTTTTGTGTTATTTTCTTTAGTAATTTTCCAATGTTGCTGTTTTTTTATGGTTGAGGTGCTCATTGTAATGTGATGAATGATGGTGTGTGTGGGTGTGTGTTGTTGCAGTCAATTGTGCCAGGGTATGATGCTGGGAAGCTGCTAGAGCAAGCGTTCCCGTACTCTGCTCTCCTTGGGCCTGAAGGGAACGCAGCATTGCAGAACACACTCAAGGTACTGACATGGCTGCCTCAACTACTGACTATGGAAACTATTCTCAACCACTACTGTTTGCATTGAAATTATCCTCCACTTCTTGGCCATTACTGTTTAGACAATACAATTTGATTCTTCACAAAATTATTTTGACAAAAAATACGTAGCAAAATGAGGCCTAAATCAATGCTAGGAATGACCTTTATTTGATTGGTCAGCAGGGATTATTCGGTACTGGATGTGTTCGTAAGATTCTGTTTTTATTATCAGTTTAAATTCGTTGAGTAGCAATTATGGTGTTCTGGACATGACAAATATAATAGAGCAAATCACTATGAAACCCTTCCCATTTTGGCTCAGACAGAGAACCAAGTACAGTTTAGCTCTTTTGGTAAAGTCACGTAGGTAGAAATAAAATACAATAAAACAAAACAATTATTTCTACCTACGTGACTTTACCGAAAGAACCAAAGAGTATGGATTCCTGCAGTCACGAAAGCTTCAAATCAAGATTACAGTTTAGCTATTAAATTATTTTGTTTGGGGAGTTGGAAGGAGATTAAAATTTTTATTAAAAATGCAATTCCTATTGTCCCCACTTCTTATTTTCTTGCAGAAATTTGAGCTGGTGGGTGGTACTGGAGCTGCTCAGCCACGGCGCATCGAGAACGTGAAGAGGAGTGAGGCTGTGAATGACAGTGACGCTCGCTCGGCAGTCATCACAGCTCTCTTTGGGGACAAGAGGTTCTCCTTTAAGGTGCCTGACACATGCGCGCTCATAAAAACATGACAGCGCTCTACCACATGAGCAATGATGCTACAGCTATCACAGATTTACGGCAAGTGTATGAAGTGTGGTTGGTTTTCTGTGTATGGTTACATGTGTGTAGGTGATGACAGGCATGGAGGATTTGAAGAGACCAGTGGCATCAGGCGGGTATCACGAGACAGAGGCTCATGCTGGTTTGCTGGCAGACATGGTCCTGTCTCACACCACCTCTGACTTTTGTCTCCTTGGGGGAAAGGTACGTGCACTCTAACATCACAACGCGATGTTTGCTGCAGCGTTTTTTTCCACAGCCATTTGTGTTTTACTCTACAGTATTGCATTTGTGTAATATATGTGCATGCAAATATACTTGTGACGGATAGACAGCAGGGTTCATGACATTGTTGTCAAGGGGGCCAGAAAGGTAGTGTGATTGAAGGTCAGATCAGATGCTAGTGTCAGAATTAACTGTTTGTGTTGATGTATTACCAGGAGCCCCATGAAAATTAAATGTTAATCTTAATGGGACATTCTAAAAATGTACTCGTATGCTCATTTGTGATTTGCTATGAAAAAGTTGTCAAATTAAAGTCTGTTTTAGCAGTTTTTGTAACCCTATTTGCAGCCATATGCTGCAGCTTTAAATGCGTTTTCATTAGGGGTCGCAAATTGAATGTAAACTCGGTCATAGGATTACAGTGGATTAGAATAATCATAAATGCCTGTTTTACCAGATTAACTCATTATTGGGAACATTCTAACCTATTTTCATTAATCAATGAAACATGGCATGCTTTTGCTGTTCAGTTGTTAAACTCTTTAGGTGTTTTGCTGTGTTGACTTTGCCTTTTCTTCGTGTTTCCCCAGGGTTGTGGTAAAAGTATTCTAGCTCGAGCATTTGCTGACATGCTGGGCTATCACATGGAATCAATCATGCTTTATCAGGTGAATATGAGAGATGGTCATTTAATGTGGATTACATTTCTGTGATGATTTGTATATCTGGACAAAATTATATATGAGGTATGTGCGTATATTTGCATGCTAGTATGTGTAATGTTGGTAATCTGAGGAGGTGTTATTTCTCTGTATGGGTGTATCAGGGGTCAAAGACAAATATCCCCCGTATAGCCTTAACAGACTATTGGGGCAAGTGCTGTTAGCCAGCACCTATGAAGGCCGGCATGGCACACGAGGGAGTGGGTGGCCAACACCATGCCCGGCCGCCTTTGTCTCCCCAGTGACAATGTAGGTACTTATTTGAGGCCGAGTCGACCTAGGAGAGGCCCAGGACCAGTCAGCTAATCATCACTGGTGAGCAGGAATAAAACTCGGGTCACCGGATTCGTAGTGCAGCGTGCGAACGGCTACACTCCTGATCAGGGGTGGTCAGAGCACTGACCAAAGCAACACCGAGGGTCAGCTAGGGTTTTGAGCTGGATTACTTGAGCCAGAACCAAGCCGGAGCTGAGCCGTGAATAAGAATAAGGGCTTGGGACTGAATTTTGGTAGCCACCCGTAACTAAACTACATTCTCAAGTGTAGTTAGTTGATGGTCCTGGGTTGCTTAAGAAAATGACTTTAAATTTGGTTTAACTATTCATTTGACTAAGACAATGAAAAATATTGCATCGACTGCCACGCGTGGGTATTTCTCAATAGTACAGTGTTTGGGAAAGTGCCCCCAGCTCATGTGCAGGTATGAGGTGGTGGATTATTATATCGTGAGAGATGGTGGTGGCTTGGGGAGGCCTTCGTCCATCACTGGATTGACCATGGCTGAAGACGATGATGTCAATGCATGAAGCCTGCCACAAACACCAATGACATCACTTCTGCCTAGTGGTCATTGGAAATTATGTAATATCATTGTGTCTGTGATATATGCATGCAACATTCTTAAATGTGTACCTGCCGCACTGTGTAAACATCACCATTGAGGAGAGGCGGGCATGTGTGATGCTACAAGCCACATGGCTAGCAGCACATGGCTAGCAGCATGGCACATGGCCAAACAGTCTGTTAGTGCTATCGGAAGTGCTTTGTCTTTACTCTTTGGTTCTTTCGGTGACTTTACCAAAAGAACCAAAGAGTATGGATCCCTGCAGTCACGAAAACTTCAAATCTAGATTGCTTTGTCTTTATTGTCGCGATGGCGCACTCTGTAGGACATGACTGCCCGGGAGTTGCTGCAGCAGAGAGTGACGCTGGCTAACGGCGACACTGCGTGGCGGCCATCCCCCGTGGTGACAGCGGCGCGTGATGGTAGCCTGCTCCTCCTCGACGGCATTCACCGTGTCAACCCTGGCACACTGGCTCTGCTGCACCGGTACTAACCACCCGGCGGGGGCACACGCCAATCCTCTCGCATTGTTGGCGTATGGTCAAGTCTGAGTGTGGAGGCAACTTATCAGTCACAGTAGCAAATGCACTGTCCCGTGTTTGGGGGGGAAAGTAATTGGAAATCGGGCTTACCGTTGTATGAAAGCTCTCTTTTAGAAGAGGTAATCCAGAATAAACATTGGATTTGTCGTATATTATGTTATGAATGTGGCCATCTTACAGAAGAGTCATAACTTACAAACCGATCATCCCACCTGGGGTAATAAATTAACTATAACTTTATGTGAAGGTAATAAAATGGTTGCATAATAGTACAGGAATGTGGAATTTACACATCTTGCTCAGTACAGGCAACAGGGATGAGCGTTGAACCCACACTCGTTTGAGTGAGAAGATGCTGATTTGTTCACACTTTGTCGTAGCAAATTGTTGACATTACAGCATGAATATACATTGTGAGAATTAAAAGCTTGTTGTAAAACCTAAACTATGTGAAATACTTTACTTTATTTGTTATTTAAAATGCAGTTACCTACTTGCAGTAATTAATATTTTACTGTTTGTTCATGTATATATCAGTAAGGTTAAATGTTAATGATCTCTATGATGCATCCTCTATAAGTTTCTGCTCATTTGGCAATGTGTTGGTGGCAGGTTGGTGCATGACCGTGAGCTCACGTTATATGATGGCTCACGTCTGATTGGTGCTGATCGTTATGAAGTCCTGCAAAAAGAAGCCGGTCTTAGCTCTGAACAGCTAACAGAGAGGTACACTGCGTATGCACACCTCTTATACTTAAGGCAAGTAGTCCTAATAAGTCCCATGATGCACAGGCGTCTTGTGTTGGTGGGATCGGTGTGGGGCCAGGTCCTTAATGGGTTAACACTTCAGCTTTGTGAGTTGGGCACATACTTTCTTTTCAATACATCACTCTCCTGCCTCCTTTCATTGTTTATGAACATATCTCTTCTCTTTAATATCTATATTCTGAATACTCTCTCTTCTATCTTTTATGTGTTTTGTCATTACGTCTCTCGGATTATGTTATATTTATGTTATACATACATCTCTCCACGATATTTTTAAAATTAATACATTCCTACACTGTCTCATATTGTCTAATTACACCTCTCACGTATCTCTTTGCAGTTTCTTTTTGTTAATATATATTTCTCTCGTATTCATCTTCAAATACATCTTCTTTGTCTTGTATCTTATGGATACACCTCTCTTCCGAGCACATTGCACTCTTATCTCGCATCTATCTCACCATAAAATATCTCTTCCATTCAGTTGGTTGGTAATCTGCAGTTCCATTGTCCAAGTTGTTGAAATCTTGGGGATAAGTAATGCCCCTGACATTCCCTCGGTGTGTTCCATTGAGCGCTTTTCACGTCATTGTACACTTATTTATCGGTTTTAACAGGGGGGTGTTCCCAATCCACCCAGCATTCCGTGTGGTCGCTCTTGCGGAACCAGCTGCCCCTGGCCCCACTGCAGGCAACCCCCAGCAGTGGCTGGGCCCTGAGGCGCTCTCCATGTTCCTGTACCACACAGTGCCGCCGCTCACTCCTGCTCAAGAGATGGACATCCTGCGTGCTATGGTAAGAGCGTGAGGTGAGCTCGCATCATTCATATTGCATGGATTGTTGTCCTCACCTGATGTTGGCACCATATATCGTCACCTTTGCCTTCACCTGCACAGACTTCTCTCTTAGCTGTGCCGGGGAACCTCCGGTAGGTTTTTTTAATTTCCTCACGAACTTCCGGGAAGTGTTTTTCTACTTTGGAGGCAAAAATGTAATGTGACATGATAAAAAAAAATGTAATGTGACACATTTTACAGCATCATAAATTTTTTTAACTACGCACGTTTGTACATGTTTCAATAATTTAAGTTGAAATAGTAGACAGTTACAATTGATTAAATAAGGTGTTAAGTTTAAAACGGTGACCTTCACTATCCGTATATATATATTTGAAGTGAAATGTTGGGTTTGTTTGGGGTACTGAAGGGGGTGTGACTGTATTGTGCAGGTCCCAGGCCTTCCCCAGGATGCTGCACATCAATTACTGCAGCTTGCACAGCGTCTACGCAAGGCCCGGGACCCAACTGTAAATCATACAGAAATACACACAAATACAAAGATCCCCCGTGTAGCCTTAACAGACTGTTGGGGCAAGTGTTGTTAGCGAGCACCTTGAAGGCCGGAACGGTACACGAGAGGGTGGGTGGCCAACACCACGCCCGACAGCCTTTGTCTCCCCAGTGGCAATGTTTACACACCGCAACAGGTACTCATTTCAGGCTGAGTCGACCTAGGGGAGGCCTGGTTCAGATATTCGTCACTTGGTGTTGGCCATGAGCGGGAATCGAACCCGGGTCGCCAGGTTCATAGCGCAGCGCACTAACCGCTACACTACCGCTCCCCACACACAAATACACAAATACGCTCGCACACAATTACAGTTGCCATGACTATTGAGTGTGGGTTAGCGAGACAGGTCTTTGAGTAATCACCCAGAGGTCCACAACCAAAGGAAAGATGTGAAACCAAATGAAGGTATACTGCAAGAGCAGACTTAGGTAGTTTGTGTTTTTTTGCAACATTTGATGATTCTGGAAGAAGGAAGGTAGATATGGGGATGTGGGCTGACATCAGAATTTTTGCTTCAAACGTACAAATCAAATGTGAATTCCACCGCTTGTTCACACATACACATGCCATTTGGTTTCCGTGATTTTTAAAGCAAACGGTTCCAAGTTTCCCTATTCTGTTACTGGTGTAAAAGATCTAACGGTACTTAAAAGTGTCTTCTCGCACAGATGCGGTCCTTGGCTGCGTCTCTGTCAACACGGCAACTGTTAAGAATGTCCAGACGTCTTGCGCGCTATGAGGGCGAGGATCTGCATGCTGCAATCCACAAGGCCTGCCTCTCCCGGTAGCCCATCCGCCCATGTGTTGCAACGAAGTGCTTTGTGTGTGTGTATTGTTAATGTGTGCAATATCAAAGTGGCTATTTGTAAATTTATCTCATATGAAAGGTTTACCTATTTGGTGGTATGTTTCATTATTTTAAAAGAATGATAAAACCAAGTTAGCTGCAAGATGTAGCTTTTAGTGTATTCAACTCTCACTAACAGTAATTTTCAAATGATTTCACAACATAGTTGATTGGTAGGTTGCGTATGATGGCATAAAATGTGGGTACTGCCACCTTTTCAAAATATGTGGCCAGTGTGAAAGAGCAGGCCAAATAATCTCTATAGAGATGTTCTCTCGAACTTCCTCGACTGCAGACCCTTCTGCCAGCAGTGGCTACACCTTTACCTGTTTACTTTTCATTAAAACATGTGCCTGTCTGCTCTTGTATGTCTGAAGGTTTCTTCCCAGCTTGGCACGTGCTGCCCTCCAAACTGCCATGCAAGATGCTGGGCTTGAGACCACTGGAAAGGATTCTGAGCAAGCAGACATTATAAGTTAGTGCCCTGGACGCTATGAACATACCATGCACATTCATCTCACTCGTTTTGTGGTAGTGCACGTCCTTGGTCCAGTGACTGAGAAGCTGAGTTTGTGAATTTTGCATGGATGAGTTATTGTTTTCAATTACAATTAGAGCTGAAATGTGTGGGATGTGAGATATATGTTGGAAGCAATGCATTCAAAACATGAAATCCAATTCAAGAACATGTCACATTGATCCAATATTGCTTTCTGCCAAAGAAGGCTAGAGGTTGGATTTTTTTTAATGAGCTCGCATTTATTTTCAATCGTTGTTTCAAATCATGGAAAGTTACATTTTGAATTTAGCAAATGTTCATTCGCAGCACTTATCTAGATATCCCATGGGGCAAAATGGTGAAATCCGTGCGTCTGTCTTTGCATTTGCAGCTGAGGTACGGGATGGTGTCCTGCACATTGGAGATGTCACTGCCCCAGTGAGCAGCACCGCTGTTCAAACAAAGGTGCCGGACATCCTCTTCTACGACAACCTGCAGGTCAGTCATGTTAGACTGCGTATTGGCAGTCTATGATGTAGACTGTAGCAATGGTTATTAAACTGAGTGAGCGTAATGGCAGTCTATAATGCAGACTGTAGCCTGGTTCTTAACCTGAGCGAGTGCACTGGCAGTCTATAGTGTAGACTTATTCTGGTTCTTTCAGTAATAAAATAAAAATAAGAATTAAAGAAACCACGACGTTTCGATCTCAACACAAGCTGTCGTCAGGAAAAGGGGGGTTCGCCTCTAAAGGCAAACTGTTTATAAAGGTTTAGAGATGGGCATAGCTAGGGCTGAACGATTAATAGATCTCAAATCGCAATTTGAAACAATGCGATTAGCAAATCGCAAAGGCTGCGATTTTTTAGCGATTTGAAAAGTCCTATTACTTTCTTATTGGAATAGTTTTATTATTATAACTTTATTTATTTAACTTAACAATTGTTCTATGTTTGATTATTCTATTTCAATTCAAACATTTTAATATATACATGTTGGAAGAAATTCATATCTTTTAAGTTCTCATCCTTGCATTAGAATATATAGAGCAGTTCGTATTTTGATGGTATTATGTGGTACCGACGCCGGTAGTAGGTCTACACCAATCAAAGCATTGCACCTCGCTCAACACACCCAACACTGCTGACGGGTGGAGGTTAACAAGAAAACACAAATCAAGTCATGACCCAAAGTGGTTGATGACATCTTTCCAATGATTGCTGAGCATATAACCATCCTCTCGGTTGAAATTGTCTCTGTGTCTGTATATATGGATGGCTTCATGAACGAATTTTTGTTGATAGCCAGTAGGCTTGCAAAGTGCCATCGTTTGGGAGAAATCAATTTCGTGTGAGCCAGCCGCAGTTAAAATAATGATCAGCCACGGTAGAAGTATTGGTCCTACCGTGCTTCAAATCTGCCTCTGCAGTCACGCAAGTTTTAAGTCAAAATGTAATGATAATGTTTTGCTTGTGTAAGAATGCTTCAATTCACAGTTGTTGAAGAAATTCCTTTAGTCACATAGGCTGGTGTCTGAAGGTGAAATTGTTTCCGTGACATTTATGTTGTCTTGATTGTCATAACCTACCACAACATAGCACGTGTTTTCTGTAAAGGCATTACGTGTTGATGAAGGAATTCTCACAAATTGACTGATTGTATATTTACAGCACCTTCGTGTGATGGAGGATATGCTGAAGGATTTCAATCTGGGAGAACATCTGCTTCTTGTGGGGAATCAGGTAGCATCACATAGACATTTGTGTTATTTTCTTAATTATGTTTTGTTAAAAAAAATCTCTTTATGAAACTGGCCACTAAATCTTTTTCTCAAAAGAAATGTTGTTTCAATGGTATCTTAACTAACCATGAATAGATTATACAAAAAAATGGAGGATGCAGTGGTTCAGTAGTTTCACTCATTATTCGGTCTGCTCGTTCCCCTGCATTGCACCTGCTGTGTGACCTCCGATTACCACGGTTGGCTACGTACTGGTGTGAAAAAAGTGCAACATACGTCCTTACGTACGACCTGTCGCTAGCACCTTCTATACTTGAACTGGCGCATCCACCTTACACCACCGTTAACCTTCTAAAGTCACTCAGAGTCCAACCTTATAAGCCATGCAGCCACCATTCGGTGAGCAAAACGGTTGACATTAAAGTGCATGCTGCTATTGAGAAGAGTATGTAGCTCTCATGGTTCACAGGTTTGATATCGTGGATTGCTTAACCCATCCCATTACAGTTTTGCACAACCTCTAAAACAACAACTCTTCCAGAAGTGTCTTGTTGATGCTGATTTGTGTACATCTGTGTAGGGTGTGGGGAAGAACAAGGTTGTCGACCGATTTTTACAACTGCTGAACCGTCCTCGCGAATACCTGCAGCTGCACAGGTATCCAGAACTTCACTTTGACATCCATTCTTTAATATCACCTGAGTTTGGCTCGAATCTCACGCACCTTTCCTCAATTCAGCTGACTAAACTGAAAATAAATGCCAATCCTCAAATTACTGCAAGGTATGATTATTGGCATCAGTGGTTTTGCTGATTTGCTTAACCAGTAAGTTCATTGATACATGGAGAATCCAGAATTAAATTGATGACATTAACAATATGCATTACATTAGTACTATATTTAGATTTAAAGCTTTCGTGACTGCAGGGATTCATATTCTTGGTTCTTTCGGTAAAGTCACGTAGAAGGGAAATAATAAAATAATTGATTGCAATCGAAACGTCGTGAGAATTTTATTGTTTTATTTGTATTCTTTTATTATTTCCCTTCTACGTGACTTTACCGAAAGAACCAAGAATATAAGTACTATATTTGATGTTACTGTTTACGAATTTGCTTGTTTGTTTTGCTCCATAAAACTACTTCATACGTAACTTTTAAACTTGACTCAATTTTAAAGTGCTCTCTATACAAATGTTGCCATTGTTCTCCTCTCAGTGTGTGCCTTCCATTGTCTTACAGGGACACCACGGTTCAGAGCCTGACATTGCAGCCAACTCTCCGGGACGGAGTCATTGTGTACGAGGACTCCCCACTTGTAAGCAGCGGCACTCTGCTGCCGGTTTACTTAGTAGAACTGCACCTGACTAACACAGCTGGCAAGTGAAGGCACAGAAGGCATTTTTAAAAAAACTTTTGATTTGATCAGGTAAGGCCCACTGAGCTATGTAGCTCTTTTTCAGAAGCAACCTGACCACAAATGATAGCTCAACTAAGTGACTTATCACGTGGAAATTTATAGCAGCTGGATACGCTAAATGCATGTTTCGAAAGTGCAGGGAAATACCGGAGGACCTGGAGAAAAATCCACGCGGCCCCGGGGAGAACATGCAAACTCCAAATATACCGGCATCAAAGTCGGGATCGAACCCACGACCTCTTGTTTTCACGTGTGAATACGGCAGTAAGGGAGCTCACAAGAGAGTAGAGCTTGGAGGTGGGATGTCGACTTTGCATCAATGACGAGATTTATGAGAAATGAAGAAAACATCAACAGCATTCACTGTGATGGCCTCCTGAGATTGACTGGAGAGAGAAGATTGGAGAATGAGGATTCTTAATAGAAACAGTGGCAGTCCAAATGTTGAGGAGGTGGACAGAGGGATATAGGCAACCGTGCTAATCGCAGGTTTGGATGATGCAGCTCCCAAACACAACATTCTGTGTACCGGTTAAGATGGGATGCACGTCTGCGTGCCTCTGTTGTAGGTGCGTGCCGTGAAGCAGGGCTACGTGCTGGTGATCGACGAGGCAGACAAGGCTCCAGTAAACGTGACGTGTGTGCTCAAGGCATTGGTGGAGAACGGAGAGATGCTTCTTGCCGACGGGCGCCGCATATTGGCTGGTACTTACTGGAGCAGAGATGGCCTGATGTTTGTCTCGCCTTGTTGACATGTGCACATTAATATTCATTTGCAGCATTATGTAAATGGTGTGGAGCGGTGATGTAGTAGTTCTGTCTAATGAACCCCGCCACCCTGAGTTTTAATACATACTACCAATGGCCAACACCAGTGGTGAATTAAATCTGAAACAGTCCTTCACGAACCCGCAGTGACCATGGTCAAACAATCCTCTATGCCTTCATCAACAGAGTTAAATACGATTCTATGAAAGGTATATTATTAACTTGATGTTTACGTTACCAAAATATATAAATGTCATCCACTGGTCCTGTGCGCAGTTATGTAAATTTGTGTGATCTAGAGTAAGTGACCTGGGTGGTCAACTTCCAAAATGCATTTTGGGAGATGCATTGAAGATGAAGGGTGAGATTCTCATCTTGTCTGTTGAGGGGTTTGCAGAAAATTTTGGTTGGAACGAGTAGCATCACACCCAGTACGTCCATCTGAATATCTTTCTCCTATCGTCTTGACTATACCTCGTCTTAATGAATCTCTCTCACGTCCTCTCAAATATCTCATGAATACATTTATCTTTCACCTTTCGTCTGAATAATGGAAATATTGTAGGTTCCTTATATTTACAGCAGATGGCGCACTTTAGTTAATAGCACTGTACAGAACATGCCATGTGGTTGCAGGAATTCAACCATCAATTATGTGCAGACTGGCTCAGCGGTGAGCTCACTGACCCTCAAACCCCAGCCGCTCGAGCATGCGGGGCAGGGTGCATTCATGTGTGCCCCATGTGTGCTTGTGCGCATACATGTTTAGGTGTGTACACAAGAGTTAGGTATTTCAAATAAAATTATGTTAAAGCAAATTGTATATGTGTAGTGGGTCCAACTGAGTTGCAGACGTTGTTCTTTTTAGAGGCAACATTTTTATTTGTAACAACGTAACACCGTAACACAAGGGGGTAACTGCCCCTTTACCAGACTACAGCGAGTTACTGCTAAGAAGGGTCGATCCCTCGCTCGGGTCTCCGACCACGTGGTTGCCTCGTAAGACGGAGAGCTTCAGCTTGAGACGTAGAGCCTCCCGCTTGTAGATGTTGAACTTCCAGCTTGTAGATGTTGAGCTTCCAGCTTGTAGGTGTTGAGCTTCCAGCTTGTAGGTGTTGAGCTTCCAGCTTGTAGATGTTGAGCTTCCCGCTTGAGACGTAGAGCTTCCAGCTTGTAGATGTTGAGCTTCCCGCTTGTAGAACGTAGCGACCCCGGTACCTCTCAGGGACCCGCCTTATATCCCTCTCCGGTCGGGGCCGCTCCGCCCTCGGCCCTGCCCGCCTTCCCGAACATTCTCGTTCTCTCTCGAACCTTCTCAAGAGCTCTCTCCGGACACGTGATCACCCCCGAGTCCCCCCACCTGGGGCCCCCTGTATGGACATTCCGGACCACGTGTCTACGAGGTCAACCAGAGTGCCACGGCCCGGGGCAACCCTGCCCCTGGGCTGACGCTCACCCACTCTCCCTCGTGGGAGCCCCCACCACACGCTGTGCGTGGTACCCGCACTGTCCCAGTGCTCGCCAAGCCCCGCTAGGGCTGGTGTCACACACAGCCACCCACACGGTGCTGTCCACGCTCGGACTGTGTCACACACAGCCACCCACACGGTGCTGTCCACGCTCGGGCTGTGTCACACACAGCCACCCACACGGTGCTGTCCACGCTAGGGCTGGTGTCACACACAGCCACCCACACGGTGCTGTCCACGCTCGGACTGTGGCACACACAGCCACCCACACGGTGCTGTCCACGCTCGGGCTGTGTCACACACAGCCACCCACACGGTGCTGTCCACGCTAGGGCTGGTGTCACACACAGCCACCCACACGGTGCTGTCCACGCTAGGGCTGTGCCACACACAGCCACCCACACGGTGCTGTCCACGCTAGGGCTGTGTTACACACAGCCACCCACACGGTGCTGTCCCCCCTAGGGCTGTGTCACACACAGCCACCCACACGGCGCTGTCCACGATGTAGGATCATCGAACGGCACGACCCTACTGGGCCGGCACCATACAGTGACATCCCCGATGGCACTACACATGTTAAGAATAAGTATTATTAGTCGCGTGCTGCATATAAGATAGTAAAACTACAGCATGCAAAGTAACACAAATGTGTCAATCATAATTCTCACATCCACATATGATTAACTTCTGGAATGCATTCAAATGTTAAAACGCTGAGGACTCGTTGCACCTCGGTGAATCCATGGTCTGACATCACTCATCACCAAACCTCAGTTACCAAAACTGTTTAAGACTCTATAAACGATATTTTCTGAATAAGGGTAGTCAGCATAAACATACATCTTCCTTTCCTCTGAGGAACAATTCAAATAGACCCTGGTGTTATTTTGAATCAACCTGTTATTTTAAGTGTAATTTATATCGACTTGTCATCTCTAATTTTACTGGTATCTGGCATATCACTATACCACTATACCACCATACTACCGTGGGGAGTGGTGTTATAGTGGTTTGCACATTTTGCTACGAACCCGGTGACCCGAGTTTGATTCCCCTAGGTAGACTCCAACTCAAATTAGTATTTGGTACAATGTATAAATATTGACACCACGCAGACAAGTCGTGGTGCTGGCCACCCATCGCCTCACCTGCAATGCCGGCCTTCATAGGTACTTGCTTAACAGCACTTTCCCCAATAGTCTGTAAGGCTATACGGGGGATCTTTATTTTTGTCTGTTAATGTGGAGGGTTGAGCGTTGGGGAGAGTAGAGTGAGAGAGGGGAGAGGTGGGCAGGGAAGAGAGTCCATGAAGGTTCGTAATAATGGTTTCTTTTAGGAATGTATTGAGAGAAATTGGAGGCATTGGAGAATTGGGGAGATGTAGTATTGATAAATTTAGCCTTGGCATTTTGGGTCAACTGGAGCGTGTAGGGTGATGAGGGAATTGAGAAGAAAGAGCTACAGTATGTTAGTCAGGATGTGACGAATGCATGTTTGAGGGTCTCATTGGCAGTTGGGGTAATTAGACAAAGATCCCCCATATAGCTTTAACAGACTGTTGGGGCAAGTGCTGTTAGTGATTACCTAATGAAGGCCGGCACAGCACGTGAGGGGTTGGGTGGCCAACACCACGCCCGGCCGCCTTTGTCTCCCTCGTGGTAATGTTTTACACATCACATCAGGTACTCATTTGAGACTGAGTCGACCTAGGGAAGGCCCAGGACTGGTTTTGATAATTGTCACTGGTGTTGGCCGTGAGCGGGAATCGAACTCGGGTCGCTGGGTTTATAGCGCAGCACACCAGCCGCTACACTACCGGATAAGAAGGGTGCATGTACACGCACGCACGTGTGAGGGCATGTGCGCACATGCACGTGTGAGGGCATGTGCGCGCGTGTGTTTTTATATATTAAGACATGTTGGTATGTGCTGTAAATTAGTGCATTTAGTAATGTATACTGGCGAGGTGTTTGTATTTTTCTAAACATATATGTGCATATGGGTGCGTGTGTTTGCAGCCCCAGGCAAGGCAGCGGATCGACCAGGGGTGGTTTCTATGCATGCTGACTTTCGCATGGTTGTTTTGGCAAACCGGCCTGGTTTTCCATTTCTGGGAAATGATTTTTTCAGTGCAATGGGTGAGTCGCACTCCACAACTGGATTACTTATTAGCCCATAATATTCTACTAGTAGAGTGCAGACGATAACTCGTCATTTCAATAAATCCATATTTTCTTTCACTACCCGGTTAACATTCTCTTTAAGGAGTCAAAGTAATTGTTGAAAATTCCATCTGTTTTAAACATTATTTATGATATGTTTATATAGTGTAGATAATTACCGTATTTTAACAAGTTTTTTCTTCCATAATTTCATAATTTTTTCATGACAAATAATTTCAAGGCTCTTTCAAAGAATAAACCACACTTGAAAATGCCTCATTACTGGAATGCTATAATAAACTTTTGACTTATAAACACTTCATTACACTGGCAAATGTAGGACTATAAATTAAGCTCTACAACCACCCAAAAGTGGTTAAGATATTTTTACTGATCAGGTATTATATAGGAATATATTTACCTGTTTGCTATCTTGGAAAAGTTCAGTGTAGTTAATGTTTTAATTCACATTTTAAATACAATTTCTTTCAATAAATGACTGGCTTTTCAAAAGCAACTAGAAATAAATCTGTTAAATTTCAGGGGCTCTATTCTCATGTTGGAGGAATGGCCATTTTGAGAAAAAGTTGCTTTGAAACACCATTTTTATACTCAAAACAAGTAAGAAAAAATGTACCCGTAAAAAAAAGTTTTTCACTATAAATCCTTTATATGCGTGGCATCGGTTTTATTTTATTATTCATTTCAGTTTTTCTTGAGTAAGAGTTTCATTTTTATCACATTGGTATTTTTTATTAAATATGAAAAAAACATTTTCCTAAAAAAATTTGGAAATGTTTTTTCACGAAAATAAATTGTCACGCACAACGAGTCTGTGTGCAAAATGTCAGCTCGATTGGATCACGGGAAGTGAGTTAAAAAACGACCGAAAGATTTGCACGGTCGTTAGCGCGCAAGCAAGCAAGCGAACTTAATATAAAGGATTTCAAAAAGGCAACCAATCAAGTCCTCACAAAACATTTCTGCTGATATTTATTTTGGCTCATTGACTAAGCTTTCATAATAAAAATGTAAGAATCCTAGTTTACCTCAACCAAAAGGTCCCTTACTATGCCTTAATTGGGCCCTTTCAATCTTTGTGGTTTCCAGTTTGGAAGTGTACTGTAAAATCATAGCAAATTCTTAGCTATATCATCGTTTCTTTGAGCATTTTAAATTTCCAATAAATCATTGAGCATCCTCGAATTGCATCATTCAGATCTCATTGTTTGCCAAGGTCCATTGAAACCTACAATTTATACACATTCCCACAGTTGGCACAAAACATCTTCAGTATTTTAATAGCATCATAAGAAACAAAAAAACGTGAAAAGTCTGTACCTGTTGACCTAAATCAATCGTGCGCAACTTTGCACTTGCTTTGGTGTCGCACGAATTCTAGGGGACATATTTGCATGTCACGCGGTGGAGAACCCGTGCCGCTCATCGGAGCTGGCCATGCTGCAGCGCTATGGGCCACGCGTGCAGGTCAGCTCGCTCGAGAAGCTCGCCGCCGCCTTCGGGGAGCTGCGTGGCCTGGCGGACGCCGGCCTGGCGCCCTACCCTTATTCCACGCGTGAGCTGGTCAGCGTGGTCAAGCATCTGCAGGTGAGCCCTGGGCCTGGGTGATTCGCTTGATGAGTGGGTGGAGTTGGGGGGCAATTCAGAAAGAGTCTAATCAATGATTTAATGTATGTATGTTGAACTTATTTTGCAACGCAGGGGAAGGACGACAAACTAAACACAAAAAACTGTTCTAAAGCAATGAGTTTTCAATCTAGATTTAAAAGTGCATCGCTCCAGTGGCTTCCTAATATTGGAAGGAAGAGCGTTCCAGACGGCCCGCAGAAGCGCATCTGAAAGCGCTGCGATTAATACACTTAGTGGTAGCTATCTTTCTGTATTCATGTATATGCTGTGTGTGTGTTGTGCTGCAGATGTTCCCAGACGATGGGCTGTGGGGCGCTGTGCGCAGCGTCTTTGATTTCGATGCCTACAGCCCCGAGGCGCGCGACATGATCCTCTCTACCCTGCACAAGCACGGCATCCCTGCAGGCGCACACCCTGCCAACGTGCAGCTGGCCAAAGAGTAAGCTGAGATGAATGAAAGAGAAAATGTATTGCCAGACGGGATACGTTGAGTCAATCCCATGGCTTCAGCTTAAATTGGAGAGATACCTTATGATTAAGCAAGTCTGTGGAAATTAGGCGTGTGATGTATGTTGGTGGTATATTATCACATTTCGGGAAGAATCTTTGCAGTGTGTTTGTCTTATTGTACCTTGTCTGCCAGAGTCGAGGAAAACACAATCTAGATAATTGCAATGATAATTATCTGAGAAACATTGTGAACTGGAAAACAATCAAGTTTTACTGCCTAAATGTGTGTATTAGAGTTTACTGTCTAATAACATCTGATGAACATTTTTAAATATAAAACATTGTTCCTTGATGCCAAATGCCCTAGCACTATAAATATGTTTTGCAATGTATTGGATGCTAATTTTGAAATAAATGTGCAATTTTTATTCAAACTAAAATGTCAAAATCTTTTTTTCTCCAACTTGTTTCCATCATTGATCTTAGAAAATATCATGAACCACGTAAATTTGATCATTCCTTGAGAACATATTTCAATGTGCAGATGTGTTTATTGTTAGTTTGGTTTTTACTGTTCTTGTTTTTTTGAAAAACACTGAGATGTGCACTCTACTTAAACTAATTGATAGCTTGGAATCATAATCCCATGAAGGTTTGGTGTTGACTAACATATTGCTGGCATCTAGAGTCGGGAATTGATAGCAAGGTTTAGTGATGAAACGGCATTGGTTGAAATTACCTCCACTTTGTTCTTGAATGTTCATTTAGCATTTTAGATTAATGGAAAATCTCATCAACTGATTGTAGGAAATATTTAATACAGTGCAAACTGTCTGGTTATTAGTGCTGAACACTAAAAAATATATACATACATTAAATACATGACCGTACACAGAGGAATGGAAATGAGGGTGGAAGCCTATTCATTATAATTTAAATGCAGTAGTTTACACTAAGACAACCACTTGTTACAAGCATTTTCAAATACATAATCATTAATGATTGTGCAACCACAATCAAACATTGTGCAAAATGTTGGTCAATGTCTGGCATACCTCCCTGAGGTCTGGCCACCACATGGTCACCAACAGGGGCTTGGGAGGGACCTCGTAGCTTAAAGTTTAATTCATGCCTGCATTCTTCAAATTCATAAGCACCTTTAAACCGTGGATGCAATGTAGCCCATGTGCAAATGACCTAAGCAATCCATTGTTCTGCCTTAAGCCTTTTGTCAACCAACATTGCTTCACATATACTGTGTCGTCAAGCTTCTCAAATGAATGATTCTTCCTAGTGTGCCAGCCCACATGGACGGTTATGTGGCTGTTGCAAGCCTGCCAATGACATTAGGCCTCTTAATCTGACAACGAAGTGGAACACCAAACTCCACACGTAGTTGGCCAGGATAAAATGTAGGTTACGTAACCTTGTACACCCACTACATTAAAATACATCTGATGCGATGTCATCCATAAGAGTCGTTTGCTACTCCGAATTTCTGGTAGGTGAATATCCAGAAAATCTGCAGGATTTTGTTTTTACCAGAAATAGGTGGAAAGACTGGATTAGTGACATAGCACGGGCAGAGCCACGCATGTTCATGCCCATTCAGCTGCAGACATGCATCGTTGAAATTGTGGAATTATTGTACGGGTTTAGCCCTTGCCTCCGAGTGCATACAACAATTTGTTTGCGCATTATGTTGATAATATTTACGTACCAACAATTGTTATGCTCCTTGTGCTCAGACATTTCTCAAATTGTGCGAAACATTTTCTCACTGAAGAGTACTGAAAAGCATATGGAATCCTTTAAAATGAAATAATTTTACTTTTGTCACAACAAGTGCATACCCAAATAGCTTTTCCATTCACAGAGTTAGAATGTGCACTGGATTATGTGAGTAACACAAGATGTTAATATGGAGCATATTGAGCCAGTAACTTTGAGATTCTAGTATTCAAACACATGCAGCAAAGCAGAACTAGACATGATGGGTTGCCATTTGAATGTTTCCTGATATCTATATCACTCGATTAAACTAGGAACTGAAGTGAGTGGAATCAATACGCCAGAGCTGGCACAGTGAAACCTTTCAGATGTTGACAAGTGCAGTCATTCATGGGAAGTTTGCCCCTTTACACTGAGCATACTAAATAGACCTTCTAGATTTGAAGTTTTCGTGACTGCAAGGATCCATACTCTTAGGTTCTTTCGGTAAAGTCACGTAGGTGAAATTAAATAAAAATAACTAAATTACGACGTTTCGGAGGCAACACAAGCTTCCGTCATCAGGTGGGACAACCACAGCAAAATGTTTACTGTAGTGGGCAGAGAGAGCTGTATGTGACAATAACGACAACAGCTTAAACCCCCGCCCCCGACTCCACACGCCGCCCCCCCCAATGCATCCCTCCCTTGCTATTACCCTATATAATCGCTTGTCACATACAGCTGTCTCTGCCCACTACAGTAAAATGTTTTGCTGTGGTTGTCCCACCTGATGACGGAAGCTTGTGTTGCCTCCGAAACGTCGTGATTTAGTTATTTTTATTTAATTTCACCTACGTGACTTTACCGAAAAAACCAAAGAGTATAAATAGACCTTGGCATCCAAACTTAATGTTGCAGCTGTGTTACATGGTAGAAAGCACAATATAAAATGTAAAATATTTTGTGTAATCAGTGCACCTGTATTATATGTTAAGTGTTGTTCCTTTCCTATCTCCTTTTCCAGGCTCCCTTTACCTCCCCCAAAATTGATAGGACATTGGGAGGTAGGTGGACAGCCCAGTGGAGACCAACCGTGGAGGCAGTGTTTCACAGAGAAGAGAACTGTGTCTGTTTTGGTACGGACGTCGCACACACGCCAGCCCCTTGTCTGTGCTTTGGTGACCCATGTGAACTCTCGACAATTTCTAGACTGTAAAAGAATCCTCGTTCGTCTGAAAGCCGATACTGAATCTGTTTTTCAAATTAACGGGATTCCAGTGGTGATTCCGCAATCGCCAGGGAAATTTCAAGCTTGGCAATTCTGCATAGAAAATACTGGAGATTCCACGACTCCTATTATCCTACATTGCCATTAGAACAAAAAATTTGACTCCATGAATTGAATACTTATTCTGGGCTGGGTATCATTTACTTCACGTATCACCATCATGGTTGTATATTATCAGAGTACTTATCTTGTAGTAGGCATGCTGTAATTTCACGGTTGTTTAGTGTCTGTTTTGGAACGTGTGCTGTTATAGATAACGTACAGAGCTTTGTGTGGGAGCTGAAGTGTCAAGGGCTGTCGCTTGGCTGCTTTTGTGGTCACTGCAGGGTCCTGCACTGCAGCCAGCACAGCCTCAAGTTGCAGAGCGAGTGGATCCCCGGGGCCTGCACTTCTCGGAGGAGGAGGCGAGCTGGAGCCTCAAGCTACACGAAGCCAACATGGCGTGCGACATAGCTGTGAGCTCTGCAGCCCCCACAGGTGTGAGCCAGACCTCTGCGCACGTTCTTATTTAATATTGGCATTCCCTAGTCCACAAGGCACTAATTTGCTCTCTGATGACTGGAATATCATTAAAACGGCTTTTTCTGTTCAGTTGTTGTCGTTCCCCCGCCCCCTGCGCACCTCCTGTTAGCACGGTTGGCTATGTACGGTGTGAACTAAGTTCAACAGTATACAATGTTAGTAGAAGCATCGTTTGTAGGGTAGTTTCAGTGTTAAATTTATCTCCCAAATTTAGTGGTGATAAAACACATTGGTCCTCCGGTGTTAATTTTCACAAGGGAAAGCCCTGTTGTGTACTGTGTCGTAAAAATCACATGTGACACCAGCACGGGCATTGCACTCAAATGTATGCATCGTGTGTTCAATGAGCGTGTGAGCAGATGTGGAGGCTACCACAGTGTATGTGGCAACGTGCAACCCTGTGGGCCTGTACGCGCTGCGACTGGGCAGCCGCGGTGAGCCTCTGCTGAGGCACGTGGATTTGGCTGAGGTTTTCCCGCGTGCTGGTGTAACCATTTGGCAGCCCTTGGTCTCTGTGGCCCCTCTCGGTTCTCATTTGGGTGGCCAAGTGCTGATGCTTGAGAAAAAGGTATGGCCAGCTTCCACCACATATTCTACGTATATTTTTAAAAAACAAACTTTGTTTCAAATTTCTGCAAATCTGCCAAACAGTTTGAGTCGTTTAACCTGGACCGGGCAAATATAAAATCCCATACATCAGATGGGGAGCGTCTTGTGGCACCCATCGCCTGAAGCAGAACTTACGACAGCAGCCCAGGCATATCCTGTGAGGAAGAAACTGGAATCGGATGGACTCTCCCAATTGGACCTGATCCCTTCTGTCATCCATGCAACAGGCTAGTGACCGTCATCCACAAACTGAAAACAACAACAGATGACATTGCTAACTACAGACACATGTTGCTCCTCAACACTGCCTAAAAAATATTCACTCAAGCCTTTCCAATAAGTCTTCAAAATGATACTGCCTTTCATAATCCATGAAGACCAAGCAAGATTAATTAAAGGCAATCTATGTTATATCAACCTCACTCACACTGAGCGAGGCCTTTGCAATAGCCCTAGATGAAAAGAAGCAGCTTGACTGGGTAGAATGTCCATGTTTACTGCAATGCAACATTTGGGCTTCGGACTAAACTTTACACAGCTCGGAACCTCCATCAAAAGATATGAACTGATCTGGCCAGAAATTCCCCTCCAGTGGCACCAAACAATGGATGAAAATATGCCCCTATTGTGTGGCTAAAATCAACAAATGTTCATGTTGCTCTTTTTATTTCAATGAAAAGATTGAATAACATGAAATGTAAACATAACGCATGTATAATAATGAAACAAAATGAGGATGCAGGACAAATGTTTTAAAATAAAATAGGACGTATTTATAGGCACCAGGCAAAATATTTTTACACGGTTGTTATTCGTGGATTGTAAATTGAAAAAAAAATTCTCCCTGAAATGTGACTGAATTTTTTTGAAATATTTCACCTGGAAAATCCCTTGAAATGAAACTTCTCGTTAACAGGGGTGTCCCAGGGTTGTCTTGTGTTTTGTGATCACAGTAGTGAGATGCTGACGTGATGGATGTGATGCTGCTGGATTGGTGGTGTGTGCTAGAGTGGCCTGGTGCTGCTGCTTGCTCCAGAAGCGGACACGGTGCACCGCCTGCTGCTCTGGCCCGAGGAGCAGGACTCACCACGCCCACGGGGTCAGAGATGGTGGTCCAGCAAACAGGAGCAGGCACAGGCAAGTGTCCACATGACTGTGTGCAAACACATTCACACTAACTATTAACAAACTATTTTTAAATCCTTTATATTAAGTTCGCTTGCTTGCTTGCTTGCGTGCTTGCGTGCTTGCTTGCTTACGACAGTGCAAATCTTTCGGTCGTTTTTAACCCACTTCCCGTGATCCAATCGAGCTGACATTTTCCACACAGACTCGTTGTGCGTGACAATTAATTTTTGTGAAATATTTTTTCCAAAATTTTACACTGTTTAGGGAATTTTTTAAAAATATTTAATTACCAATTGCTTAATGCTGGCAGACAATCATCTGACCCATAGGTGGCAGCTATCTCAAGCCAGAGGACGAGAGGACTCTAGCCGCCACGCATATAAAGGATTTATAGTGAAAAACTTTGTTTTTACGGGTTAATTTTTTATTTGACTAGGTAAGGTTCACTGAGCGCTTTAGCTCTCTTTCAGAAACGACCTGGCTATCCCAAATGATAGCTCAACGAAGTGGCTTATGTGGAAATGTATAGCAGCCAAATTTTCTTGAACGCGTGTTTCTAAATTTGGAGGGTAAAACCGGGGGACACGGACAAAAATCCACACAACCACGGGGAGAGCATGCAAACTCCAAATATACGGGCGTCAGGGTTGGGATCAAACCCACAACCGATCATACCAGGTGAAGTAGTTAACATCTCACCACCGTGGCGCCTCTGATTTGTGGCGTATAGAACCTTCATTCACCTCCAGGGTGGGCCTCAACCACTGCAGAGTGAATAAGAGTCACAGGGGGGTACTGCTGTGTGCAAAGTCGGCAGCGGTTGCCCTAAGAAGAGACTTAAAGTCTTCCTGAGATAAACCCGTGCTGGATTATTGATAAACGTGTTGAGTTTTTTTTGTCACTTGGATTGTGGATTGGTTTTTGAGTTCTCCTTTATACCTGTGATTTAAAATGTAAATATAGTTGTGTCGTAGAAATTAGTACAAAAGCTTAGAACAAGTACTGTGCTCACACACAAACATGCACATACACGAGTGTCAGTGATTGGTCTGATCAGTCGCACACAATGCAATGTCGGCATATTTTCACATATGCAGGTGCTGATTTTGATTCAGAATGTTGCAACCACTTGTGTCTTTTTGCGTCCTATTTTTAGGAGATGTATTGCATGGCAAAAGAATTCTCTCATCAAAACTGGATTGTGTTTTACAAAGAGAATGGGTAAGTAGCATGACTTAAACCAGAGAATATTTTCCACATTGACTTATAGATTTGAGTTTCACTGAGGGACGTAACATATCATGTTCAAAGGATCTGTGGAAATGTGCACTGTTTGAATCCCAATCGTAGTATATTAGCTTATTATGAACAATTCGGTGTGTGTATGATGCAGTGGCCTATTCACCTTAATTAATCTCACTTCATATACTTAGGAAATAATAGGGAGAATGATGAGATCTTGACCACCTGAGTTTGATTCCTGTTCCAGCCAACTATGATGGAAAGTGATATCTCAACTAGTCTTGGAACTGCCCCTTTTACCAAACCATACTGACCAGCATGGTGATGTATGTTCAGACAACTCCCACAACTGACGCAGCGTGTGGAAGCCTTCATCCAGAAGTGGATTTATACAGTTGTGTAACTTATTATTGCACATACAATAACTGGATCAGAACAATGATGTACCAGCGAGCATTTACTGAAAATGTTAAATCAGCCTTTATATGATAGAGACTGAAATAACGTTTTGCTTTTATTTGTCAAACATTTGAATTAGAAAGACATGTTGTGTGTGGACTTGTGTCTTGTGTGGCTGTGTGTGTAACAGGAATGTGCTGGACTTGCTGCATGTTGACAAAGGAGTGGTCACATCCATCGCCCTCCCCATCAACATTTCATCCCTCTTTTTGGTCTCCCAGGACCACTGGCTGCTGGTGGAGAGTAAATCTAACCGGTGAGTAACATGGATGTTATATGATGAAGGCGCAAATCAATAATCTTGTTGTTAGAGCAATCACAGATGTCTGGCTTCTATAGTGCATACCATTGCATTCCATAGCCTGACAATGTATGCAGACATTTCACACACATGTAGTATAAAATAGTGCTAAAAACAAATGTTAGAAGTAACCAATTAACTGTGTCAATTTACAGCATATGTGATTGCATAATGTGCACAGTGGGGTTCAAAAAAGGTCACACAGGTAGTGTGTTATTGATGAATGTGTTAAGGTCTTTCGGTTATTTGTACTCAGTCAGCAAGACGTATTGTTACGTCAGTTTTTTTTCAGGCAAATATCATCTTACAGCAGCAAGGTAATTAATAGTTACGTGTAGATTTACCCTTGCTCTGAATATTTGCCCAGCCACATTACTTATATGGTTTGCTCTACCCAAGCAAGACCACCCTCTACGGCAGGGGTGGTGAAAGCTTTTTGACTCGCAGAAACTGCAACCAAGTACATTACTTGACAAGTTCCATGAAAAGAGATCATCAAATCAAGTTTACACAAAATAAAACAAATAGTTTGTTGATACCGCATTGGCAGTGGTGCACAAGTACAAATAGAAATCCAGTGAAACACAACAAGCAGCTGCTTTGGCAATTTCAGGGTCTTGCGTGTTTTGCATTTGTGTACATTGGCTTGATTGTACTGTGCATGTATATCCATGGACACATGGTCACGTGCAACCACCTTCATCTCATTGTGCAGGAAGTTCCTGCTCGTGCGGCATGGCTCCAGCGCGACAGGAGCGGAGGCTGTGTACCAGCTAAAACCCATCTCGGAGGAGCCCGTCAGCTTGGGCTTCGGCATGCTCACAAGTACTGTGCTCCCGGAATGCATACAAAGACACACGCACACGAAGCCTGGCCTGTCTGACATTCTCAATGCTTAGAACTCAACTGAACAAATCAAGGGTTTGAAATATTTTATGGATATGAGTAAATTATTTTCTAAATTAAACTGCTCAAATTTCAATGCAAAACGTTGTATTCTCCTTTTACTATAGCATATTCAAATGTGGCTATGTTAATGTGTCTTTATTGATTCTAATACATCGGGTGCATGGTTAATGTCTTATTTGATTCGCTTGCCTCTGAGCCGATCGGTTTTCGTTTTTTCTTTTGAGTTGGAACAGATACCATCGACATATTTGCAGATCAAAAAGTATTGGATTACGATTAACACGTGAATGTGTATGTTGTGCTGGTTCATATTCCATTGTTATCCAGAACAAACCTGACGACTGAAAAACTAAATGTGTTGTTTGTATTGTTCCTCAGCTATTGTTCCTACACTGCTGGCTTGTTAGCATCTCCTGCCAGGAGACACAATTTATTAGACCAGGATATCAATTGGAAGCTGTGGACCTCTAACTATAACATGGGACTCTTTGAATAAATTGCGTGACGGTTATAGGATATGTGCAATGATATCTATATCACTGAAATTGCATCACTGTCATCACTATGCTATAAACGTCAGTATTATTCCCTGCAACATGAATTGGTATGTCTTATTAGAGATAGAGAGCATTAATAGGAAAATATAATAATCTTACTAATTGGCCTTGTCGGGTGGTGGGTTTAACGACATATTTATATTTACACGATCTGACCCAAAAACTACTTTTATGAAAAATATTGATTGCCACAGAAACAAGAAAAGAAAAATCCTAAACAGAAAAAACATGTTCTTGGTTCTTTCGGTAAAGTCACGTAGAAGGGAAGTAATAAAATAATAAAAATAAAACACAATAAAATAATTCTCACGACGTTGTGTTTTATTTTTATTATTTTATTACTTCCCTTCTACGTGACTTTACCGAAAGAACCAAGAAGATGAATCCCTGCAGTCACGAAAGCTTTAAATCGAAAAGAAAAAACATGCATGCCATGTTTTCCCCACTAGCTCCACAATTGCACACAACTTAAGATTAAATCACTTTTCTTTTTAAGTGTGCTTTGCTCTTTGGCCGCATGTCCTCACGAACCCCCACTGGTTCGCATGGCGAAGCATGCACAGCGTAGAATGACTGGGCGACGTGGACTGGTAGCAATTGTGTAGACTAACAGCAAAGTGACCCGTGTACATCATGGTTCATCATTTAGCGCTGTGTGAGATAGTAAATACATTGGCAGTATGCAGTAATGAGAGATTAGTGCAGAATTCAAAATATATATTTTCACATTCAATAATAGAATTGGTTCTCTCAATAGAAATCCAAACTGAAGGAATTTGCGTGAAAAAAAACGGATTGAAAACACATTTTCTTTTAATAAAAAAACAAGTTATATTAATGTAACAAAAACCCATAAACTCTTTTTTTGAATAGTGTAAGATGTAGACCTACAATTTATTGCAATTAATGAAAAATAATTATCTGGGATAATCGTGGTGAGGGGCGACTCGGATAAAACAAAAACACAGATAATGCAAAGCTCACTTCAGCTCGGCTGGAAGCCAGATTCATTGTTTAAAAATACATTATTGCTTCTAAAAGTACATTTTGTTTAACTTTCGTGAAGTCAAATGGGCACTGAGTCATAAATGTTCTTTTTAACAACCATTCCAAAAATTTAGAGTTAATTGTACTTAATGCTGCACATATATTCAGTTATGTGAACAGTCTATATGCATTGTACACATGTTAAACATCTAATAGCACCAACACAACGTTAAAAACACAAACGCTTGAACTTTTTGCACACACGCATACACAAAACACACAGACACATAATCACACGTATAAACACACACCCACTGCTCCCAATCTCCCATCCCCGACGTTGGCCTTGGGCGACCCTGCTCCACATCCTCAACCTCCTCCCTCATTCTCCCTTTCTCCCACCCCTTCCCTCCCCATGTTGCTTTGTATGCCCCCACCCCCAAGTTAAAAAAAAGGCAATTGTTGAATTGAAAAAATAAAAGTTAAACAAAACAAAGTAAGCTTTTATTTTAAGGAAAGTGTCCTCACTTACAGGTGCCTTTCTGTCTGTTGATCAATATCGCAACAAACCATTGTACATGGTTTTGGTGGAATTCGTTCATCGATAATCGTGTAACGACTTATTTTTATTCGTGCATTTGCGATAGCTATAATATCAATGATTGGCTTCAACATCTCGCACCTACTCACAACAGTAGTATAAGCACATTCCTAATGATTGTGATTTGAACCCTCCCATTAGACAGGAGCTCAACTAGGCCAGTGTCATTGTCCTGCGAGGAGCTTCCATCTGAAAACCTGAGCGCGGCTCTGGGGGAACGGGTGACATGTCCCAATCGCCTCCTGGCTGACCACTCCACGTATGCCACACTTCTCCTGGGATTTCCCGAGCTCACGGTAAGATTCTCACATTTTTCTCATATAGCAAACAACAAATAAAGCATGGAACGTGGCTCAATGGTAGCGTGGCCGCCGCCTTTTGCAAACATAATAAAAATTTAAAATTCTCACGACGTTTTGGCCACAACACAAGCAGCCGTCCTCAGGTGAAGAAACAGAGCTGTCGAATTTGGGACGCTGTCTTTCTGACAGCTCTGTTTCTTCACCTGAGAATGGCTGCATGCGTTGTGGCCGAAACATCGTGACAATTTTGATTTTATTATGTTTATTTTTTATTATTTTATTATGTCATATTTTTATTAATTTATTTACCGAAAGGACCAAGAAGACTACGGGTGTAATAACCATAAAATGATAAGCATCATCTGCTTGACAGTGGACTTTAAAGATCCCTTGACGTCGGCTATTGTGTGCCATGCCATGCTCTACAGTTGCCATGTAAAACAATTGCTCGCAAATTATTGAATTGGGATTACGCATAGCAACATCGCACCTCTATAGGCAGACTTAATGCCTCCCATTAAGCCGGTGTTGAGTCACCTTGCGCTGCACAGGGACAGCTGCCACTGGAGGGGGGGGTTCCCTTTTAATATTTTATATGAAATGCCATGGAAGGTGCTTTCAGTTGTCAAGGTATTTAAACACCTTATATGCAAAATTACATGTTTTGTTCATGTCTTAAATATGTTAATAACAAAGATCCCAACAGGGGTTCAAGTCTCATTCCACACTGCGGTAGACATAGGTAGCAATGGTACTATTCATTTATTGAATGCACTAACCATCCGTTTCCCTTCTTCCTGGATGGAGGGAGTTCCAGGATGGAGGGAGTTTGAGCCAAAGATCTGCCATTTGGCAGATAACTAAATAAGACGAACCATCTTAATCATGTTTTGATAGGACGTGATAACTCTTCAATAATTCTTATGTACTTATCATTTATTAGAGAATATTTATTTTCTGAAAAATTGCCACGTCACTAATATTTTATGAAAGTTTTTTTTTCCTTGCATATATATGCAAATTTGCTGAAATTTGCTTAATGCATTTGTGGAAACTGATGAAAACCGAAAGTCAAAACATTTTTTTTTACTTCCCTCTGTTGGACAGTCCCCCATTGAGGTTCACGCGTGGAGTCGGGAGGAAGAAATTTCGTCTGCCCTCCCTCATAGCAGCTGCTGCTTTTTACCAGCGACCAATCAGATTGTGCGGGCCCTACCAACTGACCTCGTCCCCACAAGCAAACTCTATGCACCAGGTATGCATGGTTCCTCATAGAGGATGCACCACTTCAGACTCTGGATATGAACGTGTTGGTAGTGAGTTGCATTTAACACATTTTAAGTAGAAGCAAATAACGATGCTCAAACAGCTACACAAATCTTAAGGTTCGTAGACCAACGCTTACAGTTTTTACATACTAAAACTGAAATGGAGACGTTGGTTAAACCAGCGGTGTCCAATACAGCAAGCACTATGATCCATTTTAGTGGATTTCAGCAAGCTCCCCAATCCACCAGAAGCTGTGTGACCAACTATCACCACTGTCGAGTATGATACAGTGTAATATTGCCATCTATTGGTATAAGTTATTCATTTTTAATGTTAGAATTCCTAGTGGAGTTTTACTTGTAATGAGCCATGATGAAAATTGTTATAAGCTTTGGCCGCTGCTGAGTTAAACCAATGCATTTTCCCTGCTCGTTTAGCATGGGTGTTTACAGATGTATGTATTGTTTCAGTTGCTAGAAACCTACACATTTCCTTACCAAAGGGTTTATGAATCAATATTGTCTCATTTGCAGTCTATCTTGTTGTACAGAGACAAAACATCCGAGTTGTGCTGGATATTTGGAAATAACAGACCTCAGCTCCAAGAAGGTGAAATACATCCCCGTGCCAAGGTAATCCCTGAACTAGTGTAGATGTGTCGGTGTATCTCTGGAGTGGTGTAGTCTTATTGGGGACTTCATATAAAAACAATTGTCAAAAGAATGACTGGTTTACACAAATAATGTTTAAAATCGCAATGACATTGTTGCTTAAAGCATTAATTTTTTTGATATGTCCACTTTTGGCAGAATGGCAGCCTTTTGCCTAGAAAACTGGTAGTTCCACTTTTTAATATTTATAGCAGCATTGCTGAATCCAAATTGCATTGTTTAGGTGTACAATTGCAATACAATGGGTCCTGGGATTTTTTTCACTCATCATGAGTACACACTTGCCCATATGGAATGAAACTTACTCAAGTAAATTCTGTAACAGAGAGATGGACAGACTGAAAAATGTTATGTGTGTATGTGCGTATGCAGTTCTGACTTCATTTCGCCCTACACGTCATGGCTATCTCGAGTTTCAGATGCCGGCTTCCTATTTGCAGTGGCTGGAAATGAACGTCTGGTTACTGTAGATACAGGGGGACGTGTTCGCCTCTGGGAGATTGGATTGGCTAGTTTGGAACGCTCTTTGCTTGAGTGGAGAAATATGATTGGCCGAGGAGAGGGCTCTCCCTTGCAGGTAAGAGCAACTGACCTGAGTAAAAATGTATTTTATATCAAGTATACCCCAATAGTCTCACCGCATTTTTATGAACACATGTTTTTAACTGGTGGTCTAACCGATGGGCTCGTGTGAGCCCAACGTTTAAATAGCCACTGTGGTTTTAAGCTCCATAACACTTGTGAGTAAAGTTTAGAATGCTGAATCAACCATCGCATAAGCAGAAAATTATACCAACGTAGCTCAAGGATACATATTGGGGTTAGCAAACTCAGAAGCAGTGTTGTTGATAAATTTACATCTATACATGGAGGTAACTATTTGATGTATAGTGGTCAATGGGGGTGTTATTATATAGACTGCTTACTCGCATGAAATACGCATACTCGTCACAAATCGACTCGGCATCGGTAGCAGTCTTTAGGCGGGCGTAGATACGAGTTTTGGTCGTTGCTGTGGGGTCTTACTATAAGAAAGGTCGTAAAAGTGGGGGGGTCGCAGGTCAAGCCGTCGTAAGTCGGGGGTCACCTGTACTGTATTGCACATGAGTCCCAGGGTCATGCCGCCTTTCCTATGCCATGCGTAAACTTTGTTCAAATATGTTTGTGAATAAGCTAAAATATAAGTCGCTATATCATTGCAATGTGACACTAATAAGTGGTAACCCTGTTGATGTTTGGCTGTGTGCATAGGTAACCGTGCAGAGAGACAGTGGAGAAGATGTCTCTGCCCCCAAGCATGGCCGTACCGACCCCAGCAATGATCCCCATGTTGGTGGCAACACGTGGGCTGGGGGAACAGGTAAATAAGCCTGCAGCCATTAACACTGCTCTCGCATGGAATAATCATCGTTCACCATGTAAAATGTATAATATGTACGTTGATTAATTCGATACCATATTATGCTGCATATCATTCATCAGAAATGTACTGATTATATCGCATGTTCAACGAAGAGCGAAAATTAGAGATTCAGTTCTAAGTGATTTAGCCATTTCATTGTTTTGTCAAGAGTGTTGGTGAATTGTCCATGCACCCACTGCCTTCCAATTTATCTTCAGGGCAAAAAAAGTTATATCGTTTGTGGTTTTGTGTTCGTAGCAGCAGTCGCACACCAGATATTTTATTTATTTTCCACCTGTGCGGTTGTTATCCGCATCTTTGTAAATGAATTGTACAATGCTGGCGATTGCTCAAGGTTACATAGTTGCATGATGAATACAAGCAAGCGGATTCATTGTGTGGGCAGGTGGCAGAGACACTGCAGGCTTGGGTGGAAAGGGAGGCCCCTACAGGTTGGATGCTGGCCACACTGTACACCAGGTAAGATTATTGTTTCTGTTACTCGAATTAGACAAGACATATATGGAGCATCTACGTAAGTAGCATTTGCTTTTTTTGCCAAGAAATCGTGTTCTTCACATTCAGGGCATTTGGTTTTGTGACCTGGAACAACTTGTACATGCGACAGACAAAAGTGTGAGGTCACCAAAGCAATTGCACAGGGCATTCAGGAATAAAAAAAAAAAGCAGCAATCAGTGATTGCTATGAACAGGGCTTATATTGTAGAACTGTAAAAGTATAGTTTCGTATGACCTGTACTTTTGAGAAATAAGGTATTTTCAGAATTTTTTTGACTGCCTTTCATATCATTGTGTATTGTGGTAAAAAAAATACTGTTACACTATTACATTGCTAAATACTACTGTTTAGTACTCTTTGGTTCTTTCGGTAAAGTCGCGTAGATAGAAAATAAAAAATAATAAAATAAAAATAATAGATCACGACATTTCGATCACAACAACAAGCAGTCCACAGCAGTCTGTTTCTTTCACCTGAAGACGATCGCTTGTTGTTGCGATCGAAACGTCGTGATCTATTATTTTTATTTTCTATCTACGTGACTTTACCAAAAGAACCAGAGTATGAATTCCTGCAGTCACGAAAGCCTCAAATCAAGATTTCTACTCTTTAGCTTGCAGTGGTCCACATGATTAGGCCCTTATCATTAAGGTATTGCCTTGTGTATTTGTAATGTACAGTTAGATGAAAAGTGCACTCGGAAACCTTGCATTTAACCGCTATCCTGAGAAAGATTACGGTCCTTGAAAGTGGAGTGTCTTTTCACTCGCGCCTCTGCTTGTCAGGTGTCCCAGGCAGAGAAGGACGCTGTCCCTGAGGAGGTGAAACGGGCAGCACGCGCGTTGGCGGAGAAAGTCTTCAAGGAGAGGTACCAACATCCTGTCGCTCATTTCATTAGTTGTAAGACTGAATGTGTTGTCAACATATCTAAGATGACTAATGCAGGTAGTCCCCGAGTTACGATGGTCCGACTTACGATATTTCGATCTTAAGATGGCGATAGCGATATGACAAAATAGTAAAATATTTTACATTTCACGCGGCAGGCAAACGCAGCAGCGTACGAGATACGATACTGTACTTTATCATCGCCATCCTCCTCTTCCAACAACTAAGTTAATGTAGCCATCAACAACCTAACATCGTTCAAGTATGCAGACGACGGACAGAATCTTGGTGACTACAGTACAATATGATACGTTACGATACGTTCAATGCATGTATGATACATAGCTTTAGCGATTTCATTTTAAGGTTACCACGATACGATCCCTTCAATGCATGTTAACAGTTTTTATAGCAGATAGGATTGTTTCCTGAAAAAACTTTCGATTAAATTGCAGTTCATGTAGGCAGGCTAAGAATTTACTTTGTTTTTTACTTTACATTTAACTGTGCAATAAAGTATTGTAATTGATAAATACATACAGTATATAGTTTATACAGTACGGTACTGTAAATTGCTCTATTTTGCTAAATTATCACCATTCTTTAAGACTCCTGGGTAGGCTAGGCCATCTTCGACTTATGATATTTTCGACTTACGATGGGGTCGTCGTAACGCATCTCCATCGTAAGTAGAGTAAAACCTGTGTGGGGAGGGGCTGGTCACCCCGTGGTTTAACCTACTCACGCCGGCTTGTGCCCGCCCTCACAGTCGGCCATATTTGCGGAATACACCACGCCGCCGTTTTCCCTGGCCATTGACTGAGCAACCCAACGTTCCTCCCAGTTCCCTCCGCAGGAATGTGTTTGATGTCTTTAGTGATACCCATACAACTTATCTTTGCATACCTTGGCCAACCTCCCCTTTTATTTCAAATGGTATTTCAAAAGCAACAAACTGGGTTGTACTTCTACATTAAGTCTGAAAATCCATTTGATGGCATCTGGAGTCACCTGATAGATTATATTTGTACCGCTTGCAAAGCGTGCATTGGGCCTTAGCACACACCATCCAGTGGACTGTGCATGGTGTGTGAGGCTGAGTGGAATGTGTTGACGCTGTTGCTGAATGCGAGTGGATTTTTGTCGGGCTACAGTCCGAGCAAGTCGTCTGCTTGTCGGTAATATATGGTTATTATCAGAGATTTTGTTTTTATTAGTTGTAATTGTCTATCAAAGTTCTCTTCATCACTGCATAACCTCTGCCGACACATAGGAGGTTTTGAATTCCATAATATTCATTTCATGACTGCAGTGTGTGGATTTGTGTGTAAAATGCTTGTAGGTTACGGGAGATTGGAATGAGTGAATATGATGCCGCCATGTACGAGCGGTTTCTGGGGGCTGTGCGGAGCCAGGTGCAAGCCCTACGCATCATCCTCGACAGCCTTGAGGTATCCCAGTTCGGTTGACCCTGATGCAGATGTTTGAGATAACAATAACAATGAAAATGGAGGTAAATCACTTTGAGTTGCTATAGGCGAGCGGGGGTGGTGCAGTGGCATGGTGGCCCAGTGATTAGTGTTACTGCACGATACGCCAAGTTATGATGAACCAAGTTCAATTTCAGCCTACAGTTAACACATACCTATCAACCCATACGGTTTACCCATATTCTTGTACAGGGCAATTGAATTTTCAGGTCCATATGGCGTATAGCCGTTTCAATACAATCATACGGCCAAATAAAACAAGTCGTGGGATAGCTTATTTTTTTATACTCTGAAGAGTAGCGTTCCCCATAGCAGCCGACAAATTTGATCCGGGAAGTAAAATACTTTCGGTACAGATCATGTGCACAAGCTACACGTTGTCTCTTTGTGTTTCTCCCTTGTAATCGGACTTTGTACAATGAACTTTGAGATTTATAAGGACATGGCCAATAAGGTCTGAATTGGTCTGTAATAAGGTAGGCACTGATAAGGGGTTGACAGGTATGGTTAACATGAGTGCTGAGTGATATCTGCATCATTCCTGCTCCCCCCCCCTCCCCCCATATGGTGACTTCTGGTCAAATAACCCCATGCCCAACAAGACATGTAGATAAACTAATTTAGCAGTTAATTTAAAACAGAGCAGTCATATATTATGATAATGATGATTAAGTTATGCTTATGATAATTCAACTCGATGGATGAGCGGTTAGAAATACAGCTCGCAATCAGAAGGTTGCAAGTTCAGTTCATAATTGGAGTAAACGTAATCCTTCATCCCTTTAGAGTTGATCAAATAAGTACCATAGCAGGATATATCCGGGGGAAACGTATCTCCGACTTGTTTTAACGCTGACATGAATGGATGGAAACTTTACAGGCCAAAGGGAAGGAGCGGCAATGGCTGCGTCACCAGACAACGGGAGAGCTGGACGATGCAAAGCTTATCGACGGTCTTACAGGTGAACGAGCCGTGTACCGACGCCGTGGAGACCAAGATCCTGAGGTGAATAGGAGGCGGGCCTCAGGCCTCGAAGTTTATATATTGGACTCAGGCTTTGGGCTTGAACAGCTTTGGCTCGTGGGTCGGAATTTTTTTTTTTAGGAAAGTCTCTTTTTGTTTCATTTGTGTTGTAAATCAGGAAATTTACAACTATTAAACTGATAGCATCTCCTTAATGAAATGACACCCCAATAGAGGTCATCTGTACATAAATAACATGTATCATGTATATCAAATGCCGAAAATAAAGATATCTGCACAAATCTACAATGGTTAACCAGATGTCATAGGCAAAATATATCCATATGACATTCGAAAATAATCAACAATCTTAATTCCAAGATTATTGGCAACATGGCAGCAATGAGGTGGGGGGGGGGGGGGTAGCTCAGAGGTCAGAGCTATGAGGCAGTACCCCTGAGAGTCTAGATTGGAGTATGGACAGCCACCCTTTATTAATCCTGGGTTCTGAAATGTAGCGAGTGGATGGTCAGCCCAATCTCACCGGTGACTGCACACAAAATAACGTCATTAAATTTCACGTTAAATTTGGTGTTTTACTTGTGATTTGGTTAAATCCAGTTCAGAGAATGAAAAAAATAGAAATTTGACTGTCATGCAAATATATAACCGTGTATGGGAAAGTATGTACTGTGAAAAATCCCTTCAGCAGCTGTTCTCTTGCGGGGCACACTGCCTTGCAAACTCTCTAAATGGATTCTTTGTCTCATGGCATGATGCCAATATTACAATTGGAATTGTGGAGGTGGGGGGGGCATAGAAAAATAGAGGGCAGCATTACATCTGATCCAAATATCATTTACAGCAAAAACTACTAAATAAAATAAAACGTATCAAATTCATTTTAAATCCCGCTCGCTTCGGTGTAACACCACTTGTATGTCGCCATCTTATCTGTCCGTCCTGATATCCAAAAATAATATACTGTTTTTACAAAATCACATACTAACCAACTCATGGTTTTGGAAGTCAATGGACCGGTGAGTTGGGTGTTAGGGAAATCTTTTGAATAAATTTCACTTTATTTTTAATTATTGATAGTTTTTTACCCCCAGAGAAAACACAGAACATCTGTCTTTAAAGGCTGAAGTTTGTCGTTTGCAATTCATAACATTAATATTTAGTTTCCATTTGATTTTGTGTGTGTTGTTGCACTTCTCCACAGCTGGGCTCACCGCTGGTCAAGCCAAAGCGCCTGCGTGTGCTGCTCGACGTCTCGGGCTCAATGTATCGCTTCAATGGCCTGGACGGGCGACTGGAACGTGCCATGGAGGCAGCCTGCCTCATCATGGAGGCCTTGCAGGGCTATGAGGGGAAAGTCTCGGTGAGTTTGGTGTTGGTTAAATTGGCCTTACAATTGGCCCCATGGTACAGGGAAACCTTTCGAGGCTGGAGTAATTGGGGGAGAGATCCTTTCCTTGGTGGAAGATGTGTGACATACTGCAAATAATTAAGTTATACACACTGAACCTTAACTACATTTCCATGTCATTAATACCTAACACATTTTAGTGATGTTTAGTCACCTAATAAATATTGTTAGTGACGGACAAGACCACCTCAGCTGTACTTAACTCACCTTACTTGGTGTCTCTAATCAAGGACATATCAATGTCTCCAGATTATTTGCTTGTCAGTTTCAATGTAGTCTCCCTGTTCACTAAGGTACCTGTACCTGACACCATTGCAATCATTGAAGACTTGGTCCAACAGGGACTGAATCCTGATGTACCAACTTTGGTGAGGAACTGCCTTACCTACACTTACTTCACCTGGAATGGTACATTCTACAAACAAAATGAGGGTACCCCAATGGGTTCTCCCTTATCGCCAGTGGTTGCGAATTTTTTCATGGAGAAATTTGAGACAGATGCCATCCAGACATCCATCCTACGTCCCTCCTTGTGGAAGAGATACGTAGATGACACGTTCATCAGATGGCCTGTCAGCACTGAACCAATTTTTCAACCACATCAATTCCATAAACCCATCTATCCACCATGGAAGTGGGAAATGATGGCAAGCTACCTTTCCTGGATGTTTTGATTGAGAAGAGACCTGATAGCTCGTTAGGACACTGCCTACAGGAAGGCCACCCACACGGATTCCTATCTAAAGCCTGACTCCCACCACCATCCAGCCCAGAAGAATTCCCTCATCAAAACACTACACCATAGGGCCCATTGCATCTCCGACCAGCACCACCTATCCAGTGAACTGGAGCACGTACGCCAAGCCCTCAAGATGAATGGATATTCGGACCGCACAATTCCACAAAGCTGTATCCCAAACCATGGGTAGAGAACCATCTGAGGACCCAATCAAAACCATCACCTTGCTATACATAGCAGGGGTTACCAAAAATATTTCCAAAATCTTGAACAAGCACAAGATCCAGGTTCGATTCAACACAGTACACAAAATCCGTGACCTGATCCCATCTGGGAAAGATGTGATTCCTGACATGCAATACCCTGGTGTCTACAAACTAAGTTGTGTCTGTGGCAGCAGTTACATTGGGGAAACGAAACGACATGTCTCGGACCGTGTTCGCGAACACAAGGCAGATTTGAAACTACGGCAGAACCAATACCTCTGCCATGGCTGATCACTGCTTGAACGCAGTGGGCTCACACGACATTGTTTTTTCCGAGACCAAAGGTACTCTGCAAACCTTCGGGCTACCATCAAAGATTTGTTCATGAAGCCATCCAGATTTCTTAACACAGACATAACTTCAATCGAGAAGATGGGTACAGATTGAGCAATCACGTTATTAACCAGGAAAAAGCCTGAACTGGTTGTTGATGTTTCCATCCTACTTGCCATTGTCAGCTTTTTTTCCAACTCTCTGAGTTACATTACCAAGTTAAATGTCTTTACTTTAACGGGCTAACTATATATATTGCTGACTGCAATCGTGTAGCTGATTCTTGATTGAAATGGGAACCGATAAAGGGGTGACGTAATTGAGAAGATGTGATTTTTCTTTCACGTGAGTCATACATTTCGTTGTATGATTCTAGACCTGGAGTTTCAGAGTATTGGATTTATGGAGGCCATAGAGCACAGAGTTACAGCGATCAACGTAATAAGTTACAAAAGCATGAATTAAGGTCTCGGCAATAAATGGGGAGAGAAAATTGCAGATGTCAGTAATTTACACAAATAAATAAAAGTAAGAGATCTGGCAAGGGTGAAAAATAGCTCTGGATGAAAGATAACACTAAGCTTATGGACATTATTAGCAAGAGAAATACAATAAATATTTATTTCTAATATAAAATGAACCACATCAGTAGACTATAAATAATGGGTATATTTATTTTGTATAACGAGGCAGTGAGTTATTCCAATTGACAGTCTGTAAATAATGAGAAAACCCATCAAAACAGGAGAATCGGTGATGTTTATAAGCGTCTTGTGTTCTCTCACTGTTCATGTTTTTTTTCAGTATGACATTGTCGGCCATTCTGGTGATGGTTTTGACATCGAGTTGGTACCAACCAACAAGGTTCCCAAAAACAACAAGCAGCGACTGGCTGTCCTGAAGGTACGTCATATATATGTTACAAAAATATGATTTACATTTTTATATCAAGCATATTAGTATGTTCCAAGCATTATAACCTTCTTCTTGGTTCTTTCGGTAAAGTCACGTAGAAGGGAAGTAATAAAATAATAGAATCATTCTTCACCTGAGGACGGCTGCTTGCGTTGTGGCCGAAACGTCGTGAGAATTATTTTATTATCTTTTATTTTTATTATTTTATTACTTCCCTTCTACAGTGACTTTACCGAAAGAACCAAGAAGATGAATCCCTGCAGTCACGAAAGCTTTAAATCATTATAACCTTCTACAATAGAGCTTTAGAAGTTTGTCAAATGTACCCATGCCAGTACAATTAATCTAAATTACATTAAAAATAAATATAAATGTGTGTCATCCGAGAAATACCATGGACATCAACCATGTGAATCTCGTTAAGAACAGTGAAGAATGAACAATCTTGGATGAGATAAAGTGGACTTTGAGAAGTTGCTGAATGTGGAAAACCCAAGACACGAAATGGTTGAGGAGCATCACAGAATTGAAGTAGTTGCAGAGACTATAACCGGAGAAGAGGTGGTGGAGGCTCTGGGGAGCAGTGAAACATCAAAAGGCAGTGGGGCCACATGAGATTCCAATTGATATGTTTAAATTAATTGGGAGAAAGGAGTGTTTGAAATATTGATGGGGCTGTTTGGGAAAATGTGGATGGAGAAGAAAGGCCGGATGCGTGGAGAGAGAGAGAGAGTACATTGGTTCCCATCTTGAAAGGGAAAGGCAATGTATAATAGTGTGGGAACTACAGAGGAATAGCATTGATGAGTCACACCATGAAACTCTGCGAAAGGATTATAGAAAAGAGACTGAGGAAGCTGGTGGATATTGGTGAGAGTCGGTTTGGATTTAGGACAGGGAAGGTCAATGATGGCTGCAATCTTTGCACTGAGAGTAGTGATGGAGAAGTTCAAAGAGAAGAAATGTGACCTGCATATGGTGTTTATTGATCTAGAGAAAGCATAGAGCAGGGTAGCTAGAGAGCTCACCTGGTGGTGTATGAGAAGACGAGGTTTTCCTGAGGTATATGTCCGGCTGATCCAGGATATGTATGAAGGAGGGAAAATGCATGTGCAGAGCAGCGGCGGGGTGTCAGGAGAGCTTTCAAGTCAGAGCGGGAGTGAAGCGAGGTTCTGCTCTGAGCCCCTTCCTACTCATCCTGGTGCTGGACACACTAACGAGAGATATTCAGAGACATCCCCCGTGATGTATGCTGTTTGCAGATGATATTGTGCTATGCGGTGAAAACAGAGGGGTAGTGGAAGATGATTTGAAGATTTGGGTGCAAAAGAATTGAGGGAACGGTTTGAGGATCAGTCGGACAAAGACGGATAATATGGTGGGAAATATCAGTGGAAATAATGCAGAAGGATGATTGCAAATTGGAAGTGACCAGTTAATGAAGACGAACGAGTTTAAGTACCTTGGTGCAATGGTGTGTGCTGATGGATGACTAGAAGGAGAGATGAGAACAAGAACAAGGGCTAGATGACGAGAGATGACTGGTGTGGTGTGCGATAAGAAGGGTCCCAGTTTGGTTAAAGGGAAAAGTGTACAAGATGGTGGTGAGGCCGGTGCTGTTGTATGGGGCCGTGTGTCGGGGCACAAGAAAGAGGGAGGACCAAGCTATGGTCGTCACAGAGATGATGATGTTGGCGGTGGATGTTGAGTTTAATAATAGGTGGTAGGAATCAGACAGAAGATGAGAGAGAAAAGGCTGGTGTGGTTCGGTCACGTGGAGAGACAACAGGAAAATTATGTGGGTCAGAAGGTGCAAGTGATGCAAGTGGAAGGAAAGAAATCAAGAGGAAGGCAGAAGAAGAGGTGGGGGGCGATGTGGTGCGATCGGACACGGTGGCCCGAGGAGGGGAAATAGAGATGGCGCAGGACAGGGCAGCATGGAGAAGGTTGGCGGGGACAGAGGGACCCCACATGAGTGGGTCAAACACGTGGAAGAAGAAGAAGATAAATGTGTGTAATTTACATCAATTAAAGACATGGCAAGTAAAGCAGCATTGTTGCCAGTTGTTACGACTAAAGCGTCAGAATTACTGCTTAACAAAATGGCAATTTGAAGTTCTATAATCGTAGCTCAATATATAAAACTGCTGAGTGATTTCACGTCTGGCTAGAATAGATGTGTTGTCAGATAGTTAACGATGTTGTACAACTATTAAAACCCATTCATGTGTGTTCAGACAATGCACGCGCACTCCCAGTTCTGCGCGAGCGGCGATTACACCGTGGAGGGTGCGCGAGCATCGGCGGCGACCCTCGCACAAGAGGATGCAGACGAGCGCTTCCTCGTGCTCTTCAGCGATGCGAACCTGGAACGCTACGGGGTTCCAGCAGCAAGTCTGGCACGTGCTCTTACCAACGAACCGTCCGTGCATGCATTTGTTGTGTTCATCGGTTCGCTGGGCGACCAGGCCGCAAGGTAATTATTTTGCTCATTGCACTCTTGTGGTGGCCGTGCGATAAGTTATGGACATTAACTTTGCATGTTGTTTTAATTGTCATGTTAGGCAGCTTAGTACACGATCACCACCAGTCCCCAACAAAATAAATAAGTGGGCAACACACCTCTTTCCCATATTTGTCGCTCCACATAGAGCCCATCTGCGCACTCCCTTATGGGTGTGTTTTTAGTGGCATTGGCTTAATACAAGCAAACCCTGGAACGGTTTTGACGTTCATAGTCTCATCAGCAGTGTCAAGCTTGCGTCAACCTTATGCCTCAGTCCACTTGGGAGGTCATCTCTGACCAACACAAACACAGGCGTATTCACTGACACATCAAATACAGACACATCAACGTGCATTCACCTGGATACAAAAAGTCCTGCTGTAGAGGGTTTCACAGGCTGTTGGGGCAAATGCAGGCAACAAAGGGGGTCTCTGGCCAGCACCTTTGTCTCCTTAGTAGCACATGTGTAGATGTGCACGATTGGCCGAGTCACGGTATTGTTTAGCCAATACCAGTGCTCGTTTTGACACACAGACGGACTGACACGTGAACGGATAGTTTTATCTGTGTACCGTATATAGATACGTATGTGGTGATTTTATTGTTATTTTTGACAGAGCTTGTATTCATAAATCCACTGTCCTTAAAACTATGCTTCCTGCAGGTCTAAGGTCTCCTTTTGCCCTAACCTCTGCTCCCTGGTTCCCTTTATCTACCGTCGTTTAAAAACCTCTTGCAGGATTCAGATACCACCTTTAAGAGCACCATGTTCATCGTTATTTTACACACTTTCTTCTAACTCACTCTGTCTGTTGTTGTTGTCGTTGTCATTGCTGTTGTCGTTGTATCCTCAAATCTTGTAACTTAATTTTAACCCACTTCCCAATGTGGTATCGACTGCAAACTTGGTATACTTATGTCATACTGATGACAATACTATATTCTATCATAAAAATATCTTTTTTTAAACATACATTTTTACATGTTATTTTTCGGCTTGGGTCTAATTGTCCACGGTCAACTAACGTTGGCTGTAATTGGCCACGGTCCCTTACGTTATGGCAAGCTTCGGAGCCACTTCCTGGAGTCATGAAGTTCTGCCATTACTAGTACATTTCATAAAAGCGTGTTTAAAAAAAAAGTTTTTTTAAATGTTACTTATTTTTAGTTCTGATTGCACGTTCAATATTTTTTGTTGTATTCATGTATGTGGTGCAGTATCTTCAGATATATGTTTAATTGCTGCATAAAGTACACCTTTAAACTCCAGAACATATTGTATACTGCGATGCGTGTGTTGCTGCCCACTTCTCGTTGGCAGGTTACAGCACATGCTGCCAGCCGGCCGTTCCTTTGTTGCCATGGACACCAAACTCATCCCTCAGATCCTGCAGCAGATCTTCACGACCACTCTTCTCTCATCCCTTTGATGTTACCAACCATTATTGACACACATCTCGTATAGCCATCATAAATTAACATGCTTCTAAAATTAGATTGACTGATTTTGAGTTTAAAAAAAATTTACATGTAAATTCTGTTTTGGGCGATGAAACATAACCATCTTTAAAATGAAAGATCTATAGTGGTTAGGAGCACTATGATACAGTGCGACTAAACTGTGGTATGTGGGGGGGGGGGCACTATTTACAGATCCTATTCACATTTTCCACAATTCCTCTCATCTGCACCGACACCCGCAGATACATGCAGCTCGTAAGAAGAATTTGCCACTACTTTTGGGTGACTCCTCTCATCTGCAGAATGACAATAGATATTAGAATAATAATGTGTTCCTCAGGACTGCTTCCAAGTGATGCATAGCCATGGATAATGAGAGGAATTTGCCATGAATATAGAAGATAAAAGGTGTGATATTGTATTAAAAATTAGGAATTTCCTTAGTCACAGAATAAAGTGGGTTCCAATTCTTAAGAGTAATTTTTTTCCAAGAAGGTTTCCAATGACGTATTCAACAAATGCACGTGGAGGTTTGGCCACTGCTGGGATAAACATGTCAGCAGTTCCTAAGTGCTGATACAATTGAAGTCTCATCGGTTTACTGATGTTTTTTAAAATCAGGGTTCACTAAGAATTGTTTAATTTTTTGATGAGAGCAAGACCTCGTTGGTCTTCAGTGGGTGCTGTGATGACAGACCGGCAGCAGGCAGGCTTGTGATGAATATACTGTACTCAAGTCCTCATAAGAAACCTTATTTCCAGTTGCTTTTTTCTCCTGCCTAGATTAAAAATGCCTCGATCTTGTCTCTCTGGAACTGGTGGCCGTTGCAAGGCTCTGCAGAATATGCCCAAGATGTGATCTTCACATAAAAAAAAAACATTCTGCGAATTCCTGTTATGTTTTGCTGTTGAAAATCCCTTTTTGTTTATATACATGATCACCGTTTTGCACGTATGAAAACAAGGATGCTTGGAATTGCATTGTTACGGGAAGAGGAATACATGGATCATAGAACAAATACATATTAAATATGTTAACTTGGGTGAGGACGCTTTGCCAGAAGGGATGACTGTAGATGGATAAGACTGGTGACAGAATGGGAGTCAGAGGGAACATGTCTGAGAGGGTTACCGTGTATTTACAGTACTGTCAGCTTATAATTGTGGCATCGAAGAACCATGAATGCGGTGGCATGGGGAATTCCGCATTCAGGCTTCTATAGAAAATGGCTGATGGGCACATTAAATATAAAAATTTCATGAACAGGTAATAATTTCATTATCAAAAATTCCATAAAATTTTAACCAACTGCTTGACTTTCATCAATGTAAATTTGTATTTAAGCAAATTATTGAGATATATAGAAGCACTGAAAAAACGTGGTATGTAAATGTTAATACTGGAAGGAACCTCCTGGTTACACCAGCCCACAGGGGATTATTGTGTCCGTCTGTCGTGCAGGGAGGGGCTGGGTGGGGAGGGTGGGGCTGGGTGGGAGGTGGGGCTGGGTGAGGAGGTGCTGGTCACCCCGTGGTGCCCTTATAAAACTCAACGTTTAACCTACTCACAGCCGGCTTGTGCCCGCCCTCACAGTCGGGCATATTTGCGGAATACACCACGCCGCCGTTGACCCTGGCCATTGACCGAGCAACCCAACGTTCCTACCAGCTTCCTCCGCAGGGATGTGTTGCAGTTGTCTGCCCCTTAAAGTCAGAAGGTTGAAACAAATGACTCCAACCATTATTTTTCAGACTTTCGTGAGAAGCCTTAAAAATGGTCAATTGTCTGGCCTATGAATAAGAGCGCATCAAAATACCGATTAGCTGAGAAACAGCCTACCGAGCACGACTGCTGAAAAGTGGAAGAGTGGATCATTATCAAGTAATGTTGCATTACATTATCCGCCATTAAAGTCAGTATATAAATCGTGGAAGTGTTGATTTATCTTGAAGTTGCAATTCTGATTTACTCCTTGCAACGTGTTTATGTAATGAATATTGTTGGATAAATGCAATAAATAACTCAATGCAAGTTTGGAAAGCTTTTAGTGACAGAATATACTCCGTTAAGTGTATATATATAAACATACATTTTATCGTTGGATAAGTGCATTATTGATTTTAATGTGTTGACATGTGTTTACGTGTTATATTTAGAAATAAATACATTTATGATTGCCATCCTGTTCATGTCAGCTATGCACGTGTGAACTTATATAAAGCAGTAAGATTTCTTAAGGCTCCACGAGAGCCTTCTCGGTTACGGGAGAGACCCGGCATGCTTATAATTAGTGAAACAATAACAAAAGACTGTACGTTTAACTTGCATTTACAGTACATTGTATACGGTGGTGAAGCGATGCGCTATGAACCCATCGACCCGAGTTTGATCCCTTTGGCTAACATCAGTGACGAGTGATAACAGAACGGGTCCTGTGCCCTCCCTTCAACATACACTGACCAGCGTGGTGAAATATGGTCAAACACCCCCGGGATCGACATGGCGTGTGGAGCCCTTCATCAATTGGTCGATTAAGAACGGCTGAAATTTTGGATTCATACTATTTAATTAGCGGTCATTGATATATAATTACGTGTATACGTTATTAACAATATAACCAAAAACGTAATTACAACAAATACCTGCTTTACAATCTGAATCACCATGAAAAAGGGTGAAAGCCGAGGTTCATTGGATGTGGAAGTATGAAGAGTATCTGACTGCATGAAAGCGTTCATTGTGTTAATGTGGACACCCTCCATCAGCCACCGCTTCTGTGGCTCTCTGGATTGGGAGAAGATGCTTAACCCCAAGCTACATTGCGTGGTAGCATTCGCCCGAGTTGCCTTAGTTCAGTGGTAAAGGCGCACCCCTGCAATCGCTTGCTCACGCCAATGCTGACCGAGGGCTTGCCGTAGAGAGAACTCTAAACGACACGCATTGGATCTGACCTTTTTCACGCGGACCAAGCGTGTCGGAAGAGGCGAGCGTAACCACATTTTTACCCCACCACACGCCACTTGTCGACCGACCCGTTTATACTACCGAGTGGACAGGGGAGGCAAATCTCCACTCATTCACCACTCGATAAACTATGTGCCACTGAGCACTCACCAGGCACTAGTTAAGGAAGCAACCGGGAGCTGTTGCACTTTTTAGTCTCGACTGAAAACTCGTTTTTTTGGAACTGCTTTTTGTGTTGAGTTTGTTGTCCTTCCCCCGCACCTCCGATTAGCACGGTTAGCTCGGTACGGTGCGAAAGAAGTTCAACATACGTGCATTCCTGGTCCCCACCACTCACTTAAACACATTCCTGCGGAGGGAGCTGGTAGGAACGTTGGGTTGCTCGGTCAAAAATATGCCCGACTGTGAGGGCGGCCACAAGCCGGCCTGAGGTCAAACGTTGAGTTTTATAAGGGCACCAGGGGGTGACCAGCCCCTCCCCACCCAGCCCCACCCCTCCCACCTCCACCGAGCCCCACCCTCCCCTCCCAGCCCCTCCCCACCCTACCCTCCCCACCCAGCTCCTCCCCACCCTCCCCACCCAACCCCTCACTCTCCACCAAGCCCCTCATTGCACGACGGACACAATAATCCCCTGTGGGCTGGTGTAACCAGGAGGTTCCTACCAGTACAAGTCACCACTGATACCCATCACTCGGAGAGCCAACCCTGCTCAAGTTCCTCTCGGATTGGTGGGCAGTGAAGAGTCGTCTTGTGTGGTGTCAGGGCACCGTAACAGGCATACAGACCCGCGAGAAAAAGTGGGATTTTGGTGGCCCAAATGGGACACTTGGCGATGCAGGGCCCACCCCAGCACGCCCTGTAGCGCAGGCTCTGCGGCAGGGCACGAGTCATCTGAAGTGACACTCTCCACCATCTGCATCAGCTGGAATACTGCCAATTGTCCGTCCGGTGGCATTTAGCGAAGTGTTTCGATTTTTAAAATTTATTTATCTAGGGGCCATCCATAAATGACGTCACGCGATTTTGGAAGATGTTTGACCCCCCCCCCCCCCATCGTCACACGGCGTCACAAAAAGTCAGACCCCCCCTCAAAATATGACGTCACAAAGCTCTGCCCCCCCTCCCCCCAAATATAACATACTTAAAATCGCTTTAAACTATTGTCATTGTAGTGCATATTTAATGTGCCGCTGCACTCTGATGTTGTAGGAGAAAACATTTATTAAAAAGTCTATTTAATTAAGTAGAACATGTCTATATTTATTTAAAATTGCGCATTTTGATGTGACGTCACATTTCTCCCCCCCCCCCCTCGTCACACATGTCTGACCCCCCCCCCCTATGTGCGTGACGTCATTTATGGACGGCCCCCTAGGTCCATAGGTTGTTCATAAGTCATTTTCAAAACCACAGGTGTCTGTATTCGTTCCAGTCAGACCGCATGGCGAAACTTGCTAAACTCTTTGACTGACTCTACGACGGCCGTCGTTCACGCTCTACCCATCATGTTCCTCTCCCTGAACACCTTGGTCTCCCCGTGCCGTTCCCATCCCTCCCTGCTGTGATGCCCACGTGCGATCTCACTCCTGCACATGCACTGCTCTCTCTCGCATCCTTCCGTCTCCACGGTGGTCGTCTTGTGCGAGTTGTATCCGCCAGGCTCGTTCACCCACAGCGCGAATAACTGTGCCAGTCCGGAGGCTGCACGACGGTATAAACTATTGAGCATAATCACTCCATCATTCACAAAACCATCATCATTTATTCACCCATCGTCAATCCACGACGGGGGGTCACCGTCGCACTCGTCGGACACCGCCCAGGAACAGCAGCATCAACGAAGATAATCATCGGCAGCGACATCGTCAAAACCATGATCAAAAACATCATCACCTCCATCATCATCATCGCTCCATGGTGAAGATAGCGGGAGATGGGGGTGAACGCAGATCGCTCGAGTTTTGTGGATCGATTCTTGCCGCGGACAACAGAATATGCGCGGAAAGAAGGAAACGTAAACAATGCACACAAATACAGAGATGCCCGTGTAGCCTTCACCAGTGTCGGGGCAAGTGCTGTTAGCGAGCACCTATGAATGGCCAAAAGCACCATGCCCAGGACCGATTCAGTTTTGTTACCATCGATGTTGGCTGTGAGTGGGAATCCAACTGGAATCCGCCGGTTTCGTGGCGCAGTACGCTGACCACTACACTACAGCTCCCCACAACGTATACACAGGCACACACGCACAGGTATATGTATACACACACAACACATACATCACGAATTGCCGCTTTCAGAAGCCCTCGCCATCCCTCGCACAGTCCCCCGATTCAACGACCCATTTGAAAACTGCACGTGAACGAATTCCATCGCTTGATCGCAGCGATGGATCGCTTCCTTTGGATGCCATTCAGCCGGTCGTCTTGATCGCTGGCCATAATACCTCTTCTAAGCGACGTGTCCTGCCATAGTTCAAGTTTCTTTCGTAAATGGTATGTACTTATAAATTTCACTTTGTTTCCCCATTGTTTCCCACGATTTGTTGCCTGTATCTCGGCCTCACTGTGCGCTGCGTTGCACCACTAGTCGAGTAGATAACCTTGCGTTCAATAAATCCTCGGAGCCAGGATGAACGTCCGACTCCAATCGTCATTTATTGATTTTAACAAGGTAAAACTGGTGAGAAAATACAGCATCTGTTATAACCCGGAAACACCAACACAATGAACACCACAGCATCAGAACATTGTCTTAGATAACAATAGATCCTGGACGGACCAGGCCCCTACATTACCACTGAACAACTACACAAGAGCACAAGCCGGTGTGTTGCATAAAGGCACATCGTGTATTCATCCCACTGCACCCCAAATGTATAGCATTACACATAACACTAAACTGTGCATGAGATACTTCGTCATCTTTGCTCTCAGGATCGCAACATAGGCACAAGTCTGACTCGACCTACTAAATCACAAGTAACATCCACAATAAGGAAAGTTGCAGGCTTCGTTGCTAACTAGGCCTCGTATTTACCACAACAACGTAATGGTACCATAAAAGGCATTTACATCACTATAACGGTCATTCCAACATTACAACAGCATTGCCAATATTATAAGAATATAAACAAACTTACAGACAATGCTTCTCAAAGTCCCACGATGGACAACTGCGTCTGGCTTCACTGAGACGCGATTGGTGCCGCCATCTTGACTTATCTGTGTAATGGCCGACGCCCGCGTGGTTCAGTGGAAATCTAACATCGTAACTTCCTGGTCACGTAACCAAAATTAGCATCAAAAACAGGAACTTCCTGTGTACATACGCTCCACATCTGCCGTGAGGCAAGACAGCCTGCATTGGTCCTTCTCTCCACCCCTTCCCTTCCCCCACCTCTACAGCCTATATAAGTCCCTGTGCGTGATTCCTCCGGGCGTCTTTCTGTGTGTGCCTCTCCATGTGTGTATGTCTCTTGGTGTGGTGTTGCTCTGGTTGTCCCTATGTGCTGCCCAAAACATCATTCCCTGTGTGTTCTTCTTTGTGTATGTATCTCTTGCTACCTTGTACCTTGTGTCTGTTCACGAGTCCTTGTCCTCTCTTTACGTTGGTGTGTTCAGCCCAGAAGATGAACACAACATTTAGCAGTCTTTTGAAATACGTGGTCAACCAGGTTAGTGTCTGTGTTGTTGGCCGACGGGTTTGCATTACGTTTCTAAGGTTTTGTTGAGTTCGCGTCTCCCATCTTCTTGCTGTATTTGCCTCCGTGCAGTTTGCCGTTCTCTGTGTGCTCTGTGTGATGTCCCTCTGTGTGTTCCCTCGCTATGTGGTTTGCCCCATTTTCAGCTGATGATGTGATTTATTTGTGATTTATTTAAATTGTATTTTATTTCTACATACGCGACTTTACCGAAATAACCAATGAGTACGGTTTAGAATTGCTCTTCTTTACGCACATGTGTGAAATTCACGCTGATGATATGGCTTTTCATTAAGTCAATCTTTTCAAAAGCTTGTGTCCGACTCTTTATTCCACCATTTTGGGCCTTAAATGTATGCCCGAGTAAAACATACTCTGCGATGCCTTTCCAAATGTTACTATAGTTCATGACATTAAAATGAAAACACATTAAGGCTGAACAGTAGGGCTCAATATAAATTCGCCAAAGAAAGTCGTGTATGGCTCGCTCGCTCAACCATTGCAGATA